CGAATTAAAGACAATCTTGTTAACATTCTCATTCAACGAGATATTTACGATAGGGATCGTCCAAGGCTGCCTTGCGTTCACGTCATGTCGCCTCTATAAGGAGGGGTTCCTGCAAGAGGCTGCAAACATGTTGACAAACTTCCAACACAAGACGAAATCTGCTGTTATTCACCAATCACCACAGCAACATCGGGTAACGTCTCCCTCCGTGTAGCCTTGGCGGTTTCTTCGAATCTGGAATAATGCGACCGGTCGTGTATTGTTGCGATGACATGTCGCGACTCATGTGGTCTGACAGGCTGCAAATTTTGGTATAATGCATCATTTTTCGAATCCCGTGGGGCGTGCTGATGCGTGTCCTGGCTGGGAAATAGTCCAAGACGGGGTTTAGAGTTGAGTGCAGCCGGTCCGTGACAGGTGAGGCCGCTATATGAGCAAGATGAATAAAATCCGGTATTAAATATTGGCAACGCTACCCAGGAAATCCTGAGCAAACCTCACACACGCTGTATGCAAGCTGATGCACGCACGTGACAGCAGCAGTCCCTCAACTAGATGAATCAAATCCGGTCTTAGCAATATCGGCAGCGCTACCCAGAAAAATTCCAAGCATTTCTCACGCGCTCTGTGTTCATGCGCGTGAGGTGTGCTCGGTATTTCCTGGGTAGCGTTGCCAAGACTGGAATTATGATTCATCTTGTTCAGGAGACCTCCGCACCGCCGTTTCTTTTTACCGGATTTTTGTCAAGGGACTGGCAGCAAATTAGGGAACTAAACAATGCATTCTTATACGCAAGACTACGGGTTGGACCGCGTCATGCACGGGAGACTTCATCAGAATTTTGGGCCAAGTTGCCCTAGACTTTGAAGTGTAAAGGTCTCGTTTGTGTGTGTTTGTTGCAGGATTCTTTTCGGTTGAGGGTGGCACTCGATGTTTACAAATGAACTAAAGGTCTAGTATTTATAATGACCCGGAATATAATGTCTGGTTCATCAACCTCCTTGTATTAAGCTATCTCATTGACTAACTGATTCACTGACTTATAACTGTCACTTGCGAGTTAGACTTGATTATTAAGCCTCACCTTGGCGAAAATAATTGACTCAGATGACTGCCTAGACACTCAGACCAAATTTGTTCGGGACAAGCGTCTATGCTAGTCTAGTATCGTTCACATTTTAACAATGGTTTTGTGAAGTAGTGCAAAATCCCTAAGCTACGTAAATATGCGCCAAATCCAAACCAAGTTAACATTCCGAAGAGATTTGCCATCATGACGTGCATTCAACTTGTAAGGTTTTAATCCGAGTCGGCCGAGCACCGGTTAATTATCTAGCTAGATTAGCGTAGCGCGGTACGCGGTAGCAAGGACACCAATTAAAAAAGGCTCGATTTACGGAACTGATACGCGAGGTGACAACGTGTACGTTAATTGGCGTTTTAATTGCACATGTGCTCACGGGGGGGGGGGGGGGGTATGAGGTGGGCTGAGGGGGGAGACCGTAGTGGATCGCCTCAACATGTTCAAGGTCACATACAGCGTTTGTTTCCAAAGCGCGATAACACCAATTTATACCTTTTAGAATCCTACCCTCTCCTGGTCACCAAAAGACAGTTTCAACAGCTGTTATAATACGAAAACGCAATTTAAGAACACAAGAAAGTAAAAATGTAGTTCAGAGAATAGCTTTTATTCTCGGTATGTACCATGCGTTTTCTTAAGCGTGGATTTAAAATTTCGAATGGATATAAATTATCACGTTTTGGAGATAAACTCTTTCGATGAAAAGTTGGAATTTGCACGTGCCATTTGTAAGAGGCTTTAGTGAGGTGCAGCAAACTGCAACTCAATTTGAAATCAGTGTTCGATATTCACCCTTATTTTTATTTCGTCAACATCCAACAACAAGAAACGCCCATTGCAGTATGGATACAAACAATCGTCCTCAAACATTATATTGCGTTGCAAGATTTAAGTCTTTCAATTTGACCTACTTTTAGTTGAGAACGACTCAAGGCGAGAAACATTCGGTTTGTTTTTAAGTTGCTTTAATTACTACATATTAGAAGCAAAATGGATTTAGACTGGCGTTATCGCAAGTATGTTCATCTGTCGTTGCTCAAATCCTAGTGTGAAAGTGTGAATGACGGGGTCCCGCATGTGACATTACGGTTCGTAGATCTTGTCGGGAAAATCGTAGCCCGTCAGCAAAAGATGCTACCGTCACTACATACAGCGCCACCTTTTGCCAGATTGTGTCCAACCCTTGCAACCTTGAACAGCTTCCCCTTCGTAATTGTCAGACACTTCATTGGTTCTAAATTTACTCACTTTGGCACAGAGGGCAGTGGCGTAGCAAGGTCATTTTTATAGGGGGGGGGAACATTTCTTGAAAAGGGCACTTGCACATCCGTGCTGAAATGTATGTAGCACATGCGTGCTGACATGGCACATCCGTGCTAAAACTCCGTGCTGAAATGGCACATCGATCCGTGCTGAAATGGCACATCCGTGTTGAAATGGGGGGTGGGGGGGGGGGGGGGTGGGGGGGGGGTTACCATATGTCGATGGGGGCACTGTCTCAAACTGACGATTATGCATTGACGATATATGGTGCTTTCCAGGGCGATACATGCGTGAAATTACACCCGGAACGGCCAATGGCACCTAACCCCCAAAAGGCACGACTTCTTTTCAAAAAGGGCACTTGTTCAGAAAAAAAAGGGCACTTGTTAAAAAAGGGCACTCTTTACAAAATATTGGGGGGGGGGGTAAATACCCCCCCCCCCCCGCTGGCTACGCCTATGGAGGGCGCCCTATATTGGCTACGGTTTGCTGCATAGGGGTGCAACCCGGTAAGTAAATTCCCATAGACACCGATGATAAATCCCCATTATTCAAAATTATTTTTTTTCTTTAAAAAATACCCAGTAATCTCACAGGTGTTCAGGCTGCACAAAAAGTTGATCAACATCCCGTTTTTCATATTTCTTTAACCATTTGTTGGGTTGACAAATGACTTTTTGGAGAAATTCTCACCCAAAGAAGAACACCCATGAAACGAACAATATTTACCCAACTGGAAAAGTGGCCATTTTGAAGAAGGATCCCCACACAACATAAATAAAAATAGCACCACTTTCGTATGCAATTACATCCGAAATGATCAGAATTGAACGCCCCAAGTCCAGGGCCAGAGTTGCAGTGCCATATGTCTTCAATCCCCCCAATTCCATGGCTCTCAGAACTCTCTACTATATAATAATTTACAATTAATCATCAGCACGGCGGACGGATTTTGGCCTATTTACTGGGTTGCATGCACCCTTTAATATACCCGCAATTTGGCTATTTTCCTGCAATCTACTTTTTTTTCGCAAGAGGGAGGATCCATAATTCATATTTCATCAAAAATTCAGGAGAAAATCTCTCTGAGTTCGATATCAGGACCGAACATGGGCAATGTGCATATAGGGTAGAGCGCCCCCATGGCGTTCATTGCGTTCCAGCTCCTCCCTGAACAAAACATAAATATAAAATGTATAAAGGAGTGGAAGTGATTTTTGTCAGCGCATTCGAGGTGCATTGCCTTCCGGTATCCTATTCCATCTTAGAAGAGCGAGGTTTTTTTCAAGGGCGGATCCAGAACACAATTTTTTGGGGAGAGGGAAGCAAAAAACAATAAAATTTTGTCCTCCAAAAAGTGGTTCCAAAAAATTACGACGAGGGTTCGGGGCCCGCTGAAGGGCTCCGTCTTTTTTTTCTTCTTTTTTTTTATTCTAGAAGCTCTGTGGTGCGATCTGGTGCAATTTTTGATCACTTTAATCATTTTTTTCCCGGAAAAGATGGTGGTGTACGCAGTGCCTGCCTTTATTGCGATGTCACTTAATTTTTTTTTGGGGGGGGGGGGGGGGGCTTTGGCTCCCGTTGGCCCCCTCCCGGATCCACCCTTGGGTTTTTTCACAAGCCTTTATATCAATAGGTAGGGGCGGGGGGGGGGGGGACGAATAACGAAAATGTTGCACGCATGCAATGCCGCACTGGGTATTGGTTCGTGAAAACGAAATAACGCGGTTCCGTGAAATACGCGCCAGGCACTCACGCGCAGCTGAGTGTTAGTTCGTGGTGTCGGTGACAAATTTCAGTGGGAAAGGGAAAACCAATATACAATTCAATGCGCATGGCAGACAAGGCTTAAAACCGTCCTCATGTTCAGGCATGTTACTATACTGACCTCAAGAGTATTTGTTCCTAAATGTTTTGATAATAATGTGATTGATGGATCCTTCTTCTTTTAAAAAAAATTGGTCTGGCAGAAAATAGCAACATTATTGGTCTTTTTACAAGGGTGCAGGCCAGTAGGCCCAAATCGCCCCCGCCTGCCAATTCACGATTTGCATATGCATGCCCTCGGTGTCTCTCCTCTGCTATTAGAGAATTGTGTGGGCCATGTGATTTTTGTGGTTTTTAAAAGACGAATGAAAGCCGTGAATAGGACTGCAAGCTTGTATTTCTGTGAAATTTGGATGAATTTGGGCCCTGCAATTCCCTACAATTGCTTTTTTTTTTGTAATGGAGTGCGGGCATCGGTGTTTCAAAACGGTTACGGGCTTCGTATCAGGACTACTTTTAGGGGTAATCATCTTTGGATGGAAATTTCTTCCAAAAAAAAGTCATCAGATTACCCCAAACAAAATCAAAGAGAAAAGGAAAGATGATGAAAATAATGAGCTTCAATTTGATGTATGTCTAAAACACCTTGGAGAGTTGTGATTATTTTTCCTGATCTTGGGAAGTGGGGTTATTTTATCACTGGGGTCTATGGCATTCACTAATCTGCAATGCTATACTCTTGTTTTTGTTTTGTTGGGTATTAAACAGCAACACTAATCTACTTGTTCTGACCTTGCTCCCAGAATGCAACGCGGTCAATACAGAATGACATCATTTCTTCTCAGAGCCGTTCCACATCCGTGCAACATTATGAGTGTTATCTTATTATGCATACAGCGACGGAATCCTCTTCTAAAGTGCTATTGTGTTTCTATCGATCCATTCTTAGCCGTGAGTGAAGATGGCTCGCTTTGTGTGTCGCACGCAATAGGTATATCCACGGTTGACGTTCTATATAATGACTGCACTAAAAACAGACACTACAGAAAACGACTGATATTCCAATACAATTCAGAGTATTCATTTGTTGAACATTGCAGTAACAAGCCGCAGCCTTGATTTCGAAATGAGGGACATGACTTGACGACCCCTCATTTCCGAAGACGAAAGAGAAAGCGAGATTTGAAAGTGAGTAAATTGCTGGTACGTGGGATTGTAATTCATTAAAGCCATTGCGCATAACTCACCATGTTAACTTGTTATGCGTCGACTATAGCATCGTCCCATCTGTATACATAGTTGGTGCCCCTGCTGTAGTTGGTGCCCCTGCTGTAGTTGAGACCGTAGCTATATAGTTGGGGTGTAACAAACCTAAGAGTTTGTCGAACGTATAACTGGTCATTCTCTTTATGAGGTTCGGTTTTTCTTGAAATCATGTTGTACAAGAAACCTGATTGTAGTATTGATAATTCATATACATGTATAGGCCTATAGCCCAACACCTCTCCAGTTTTGGACAAGTTGTTTCCAAATTTATATCTTGAGCCATTTAATCTTTGTGCTGAGTTGATTCTCAAACCCGGAAAGAAATATATAAATCAAGCTTGGTTAATGAAAAAAGTCCACCATCTATTTCTCATAGAATTGTTTTGGAGAATTCTAGATTTTTCTCGTCTTGAGTATATATAGTCTTATTAATTAATCTGACTTTTCAATTCGGCATCATGTTTATCCCTATACTGCGTTCTTATTCCCCCGTAGGATGACTCGCAAAACTGCTTTCGTGCTGATTTCGACAGTGGCGGTGATTGGTTTAACCTACATGTACGTCATCTCCAAGAGACTTGGTGAGTGTTCGTCATTTTAGCCTGGTTCCCCGGCCAAACAATCCTGACCACTTTGGCAAATCAGTTACGGAATGTTTTTAAGTTCTAGCAGGGTAGACTGATTCCCGCCTCCCTATCGGAGTCGATAGTGAACCATTTCACTCGAAGGGCGCATTCGTGGTTCGCAAATTACAAAACCAAGCCTTCTTTTTAGAACTTTGCTGACTCCAAAAATATAATAAATGATTTTGTTTTGTTAAAATAGACATGCACGTTGAAAAGGGGGATACAAGTCGATGAAGAGCAGCACAGTAGGCCTACATCTTTAACAACGTTTACGGCCAACACAATTGCAAACTTGTGGGCTCATAGAAACAATTATGAATACGGAATCCGATCAGACGTATACTCTAAAGAACATTTTATTAGTTTCAAAAGTACAATCCCGTTTTTAATTTACAGTTTTACACTTTCAACCTCACGATGGCGGCTTCGAGGTCCGCAGTTTACAGCGAAAGCGCCCAACTTCTGCGCACGCACGGGCCAAGGCCCCGCCCACCGCCACTTGCACCGAGCATGCGCTGAGCAAGAAAGTGAATAAGGTTGTCCTGACGACAACAAATGCCGCCTTTCTAGACTTCACAGACAACTGGCTGGAGAGCATCAAGCGGACTGGGGCGTGTCCCAACATCACCATAGTAGCCGAGGACGACGTCACCCTGACGTATTACACCAAGAGGCTGACCGACTACCCCGGCCTACACGTCGTCAGAACAGACTCCGGTGTGACCTCCTCCAAGCCTTTGATTTTCGACACACCCATATACAGACACTTTGTGAATAAACGTCAGAGATACATCCAGGAGTACTTACACAACGGATACGAAGTTTTGTTCACCGATGTGGATACCTACTGGTTCAGGGACCCGTACCCCTTCTTTGAGGGTAACTTTGATTTGGCGGTAGAGGAGGACATATCTAGGTTTTACTGCGCTGGGTTCGTGTATTTCAAACCCACGAACCGGACGCTGAAATTCCTCCAAGATTGGATCCAATTTATGGAGTCAGACACCAGACTAAAACCGGATCAGGAGGTCATGAATAAACTCATCGAGCAAAGGAAGGTGCCCCGGCTGAAGGTCAGGGTGCTAGACTCCAAGCACTTTCCTAATGGGAAGCTTTACTCTAGTCGTGAGTGGAGAGGATATCACAAGAGAGACGTGGTGGTCATGCATAACAATTTCATTATTGGGCATGACAAGAAACTTGAACGCTTTCATAATTACGGATTGTGGTTACTTCAAAATGAAACTGCATAAAGATAACAACACACGGGCACTCATCGCTACTGTCTGGTATTATTTTGTGATTGATATACATTTAAATTGCTGGTCTTTTGGATGCAATTGAATGCAAATAAAAAATGCATTTCTCCCAACATGATATATATGTACATGTATGGTGTTCATGCAAATTTCTTTATAATGTGCTCTTTGGCAGTAGAATGACGCAGACCCATTGTGTACATTAATACAGTGTGACAATAATTCCTGGTACCCGTGAGTGCTAACTAGCAATGGCGAACCTATTAACAGTGAATTTAATAATATCACTCCTCCAACAATCATTGCAAGTGGTCACTCGCTAAGGGCGCCCTCTTCCGACCGGCACGTGTTGAATTGTGCAGAAATATCAGCCCATTTTGGCCGAAGAAACTGAGCATGTTAATGAAAAGTATTTTCCGAGTGCAAACAGTGCAATTCTTTGTTGATAATTTAGAGGAAACGGAAAATAAGCTCTGGAAAACCTGAATCATCGGAAGTGGGCTGAATATTCATCAACTGTTTCGTCCAAACTTGCAAGCGCATTCAGTGCGAGACTTTCTGAAGCAACGACGATATGCATTGATGATTCTTGTCCTCTTTGTAACCAACCAAACAATATTGTTCTCCTCTTTTAGCTGATCAGCAATCAGAGGGGGAACAAGCTTTTTGCTGGGGGGGGGGGGGGTAGCTGTAAAGGGGAGGGGGGAGGACTGGCATAGGGATAGAAGACAAATGCCGCTTTTTATGAAAGATTTGTCCTATTTTTGTGCTCCTTATAGATGGGGAGAACCCCCTCCCCCTTGTATATCCAATATAAGCATTACTATGGGAATGGTACTACATGTATTAAATTTGCATGCAGTGCCATCAGATAGATTATGAGCATTAATATATGATGTGATTTTCCGCTCAATAACATTGTCAGTCGACCGTAAATAAAAGCATTTAAAGACGAACTGTCATAGGGATTCACCATTAATAAATAATATGACAAAATCAATCCTCATAGATTGATCACAAACTCATAACAAGTCCTCGAGGTTCAAGCTAAATACAGATTCCAATAATTACAGATGGCCTTGAGGCCTGACGCCATTTTGGAGGTGCAGGGCTGTAAAAATCATTCAAGTGGAGCGATTGAGCTTACCGGTACTTGTTAGCTTAATTTAAAAACAAATATATTTACATTCTGTCATTTTCTAAAGCTTTGAATTGTTTCTAAATTGCTTCAATAAATGCAATATTTCTGTTGTTTACATCAAGAAAATGGCGCCCAAAACAGTGCCCCCATTCGCACTCATTGCCCATTGCGCCCTCTTGTGCGCCGTCTTGTGTTCCCTCCTCGTAACTTAACAACAATACCCATCAATGGTACATGTGAGGATTATTGATTTCCCCTTGCAGGCAAGGGTCCGATTGTTGTGTTATATAACCGACCAATGCAATATACATGTACATGTACATATACCTGTGTAAGGCATGTTTGAAAAGGGAAGGCTGGTCTTTTTATTGAAAAGAAGGATATATATGTACATGTTCATGTACATGTATTTTCAAAGGCACACGGGATAGCACTGTGCCGACACCGAGATAGAGAGGACCTGACTAGTCTCCACCGCAGTGATCGCTATTATCGGAGTGACCTCCGAATGTCTCCAAGTCTGGATTTGGTAAAACAAGACTAAGCATAGCAGTAATAGACCACTGAGGACCGCATACCAACTTGCATCCTTACTAGTGCGTTTGTTGCCCCAACTGTAGAATAATTGCTCCAAGTATAGACTGTCGGGTTTTGCAACTTTTAAAGGGCCTACCCAGGTATAGTTGTTGGAACCGCCTAAAATGTTGTAAGGACCGATGCTTTATTTGGGGCGTGACATTTTTAGCCGCCTGCTCAAGTACAACGAGCACATCAATGCACGGAAGCAGTCTAATAATCCCTACGAATCGCCACCAGCTTGTTGAGTAATGAGGCAAATGATTGGAAGATTTTTTGACTAGTGCAAATGTGATCCCGTAAGTTGATGGTGCTTGGTCGGGAACGATGATGCTATCTTTTATCAAGAGAACTTAATGAGTGTTTAGGTGTGAAGTTTATGAAGATCTGGACACCGGCAAAGTCCGGCATGCATGAGGACTGCTCGTCCATAGCCCAGCGGTGGCGGTTTTTGCAGTAAAAGACAAGTTATCTGTAAGTACATGTATTCATTCATTCATTCTTTATTTTCCACATAATTGGTGTCTTCGCAATACATGCATGTCAATACATGTATATTACGAAAAGAAAAGTAAATGTGAATGGGGATCCTCCAAAAGCAACTGCTTGTCGAGTAGGAATCCCCATTGATATTAATTAACAATTACATGAACAAATTATATTATAAACACACATACAATAAGACAATAGACTAAACCAGAAAGGACATTAAGTCTGGTAACCCTGTGAGAATATGTAAACGAATTGACTAAATAGTAGTTAGACGTTTGGCCTTATATTTTAGTTTAACCACTGGAAGATTCCATACATTTTTAAAAATAGAAACATCTAAGGGGTTCCACATCTTTGAACCCTCATGCTTGACTGTATTTTGGGCAAGAGTGGTACGAGCAAAGGATTGATGATATTTGTTACACTGTCTGGTAAAATGCTGATGCACTTCTTCATTGTTTTTGTCAACTATAAAAAAGAGGATTGATCTTCTCAGTCAGTGTATAAGTTCTCATTATGTCCGTCTATATATGTTGAGTAACAACTGTGTTAAACATACGCCTCCTTCAGATTGTTGGCAGCCATCTTGGATGTGTGTGCTTTTGTTCAACGCATGTGCATTAATTGTTAATGCGTGAAATTTATACCACACACGTCAAAGATTGCTGCTGAAGATTGATTAATGCATAATACATGTACACATTCCATAATAAATGAAAGGTTTGCGGAAACACCATGTGCGAATAATTTCGCAACTAAGAGAGTGGTTCTGAAAAGACTGCAGAGGTTTAAACTCGACGTTCCTGTCAGTATGCTCTGACCGTCTTCAGGAGAGTGCCTAAACTCTAAGAAGAAAACACTAATAAGTAGTAAAATCGAAATCGATGACGTGTGAAGTTGCATCCTGGTGGATGCCAAGTAGCTGGGAGCCTAGAGCAAGCTTGGTGTGTCGACTGATTTCAGTGGGGCTGCAGTCCACATTCCATACGTACCCGTACAATTCGCCAACACCTGCGTTTCCCACTCAATTAATAACTTCTATTCAAAATGTATTTCCCGGTTGAAAATTGGGCTAACTGAATTTTCGGTGAAAGACTCAAAAGTGAACCGACCGCGACACTTCATTTTATTTGATTTCTCTTTTCTAGAACCCTTACGCCAAGTAAACATTGGAAGCAGTTCAGTTTCTCAAAAGATGAGTTCCAACATACCAAGCAGCACAAGGAAAAACAGGTAGGCTAAGATCGATGCATTTATAAAGAGGAAATCCAAAACGGTAAAACGAAATAACGGTATGTCCCGGGATTCCCAACTATGCTCCTACTAATTCGGACCGATGATCTACTTGGGGCGTCACAACTATAAATGCATCATTTTTTTTGTTTCTCCTGACAGGTCGACGCTGAGATACGGTTCTTTCGGATTGGTTTTCTTGGCAGCCATTGGCTTTTACGCCTCGGTTCAACGTGAGTAAAAAAACTACTCAGAATTCGAATGTAATTTGTATCTTTACCCTCACATTGTTTTTTTAATAAGCTTTAAATTGATCCATATATAAGCTCCCTCTCAGTTTGTTATTGACACCCGCGTCCGTCTGTGATGATATTTTGCTCATTTATTTACAGTTTCTGATACCAAGCACCAACCGCATAGCCTTCCAAAGGTGTTTGCTAAAGGAAAGGGTCAGAGTTCACTGCGCACAATTCAACCCGCACATGCGCACGAGGACGAGACACAAGACACTCCCAATGTACCACCGGACGCGCGGAATGTGAATCACCAATGTTGTACCAAAACTGACGTGGAGAGACGCCCCGGCAAAATCGTCCTGACCACGACAAATGCCACCTTCACAGACATCACCGACAACTGGCTAGAGAGCGTCAGACGCACGGGGGCGTGCCCCTACATCACCATAGTAGCCGAGGATGACGTCACTATGACGTACTACTCCAATATAACAGCCCGGTATGCAGGGCTCCACGTCGTGAGAACTAAACACAGAAAGATCTCCACGAATCTATCGGAGTTTGCTCCGGGTCGTCAATTTGTAGAGAAGAGGCTGAGAATTGCTCTGCCCTTGCTGCAGGATGGCTACGAAGTTCTTTCGATGGATGCAGACACGTTCTGGTTTCGCGATCCGTTTCCTTACTTTCAGGATGATTTCGACCTGGCTGTGATGGAGCTTGACCTTCCGGCGTTCTACGGCGCCGGTTTCGTCTACTTCAAACCTTCCAAGAACACGATTGCATTCCTCAAAGAGTGGATGCTTGCCTTGAATACGAATGAGACATTAAACCCCGAGCAGGTTATGAATGAACTCATCCAGCGAAAGCAGGTCCCGGGGTTAGAGGTCAGCATTTTAGGCTCGGACAGCTTTCCAAATGGGGAACACTTCTTTGACCAAAAGTGGCGCGAAAACAAGAAAGAGATTGTAGTGGTGCGCGATAACGCGGTGGTCGAGCATGATGTGAAGGTGGAACGCTTCAAAGAGCGTGGTTTATGGTTCACTGAAGAAGGCACCGGTACCTCCAATAAATGTGTTTGAAATAAATAACCTTTAACTAAATATGAGAATGTTGAAGTGTATTCTGGGTCTTCTCAATTTTTGAGGGGGGGGGGGGGCGGGGCGTTCATCAGCAAATTAATGCTGAAATACGGTAGACAGTTTTTTTTCTGCGGCCTCTGTAAAATCAATAGGTTGGGGGTTGGGGGGATGAGGCTCGTACCATACTTTCAATGGGGGTGCTGTGCAAATCCGACGAGTGATCATTTATTTTATTTATTTATGTTATTTATTTCTTATTTATCCTGGGTGATCCATTCAGTGAGGAAAACTCACTGATCTCCCATGGATCCCAGCTCACACAAAACTACTATTAAAATACAATTAAAAGTACAATGTAACAATGTTAAAAAATTCATTGAAATAAACTTAAATAAAATAGGAATTACACAGATCAACAGACATTTACAATACAATACAAAACATCACTATATTACAAGCTGTGTCCGAATTTTGTTGAACGAGTGTACATTATTAACAGTATATTGGGTTTTTGTGTGTGTGCCAGAGCAGCGTTGGGGATTTCACACTATTTGTTATGTATTTCTATGTAGAAAAAGATACGAGTCAGAGCTGTTTTTTTCCACCGAACCCCCCCCCCCGGATCCGCACCTGCAATATACATGTTTATTATATATGTAAGGCCTACTTGCCGGGTCAAAGATCAGGCGTGCTATGCGGCAAGGGGATTTCCCAAATTCATGTCCTACATGGATGTATTGCAACATCGATGTAAATCCCCAAGTATGTGAACTCGTTCGTATCGATAACATTATGACGCAATCATTGATATACTGATACACACAAACAAATTATAGGGGAAAAACAGTGGTGAATGCGCTGATATTTGGAGCCCGAATATGTAGCTCATGCAGCGTGTGGATGAACTAAATTTCAAAATGACGGTCTCATTTTCCAGTCGCGTGTTAAAAATACAGGATCGATACTATTGCTTGCTACGATATACGTTTATTTAAATAAGCCATTGAGTACACTACAAAACGGTGTTAAGCAATTCAATACTTTTGTCAACACTTTTTTTGCTATTACCTTGTTAACATGTCTAAATACTCAACATGAACAGGTTTAGAATATGCTACAAAGCCCCACCGGAAAATTCGGCATAGGTTCTTCTTCTTTTTCATTCATTTTCATGATGACTTGATGAGTTGGGCCCAACTGTCCCTGTCGAGCATAGTGTTGGAAAGAGATGGACCATTCAGACCAGTTTCTAGCCGATGGATGTTTCCAGGGTCATGTTGGGACGACCTTTTCGTCGAGGGGCATCAGGATTCCAGAGGAGAACTTGACTAGCTGGCTCTTACTTACAAAATATACCTCACATAATATATTCAGCAGCAGATAAACATAGCAAATTCACAGTTATTTAGTAAATTTAACTGGTTTGAACACGAACTAAATTGTATATATAATAAAACATTCTGAACGGGGAATGTTTGCCAGATTTTGGTTTGATGTGATTGCGCATCTGTTGTACCTTTTTTCAGTCGTTATAATTTGTCTCTACATATTTCAATGTTCTACTATTTGCCCCGCTTATTTACAAAATATATCTGAATTATCAATTTAAATTGACCTTTAAGCACTGAACTGACGAGTTGTGTTTTTATAGCTGCATCAGCACTGTACTTTGTTATGTACTACATGTATTGTTTTGGTTATCATCCTTGCGACATCACCCTTCAATTCCTGTCGAACCACAGGCAAATAAATCCGAGTGTCGCTGTTCGCTTATTCGGAGCTCCTTTCCCTGTGTGGTTCTCTGGCAACTCAATTAACTGTGGTGTTCCACGAGAAGTAGTTGAAGTGACAGTATTATCTTCGTTCAGTTCTGGGACTTATGACCGCGGAGGTGATAGCTGTAAAATTAAAGAAAATGAATATGATTTGCTAGAAAATAGGTAAAACTATTCACGTTGAGTTGTGGAACTTCGTGCTCTTTTTAAAGGGATCTAACCCCACTCCAACTCTCCCCCTCCATGAAAAAAAAATGAAAGAAAAGGGGGGAGGGTTCTCTACGCCAATATTTTCTAACGAGTGTTCTTTTTACGAGTGCCTTTTTTCCCTTTTTAACGTCGCGCAAAATGTGCTCACTGTGCTGTTTGCAGCCCTGAAGAGTGCCACTTTATTGACCGATATAGTGTCCACTTTCAGCACTGCAGCACCCCCATACGAAGATGGTGTCCCCCCCCCCCGTTTTTGATTTTTCGGAGGGCCGATGAAAAAACGTATACCTGTCAGCACGGATGCCGATAGCCCCATAAATGTGGCCAATTTCACTGGACTACCTCCGTAAACATAGGCCACACATTTGCACACGTTTGCGTATCAAAATTTCAACATGAAATTTCACAAAAGTTAGACATCTGAAAAAGGCAGCACTTTCTGATTAACCTATAAAGAGGGTGAGTATGCTTCTAAGGCAAAAAAACCCTACAAACTAATAAGCCTAAATGTGAAAATCGAAATTTGGCAAAGTGCGACACGTTTTTGTACATGTGGATGTGTGGCCTATGTTTACGGAGGTAGTCCAGTAAATTGGCCACATTTATGGGGCTAGGATGCCAAGTGCCCCTTTTCGCCCAAAATGACCTCGCTAGACGACTACAGTAATATAATATAATAGGTGTTTAGCTCAGCTAACGTAGCATGCCTGCTTCGATGCTGCAGTTATTCCTTTTTGTTCCCCAATTTGTTATTACTATAGTTTAACAGCTATCATCACAGTGTCTACCAAGAGACAAATGTCTCCTTCCCTTTTATGCTCCCTAGTTACAGTAAATGCGTACTATTAATACTAACCTATTACTGCACCGATAGCACCAACGGCAAGCGTCGTGTACCCAGCCGTCTGCAATGCTGCAGTAATCTGATCACTGTGGGGATGACTGTATCGACAGAGGTTCACGAAGTGCTCGCAGTTACTGCTGAAAAGGTTGTAGTCGATCGGCGTTTTGTCTCGGTGCATCTTCTTTGCTGTTTCAATGATGACGCCGGGATCCAAAGGCTTTTCTTGATGGTCTCTGGAGTTGTTGATCCTCGCCCTGCCAGAGCCGCCGAAAATCATCCCTATTGTATCAGCTCGTATCTCGGGCTTTTCACTGGCAGCAGACGGAATTCCCATTGCCTTCTTTTTGGAGAATTCCGGCCCTCCTTCGAACATACCGAAGTGGATGACAGCGTGTCTCATACCTCGATACTGACCGACGTATATACCCCAGTGTGCGTACCCGACGTCCCGGCGGAACTCCACCCTATCACCCAGGCATAAGTCGCCTTCCAATGCCTTAATATCCGGAAATGAAGGCTCATGCCAGTAACCAACAACCCCATAATTGTTGTTGCTTGCCATCTCTCCTGCCTGTCGACTGCTGGTTAAGTTTATTTGCGAGACGAGGTATAAAGCTACTGCCTCTGATCATACGAAAGACACTGATTTGGTGATTGAGCTGAGTTCGACGATGCTGCAACTGCACTGAAAGACTGGATTCAAAAGTGGGGACTCCCATTACACTGGTTCCCGCACTCTGACATTTTCCTTACAGCACTCTGCACATTTCCTCACTGGCATAATTGGATGTGGCCATTTCTGTTCACTGTATTTTTTTCACTGGTACACGGCGGTCCAAGGAACACGCGTGCTGATGCAACATCGGAATCCCCCAAAGACTGCGCCGTGTATTTAGTATTGCACCATCCACGGAAATTCCCAAATCAGTGAAAATATAAGCCTTTCTTTTGTTTGTAAACATTGGCACCACTTTGTATGGGCTGCCGTAAGTGCATAAATTGAAGCCGTGGTTGGCAACATATTTTTCCAAAAAAAGTCCCCATAACGCCATCAGCACAAAGTAAAAAGATATATGTGGGAATTATTTTGTAGCTTTGTTGAAAATATTGTTATATAATATAACTGACATACAGATCCTTGTCATTATTTTGATTGGTGGAACTCACATCACGCGGCAATCATGGGCGTCGCCAGGATTTTTTCTAGAGGGGGGCAAAATTTTTTTTGCCAAAAAATGCTTGTATTTTTCAACACATTCTCGATTTATCAGTTTTAGAGGGGGGCAGGGACATTTTGCCCCCCCCCCCCCCCCCCAACTCATTAAATTTACACCACTTTGTCTTCGCGCCTCTTTGTTTTTTTTTTTTTTTTTTTTTTTTCTTCCTTTTTTTTTTTTTTTTTTTTTTTTTTGCTTTTCCAGGGGGGGGGGGGGGGGGGCAAGTGCCCCCCCTTGCCCCCCCCCCCTCGCGACGCCCATGGCGGCAATCGTTATTGCTCCCATTCACCGGCCGGGGCTCAAAAAGTTCCATTCGCCCACGGGGAACGGGAAATACAATCATAGAGCTTTATATGACCGACATACAGATCCTTGTCATTTGATTGGTGGAACTCACATCACATGACATTCGTTATTTCTCCCATTCACGCCGGGTCTCAAAAAGTCTCATTCGCCCATGGGGAATTAGACTAGATGCCACGTCGGTAATTGTTTTGCGTACGGTACCGCGGTTACTACTGGTTCCATGCACGCAAAATATTGCTGAAATGCGCGCACTAATGTTCTTCGTCTGACCTGCAGTCTGCAGACCATGATCAGAGTATGCTGCGATGTCGTCCCGATTACTGCGACTCCGAAAAGACCTCGACCGAATATTTCAACTTCCTTACGACTTAGTCTCGATCTCGTAACGACATAACAGACGGTGTACCGACAGAAGTACCGACACAACCGATTGAGTACCGACACACAAGACCGAGCGAGCCTGAACCGATGCCGAAATGACTCCGAAACGACGGAGTGACGTCATCTTCGGATTTTCACGTCGCAATGGTCGTTTCAAAGTCGGCTTAAAAAATTGGCCACCATATATGACCACTGCACTGCCGATCTCGCAAATACTTTTGCGATGTCGTTACGACTTCGTTACGACTTCGTTACGACACAACCGTTTGAGTACAGACAGAGGACAGACTCTAGATCCGTTTCGGATTTTTTTGCCGACCATCACGATATGCTTCAACTGTTGAAACTAATCGTGGCTCCACTGCCGACCATGCACGACCTGTAGGATGCCGAAACGACGCTCAAGATGTCGCTCCGATAAACATGAAGATGTCGTTCCGAGTTTCACGATGTCGTCGAGTCTTGCGTCTCAGCACTGTCTTGTCGTGATCGTGAGGCTACATCGTGACAGTGTGACGGGCGCTTAATTGATGTCTATTTGATTTTCCCCCTCGTTTTCCTATTGTTAACTTTGAACGTGGAGCTGAACGAAGTTAAATTTCTTTGTTAATGTGTTTTTTTTTCAGCGAGAAAAGATTTTTTTGTTCTAGTTTGAGCATCAGGAAAGTGCTTTTTTTGGGGGGGGGGAGGGACGTTTGCGCCTATCACCATTAAAAAAAAATTCGGCAAGAATCATTGTCGGCCCGTAAATAATTCGAAATTTGTAAAGAAATAACTTGACCAAACGTGGGGGATTTTGTTTCATTGTATTGCAAAATACTCAGCAAATTATAATAGGTTTTTTATTATTTTTCCAAGGGGGTTGAAACACGATTATAGCACGACGGGAGCAACTTTCAAAAATATAATATAAAAGAAACTTGAAATTAATAAACAAATGCAGTCGACTTCCTCTGTACATACCGAACACGTTTTATGCGGTCTTATTACAGTCATAAAAGTTTCCATAAATTCCATAAAATGATGGATTAGCCCAGGCCTAATCACAAATTAAAGTCCATCGAATTTGGTACCCTGATTGTAGTGTTTCTGGCAGAGGTTGAAATGAGGGTTTGCTGGTATTAGAAAAGAGAATAAAATTCCCCTTATAATACTGTTTGTTGTGTTTTAATCGGACATTCCATTGACAAGTCACGGCTGTTAAACTTTCGCATTTATTGACATATCAAAAAGTAAAATACTGAGAAAAAGGCCTTTAAAGTTTCAACATTTGTAGTCCTGCAAATGAAAGATGCCAATTGGGTTTCCCTATAAAAACGTTGTAATTTCACGATTTGTATATATTTCTTTAAAACATGTGCATGTGGTAGACATATCAAGGTGATTAATATCAATAAAGATGAGAATAAAAAAAATCCCCCCATTCAAGTTTTTTTGCATGTTTCTCCTCTTTGGCAAGAACGCCTCACAAATGACTAATGTCCAGTCTTCCTAAGAATCTCAAAAAATACTAACAGTATACGCTGAATGATCAGGGGTAATATTGTGAATTAAATGCACGGCTTTTACAATGGTGCAAAGATGAGTACGTGTACAATGGATCACAGTCACTGCTCTGCTTAATATGCTACGGCGAGAGAATTTAGAAATATTTTTCATTAAAGATTTTGGCATAATATTTTTCATGGTCATATGATTACAAGTGCTTAATAGCTATGGCTTCGCTAATATGGCATGAAAATGACAACTCATGCAAAAGATCAATTATTTTGTAATCAATTTTTGACAAATATTATATTATTAATAAATTCTTTCACTTCCCCTGCTATGCATCTATATTAGTGTAAACACTGTGACCAGTCAGATTCTGCTAACTCTACGTGTACAATGGATCACGGTCACTGCCATCCTTAATATGCTACAGCGAAAGAATTAAGTAATATTTTTGGTCATATGATTACAAGTGCTTAATAGCAATGTCTTCGCTAATATGGCATGCAAATGACAACTCTAATCCTTTGCAATGGAGAAAATCAATTATTTTGATATCAATTTTTGACAAATATTATATTATTAATAGGTTCTTTCACTTCCCCTGCCATGCATCTGTATTAGTGTAAACACTGTGACCAGTCAGATTCCGCTATACGGCGAGATAATTTACTAATATTTTTCATTAAAGATTTTGGCATAATATTTTTCATGGTCATATGACTACAAGTGCTTAATAGCAATGTCTTCGCTAACATGGCATGAAAATGACAACTCTAGTCCTTTGCAATGGAGAAGATCAATTATTTTGAAATCAATTTTTGACAAATATTATATTATCAATAGGTTCTTTCACTTCCCCTGCCATGCATCTGTATTCGTGTAAACACTGTGACCAGTCAAATTCCATCAACAGACAAAAGAGGGAACTGGTAGGTACAGCTGGCATATCAATCACCTCCAGTCAAATTAACTTGGGAGTTCTTAAAAACATAATGGAGTTTGACTGCTCCAATGGCGTAGCTGAATTTACCAGCCAGAGAAGGAGGGTGTTAAAGGGAATATACAACATTCGCAAACATCGAAAAATACAACTACCAAGTTTTTACGAAATACCTTACTAGGATGTTGGTAAATGACAGTCTCAAGCATCTTGTAAAATTATGGCACCTGGTGTGAAGTCATTTTCAAGAAAATGGTGTTTTTGTAAACATTTCCACAGTGGTCGGCCGACCAGCGTTGGAAAAACCTAACTATTTTTCAACTACTGCTCCAAATTTAACATTTTTTCAGTCCAAATTTTGTTTGCTATTGGTTACATGTTCATGAACGGGTGCAGGCCAGCTAGACTGGTTCCCTTGCCCTACAATTTTCCATCATTCATCTATAATTTGATCCATTTTATCTTTTTTGGAGTCAGGGAACCAGACTACTTTAACATTTTTGTTTTGTTTTTGTTTTTATAACCTTTTAGAACACAGAACTTCAAAAATGTCAGTGTAACAATATTTGATCTATTATACTAACCTCTCAAATAGTTCATTTCTGAAAATTACAGCAAAAGCCAATGATGTATATTCCCTTTAAACATGATTATTAACAGTGATTGAAATAAAACACATTGTTTTTAGAATTCATATGTTTTTGGAAAATAATTTTTGCTGACATATAGAAGTTATTTCAGCCATACTAATATTCTAGTCTTGGAATGAAATGAATATTGCATCTATTGTATACAGCCCTTTTCCCATATTTTAAATAGCTAGAAAAAATACAAGATTGCTTGCAAATTGCTTTGGATGCTTAAAGGAATACACTTCCAATCCTACATGGTTGAAAGTGAGAGCCGGTTAATAAAACCTTCAATCCAAGTTAGTGGACGGTTCAACCAGTTTAGGCGGTTTTACTCCAGTTTAGCTACCTCCTCAAAGTAGGCTCCAAGTAGTTTAATCTATAATGAAATAAACAAAAACAAAAACAAGAAAAATCAAAGAACTTACCAAAAATGTTTCAGTCATTTCATCACAACTTTGTATTTTGTGGGTTTTTTTTGGGTCATGTTGGTTTCTTGTTTTTTTGTAAGTGTTTTTGTTGGTTGTTGGTTGGTTGTTTGTTGAGGTGGGTGGTTTTTTTTTTTGGGGGGGGGACTTTGCGACATCAATAACATATGTGTAAATTGAGCACAATTTGAATGATCAAACTGTGGTTCATGCCGCGCCGTGCAGGGGCCAATTTAGAAGACATGATGAAAATGCGGTAACCAGTCTGTGCATGGCCATGCGATCAATAAGCTTTCTTATTCATGTTACAGACATTATCTTTAAGACCTGTAAGAGTGACGATTGTGATTTAAACAACAATGATTTTGATCATGAATGTTGAAATTTGCATAAGGACCTGAAAATAACATTCGAAACGGCAACACACCTACAGAAATGTCGAGGCCATTGTTTAAGTGAAGTTCTGCATGAAGCACTTCCAACATCAAGGATATGAAAGCTCAATATTATGAGCTTTCTTTTAGTACAAGAATCAATCGAATCACTCATGTACTTTTCAAGTTACGGACTTTTAAACACAACCATCATTTTAAAGTTCTATCCACGGTTCTTTCAGCAAAACGAAACAAATCACATGGGGATGTGTGTGAATTGTTTTCGGGTTGCTGAAAGAACACACACCTTTTGTGCGATCTGTGGACAGAACTTTAAAATGGCGATTGTGTTTAAAATTCCTTAACTTGAAAAGTACATAAGTGATTTGAATGAATCTTGTACTAAAAGAAAGCTTCTAAATAGGGCTTTCATATCCTAGATTTTGAAAGTGCTACATGAAGAACTTCAATAACAAAATGGTCCCAACATTTGGGTTTCGTTTTTCTGACTCACCCTGTATTGGACTAAAGGTTCATGTAACGGATACCACACAACGTTTCTGTGTGTGGCACTTTAAATGCATCTCAGGACTGAAGTAAAGCTGCTAGAATATATGCCCCATTTCGAGGGGAAAAAAATGGTTCTCACCCCGTTGATGTAGTTTGAGCGGTTGAATTTCTCATTCTGGGAGTGAGCACTGTCGTCGCAAGCGCCCATGGGAAGCAACATGACGTTCTTGTTGGTCGCGTTCTGGAGCGCGATGGTCACAGGGATGCTACCGCCCTCGCGCGTCATGTCAGGCTCAGTTCCAAACACTGAGGTAAGATCGCAAAATGTAATGTTAGAGTTGAGTAAAGAAATTGACTGGGGTGGGGTTTGAACCTGCGACCTCCGGATTGCCGCTCCGGTGCTGTACCAACTGAGCTATCCAGCCCTATGTTGGCGGTACCCCAGTTTGTCAATGCCTTCGTGCAAGGTTTGCAGCATTGGTAGAGCACAGGAACGGCAATCCGGAGGTCGCAGGTTCAAACCCCGCTCCAGTCAATTTGTTAGTTTTATTATAATGCACCTAGTCAGTTTCCCTTTGTGATTTACAATTTGCAAAACAATATGTAGAAAGATTCAGTGTAGAGAGTGGGGAACACAGTGGTGTAACTAAAGGGGGGTGGGGGGACGGCCTGTGCCCCCCCCCCCCCCCCCCCGATCCCCCTGCCTCTTGTGCCTTGCACTCCATTCAGAGTAAAGATTAGAATTTAAAGATTTATTGCCCCCAAATATAATATCATAATGCTTTAAATAATATATATATTTTTAAATTATTTTTTTATCAATATGTGACAAACATTTCCAAACGTCACAAAAAGTACCAATATGAAAAAAAAATAATAAATAAAATAAACCGATGTGGCATGCTGTAGCTCCTCAGGCTTTGACACATTTGTAATTAAGTTTTGACAATACGTACACTTAAATTAAAGTTGCATTCCCTGGTGATCTTTAACAAATTAAATTTTTCTATTATTTTTTTCAACTTGTACTGTATGTCTTATTTGAGCAAAAACCTCCTTTTTTTTTCTTTTTTAGACGTCTGCAAATCCTCTGAAGAAGTTTTTGTTTTGAGCACACAAATAGATCAGCTTTGCGAACAGACTGGCTCCCCGTCTGTACATTATCGATACTGATTGTGGGGCGGGAACCAGCAAATGGCACTACTGTCTGGCAGCCAATAATTTGAAATTGTAAAGTGATGTTAACTCAATAACTAAACAAGGGTCGATTGCCGTCAATGTCTCATTAAAAAGTGAATGACTTTTTTTTTAATGCTATAGAAAAATAGCAATTTTGAAAAAGAATCTATTTTTTGGGGATGAAACTCAAAAAAGGGACGGGAAACACATCTTTAAGATGTTGGGATGGGAGTTTTCAAACTGATGTGTTGATTGGTAAGATTTGTTGTTTTAGCAAGTTTTACCTGTCTTGACGGCCTTGCGGCCAGCCAGGTAGTGGGGATGATCAAACTCACTAAGCCAACTCTTCCCAGAGTGGCCTGCCGAAACACTGCCAAAGACAAAACAATGACAATAGCAAGTGTAAATCAACCTAAAAAACATGCAAGATTTTACTAGAACTCGTCCAGGCACCATGTATAGGCTCTACAACGTGTGTAATCTATTTTGTATGATTACTTTGTGTCTTGACTGGGCCCATCTGATCAAGGGTAATAAATGGGTATTTCAAAAGAGAAAAAAAGCATTACAACTATGTATAACATATTGAAAACATTGCGAATTGATGTCTCTTATGAAATTAAAATTGTTGACCACAACTACCGTCCAATCTAAATCCATAGGTTTTGTACACGACCCCAATTGCAGTCGTATGCTGGGAATTGTGGACGATATTGTTTTCTTTTGTTCTCTGGAATTTTTCGTCCACGGTTTGAATAGATGAACACGCCCACACATGTTTGTTTTACATACTGTATGTGGACATTACTTTGTTTTTGTGTATTAAGAAAATTGGTACAAAAAATAATTTTACTGAAGGCCAAAAAAAAAAAAAGTCTTCGGTTTCTGGTATGGAGCTTGCCCCAGAAGTGGTGCGGTGATGCTGCTTTTTTTTTTCACCCTACTTTTTTTTCCTTCAAATTTTGGGTGATGTTGTTGATGATGACGCTTCGATCCCCTTAAAACTCTCAAAAATATCCTTCAGGGTGGAGCTTGAGGTGACCTCAGTCAGGGCATAAGGCTTTAGAAATCTGCACCCACTTACGATCTCGACCAACACGAACTTTCTTCGGGAAAGTTTGACAGTCAAGACAAAAGTCAGAGAAAATGGTAACGTCAGACCATTCAACGACATCAACATCGTGCATGTGCTGCCAGGCTGGTCATTAGTCTGCTCCCTTACATATTGCGCTAATTAAAAAGCGTTTAGAGGTTCCAGATACACGACCATCGCTTCCACACACACATCTGGCTTCCACACACACAATCACAAAAATACAACACCGTCTGCAAATGGTGCCCGACTATTCTGTGCAAAATATATAGGAGCCCAGAAAGGCTACATAAAGCTTATACTCGATTGTAACCCCATCTAAAAACACGGTAAAATTTTGCAGCAGCAGGATTCCAGTCAAACTAGTGAGTTTGGCTGTTTTGAGACATAATCTTACATTGAAAACAACTTTTTATTTTGCAGATGCGCATGGTTTTGCCGACGTGCGCGTACCAGAAACCGGAGCCTTTTTTGGGGGGCTAAACTGTGAAAACTCTTTCAACCCCAAATTTGGTTTTTGATTTCCTTGAATGTTTCTCTTCATTCTGCGCCCGATAACCCTAACCCGAAAATGCCTCTAGACCTGTTTTCCAGAGAGGGCGAAACGTTATGTGGACACGGCTTAGTCCACATAACGTCAACACAACCTGCATTATGTGGACATCTTTTGTTCACATGTCCACATAGTGACTGTAATACAAACTCACACACACACAGAAGGAATACGCGATCGCAATATGCCCTTGTCTGGCTTGAAAGCAAGGGGGATCAAAATGGCAGCTCCCGACTTTGGCATATTGCTCATCACAGCTTCATTTTCTGCTTCAGAAAAATCAAATTCAATAACATGAAGATAAAGTTTAGAGAGTTTCTGTTTGCAAATTAGAGGCTTTGACTCTGGAACTGATGGAGGCGGAGTCGGAAATGAAACCATGGTTTTGACAAAAAGAAAAAAAAGTAACAAACTCACTTTATTTTATTGGGTGAGCCTCGCGCCGTGTGAATATCAGTCAGGTACTTGACTACCAACTGGCCAATCTCTTCTGGAGATTGGTTGGGTACCAGACGGATGGAGAATTTACCAGTCACCTTGCGAGGGATCACTGTCTTGGAACCGGCTCCGTCAAAGGCCCCCTGGATTCCTGAAAATTAATAAATTGTAGAGTGAATTCCTGTACTGACGTATGGATTTATTTCACAATGTTATTGCCCAAATCTAGCAGAATGGTTTTGAATGGTCCTCAAGCTACAACTTTGCATAAAGATACGCTAACTACGAATTTCCTGGGTAGCGTTGCCGAAGTTCCCAAGCCTGGGTTATTCACCAAGTTGGAACAGCCAAGATGGAAGTATTACAAGATGATGGTTCTTTACCATGGATGGACAGGGATGGATAGCGCCAACGATGTTGCAGGATCTTATCTTTGCTGTCGTGAAGCAGACGTTCTGTCCCGATTTCCTGACGATATTCCTCCTGTATCGAAAACAGAAAGAGGATGAAAATTGACGCCAAAACTGCTTTGACAAACAAACAAGCACAGTCAGGTTTTAGTCCATCACTTGCAGAACGTCTAATGTCTTCACTAACTTATAATGTCACTGTCAGCATAAGTCTGACTGAATAAAATTTGATGCTGAACAAAAAAATTGACTGGAGCAAGGTTTGAACCTTAGACTCTTTTCAGCGCTCTACCAACTGAGCTATCCAGGTCTATGTTGGCGGTTCCCCATATAACAGGTATTATATATGCTTAATAGCCAAGGATCACGCCCAAAGTCATGAAGCTAGTAACATAAGCAATGCTGCAAACCTGGGAAATAGCAGGGCAATATAAATAGTCAGTTTCCTTTGTGTGTTTTTTTGAAAATGTTAATAAATTTGGATTTACTTCCAGTTCTTAGCTTGTTCAATGAAATTTGTAGGATTGTGATTTACCTAACCCTCCAGGGAATTTTGGCTAGAAACCCTGCCAAACGCAGCAACATGCAACATTTACAAGTCTAAAGTGACAAGCCTGCCCAGTGCAGCAAGATCCACCAAGCCTAGAGTCTCGAGGCCTAACTGCCTCAGAGTCTGTGGTCACCGAACACAGCAGGATACAACTGTGGCATTGTTTCTATGGGACTAGCTCTCATCGTCTCAGAAGTGGCCGTTTATGCACTGGTGTTGGTAGCTGAATGCATCAAAGTGCACCAGACTTTTCCACTTGATGCACTGTGTTGCGTCTGGCAGGGTTAGGGTTTATCCAAGTCTTTGTGGAGCAAACTGTTATGTTCAAGAGATGGAATTTTTTTGGCCCGTACCAAGTCAAAGTCGATTGGTCCATAGAGACTGGCTTCTTCCTCCGTCAGTTCAGCGACTTTGTCGTAGACACCAGGGACCTTGATGTGACCTGTGACGTCTACGAGGCTGTCCAGTAGCGCTATCAGGTCCGTCATGGCTTCATGCCTACAGAATGACAAGATATCATCTACAATGCTCACCATTGATATTATTATAAGAAAAGTCAAATTAGGGTGAGATGGGGTATATTCGACTGGGGGGAGAATTCGACCACTGGCTATTATTCACAAACAATGAGTCTGACTAGGGTTGATTATATGCTGCAAACAAAGTAAGTACATGGTCTTGTTATAAGTAATAACAGTTAAGATCTCACTCTCTCAGTTACACTAGGCAGTGCTGGTTTTCCTTATCCAGTCGAATTCTCCCCCTATCCCATCTGTTTACCAGTAAGTGGGGTATATTCGACCGGAGGCAGAATTCGACCAGTCGTTACTAAGCAAAAACCTTGGGTCTGACTAGGGTTGATGCTATGCTGCAAACATGGTAAGTACATGATCATGTCATGAGTAATTATGGATAAGATCTCACATCTCAATTACACAAAGCAATACCAGTTTTCCTTAAGTGGTCGAATACTCCCCCTTTTACCCTAACAACTTTCTCAAACGATCCACAATTGTATTTTTGAGTAATCATCAACAATTCCAAAAGCCTTTTTTGAAGTTGTACTTTTTCATGTGCAAAAGGAGCTTACTAATTTGCTCTTCATTTTGATATATTACTCACTTTGACGCAGATTGTAAGTGGTTGAAAATGTTGATTTTTTTCATAATCTCTACTGTGCAGGAATTGTCAAAAAAAAGGCCCAAGTAAAAAGCTACTGAGGGGTTAGATCACCTTTATTACTCCCCCACCCCCTCTTCCCTCTTTGTCACTCCCCCAAAAAGCTAAGAAGCGTACCTGAAAAGTCACAGGCAGAAGCATTCTGAACACCGAACCCTTTCACTTGATTTTCAATTCAAAGCTCAGGGCAAGCAGGCAGATTCGGTCATGCATCACAGCTCTCCACAGTGCAATTTTTTGGGGGGAAGTGACTCTCTGTGTGACACAGTTACTTGAACATTTCACCTGAAACTGACCTGCAGGATTTTAAAGGGTTTTACATACTGCTCTGAATATTGTCATCCCACATAGGAGGGTCGATACAACTACTTACACAGAGCCTCCATAGACACCAGAATGCAGGTCCTTCTTGGAACATTCCACCTCCAGGAAGAAATAGCACAATCCCCTGGGAAACAAGACATTCAACGTTTCTTCTGTGATCAAATGTCCCTTTTTTGACTGAAGTACTGAACAAAAACTGGGCAAGACTAGTCTGGCCCCGGAACAGTCTGTAACTCAAAAGTGGCCACAGAGCTATGTCAAAAACAAAACAACTGAACAAAAACTGGGCAAGACTAGTCTGGTCCCGGAACAGTCTATAACTCAAAAGTGGCCACTCCCACTCCCCATTCTTACGTGTGGAGATACTTTGCATCCTTCCCGGGCGCAGACATTTTGAATTCATGTGTGTGTTTGTAGAACATGATGAAATTAGATGCAGTGAATTTTGAAAGTGTACTCTAAATGCAACGCGCAAGTACAACATATGCAAGAACTTTAAACGCATCATGACAGTTAAAAAATGTCAAGGCAAAAATCATCTGCAGCAAATACGCGCACGCGTTTGTGTTGCAAATGAAACACCCATTTACTGATTGTGCATTTCGTTTTTGTCGTATTTGCTTCAATAACAAACCTACATGATTACAGTATAGCATACAAACGCAGATATGCAAATAGCTGCACAAAAGCCATACACAATTTTGAGTTTTCCATAGGTTTGTGCACCCATTGGGTTGACAGGGCCAAACCGACCCAAAACCGACCTGAAACCGATCTGAACTCCCTAAAACCGACCCGACCTGACCCGACAAAATTCAAGGAAAACCGACCCGAAACGACACGAAACCGAACCGAAAATTGAAACGCAAAACCGAAACCGAACCGACCCGACCCGACTGAAATATTGGACAAACCAACCCGACCCGACCCAAGTCGGTTTTTGGTCGGGTCAGGTCAGTTTCGGTTCCGGATCGGATTTGCACAACATTATTCCCAATCTAGCTTGAAACTAAATATCGCACAAAGGGCTGTAACGTGCCTTACCTCAAACCATATGTGATACACGGCTTGTTCTTGCCCAGCCAATAGTTGTCGGAGATGCACACGTAGTCCACATCCTGAGATGAAAACAGAAAAAGAAGACAGTGTTATAATGGAAGATTGCGAGCACTGGTACGTTGATTTGTGTCGGGAAAACAGAAGTACCTGGGTAAGTAGGGTTGGTAAGGGAGAGTGTGGCATAGTGGTTAGGGTTTGTGACTTCTGATCAGAGGGTTAGGGGTTCGAATCCAGCTGCTGGTCATATGTGATGCGATCAAGATAAATGAGTCGTTTGTCGACCCTGGTCAAAAACATTTTTATTACAGATTTGAAAAGAGCACAATCTCAGCATTACTGCTGTGAAAACTGCATGCTGATACCATCTTTAGTTCAAAAATTAAGTCGGAACACCAAGAAATGTGATGAAGTGATGTGATGAAGTGGTCCTATTTTGGCCTGTATCTCCAAATGAAAATTCCCGACAAACGACTCATGTAGCTTGATCCCATCACATATGTTATGTCCTTGGGCAAGCGAGTTCACCCCAACTTGCCTCTCTCCACCCAGTTTACCCCCACTTGCCTTTCTCCACCCAGGAGTGGGTACCTGCATTAGTTGGGGTGCAACCTGCGATGGACTAGCATCCCATCCAGGGGGAATTGAAATATCCTCAATCATTTCATGCCTAGGAAACAGGAGATACACGCTGGCCTGATGAGCTAGTCTGCATGCATCTTCACCCGGGATGTAGATCATAAGTCATCCCCTACCAGTTCAACTCACAAGCCATTCAAATGAGCTTGACAAAGGCATTCCGTTTTTGTTGTTCATGCACTGTTACTTATGATGGACTTGTGAGGGACTCAGCTACATCCCTAAAAACACAATGGGCTTATTTTAGCCCATTCATTGGCGATATGTGCAGACATGCAACTGTGAAGTAGCAAAAAAAAAGGGGAAACTTCAAATTTTACACGACTTATATACAGTGTTTTTCCATTTTTAACCAATTTCAATACAATTTTGCATACCCCCTAGGGAGTTAGGGCTATTTGCACAAATGTGAAGCGAAAAACAAGGAAATCAGCTGATCTAAGTCAAAGTTGCATGCCTGTATGTGGTTATCCTATACAATAGCACTGCCAAGCTCTCATCGCCATACAACCAGTTTCAGTCACAAGTGACAGGCAGTCAGTCAGTCAGTGAGGTAGGTACGAAGAGAACAAACCTACCTTGAAAAATGTGTCCTTACGAGCCTCGATCAGTTCCTCTAAGCCCTCCGAGCCTGATTCTTCCATTCCTTCAAAACAGAACTGCAAATAGAATAAGAGTGAGGGTAGCGCCAGGCTAGATTGCAAACAATGACGATGGACAGGGAAGATTGACTGCAGCAGGATACTTAGGTTTTTTTTTTCTGTTTCAGGGGTCCACGATTCGAATCCACATTTGTCACCTTGATATTTAGTTTTCTGTTTCAGGGTCCGGGGTACGAATCCACATTAGCTCAACTTGAAATTTAGTTTTTCTGTTTCAGGGGTCCATGGTTAAAAACCACACTTGTTCAACTTGATATTTAGTATTCCTGTTTCAAGGGTCGAGGGTTCGAACCCACATTTGCTCACCTTGATATTTAGTTTTTTCTGTTTGAGGCGTTCAGGGATTGAATCCACATTTGTTCAACTTGATATTTAGGTGTTTCTGTTTCAGGGGTCGAGGGTTCAACTCTACATTTGTTCAACTTGATATTTAGTTGTTTCTGTTCCAGGGGTCCACAATTCAAATCCACATGTGTTCACCTTTATATTAAGTATTCCTGTTTCAAGGGTCGAGGGTTCAAATCCACATTTCTTCACCTTGATATTTAGTTTTTCTGTTTCAGGGGTCCAGGGTTTAAATCCACATTTCTTCACCTTGATATTTAGTTTTTCTGTTTCAGGGTCCAGGGTTCAATCCCACTTTGTTCACCTCAATATTTAGTTTTAGTTTCAGGGATCCAGGGTTCGAACCCACCTTCACTCACCTTAATGTTGATAGGAATGTCTTGCTTCAAGGCGCGGTAGGCTTCAATGACGTTCAGCCAGGATAGTACAGGTCCTTTGTCATCAGTCGAGCCACGTCCGTACAACTTGCCATCAACTTCAGTCAGAACGAACGGGTCGGTCGACCAGCCATCCTCCTAAAAAATCATCAATATCATATCATTCCGCAGACTTGACCAAGAATTTGAAGGAGTGTAATTCTAACTAGTACTAAGCTAAAATAAATCAGTGTCACCAAACACTTGAATTAGGAAGAACACTGAGGTTGACTAAGGGGACAGCCAAATCTGGGGACAGCCATTTTCTGCGGTGGCCCCAGGGTCGCGTAAGTCACACTCAGGTAGTAAGCACGCACTCCGGGCTCCTGCGACCAACTGGGTGACCAACATGTGCGTGCCCTGTCTTTAAGAACACGTGCTGCATCCTCACGGACGTGGAGCCACTTCCAAATGGCTTCTTATTTTGTTCGCCGGATTAGTATTATATTACACAGCGTACTGATCATTATAAATCTATAAAAACTGTGATTTCAGAAACAACTTTTAGGAGGAAAATTATGAAATTAAGAGATAACAGTTAATAACCAGCTTGTTTCACTGATTTACATCTGCAGTTCAAAAGTAGATTTTAGTGAGGGCTTTCCATAATTTTTCTCTTCTCTTGTTTGGGAAATTTGGAGTCAAAACTGAAATGAATAGCAAGTTCAGCGGATTAGGCTAAGGTTAGAGCATAAGGTTTAGGGTCAAGTTAAGGTAAGGGTTAGGGTTTGCGTTAGATTCGGGTTATAGGTCAAGGGTTATGGTTCCACTTCCAAAAATATCATCCTGTGTCCCTGCGCTAACCTTTTTGGCCGGCTGCACGTCCAAGTGACCGTAGATGCAAACCGTTTTCTTCTTGGGGTCGTCGCCAAGGTGACCGAGGAGGATAGGAGGCAACGGGATGACCGTTCCATCCTCCAACTCCTGCATGCCGATGTCTGCTAGCTCAATCGTCGCCCCGACTTCCGGCTTTCGGAGGTCCTACAAGAAAGCAATTAAAGCCACTGACCGTCTTTTTTTAAAAAGACTCCGAATATCTCAAATTGTCATGGCATTCAGCAGCAAGTTTTGGAAGTTCATCGGCCTTTTTATGAAGTATCTGCACAGCAGGAGTGGATGAGGGCATAAGTAATCGTAGGTCGTCACAAGTCGTCATAAGATGTCACAAGTCATCATACACGTAGGTTGTCACAAGTCATCAATAATGGTCAAAAGTCATCGTAAGTCATCACAAGTCACTTTAAGTTGTTACAAGTCATCTTAAGTTGTCACAAGTCATCATAAGTTGTCACAAGTAACCACAAGTCATCACAAGTCATCATAAGCTGTAACAAGTCATTACAAGTCATCACAAGTTATCATAAGTCGTCAAAAGTAATCATAAGATGTCACAAGTCATCATAAGCTGTCACAAGTCATCATAAGTTGTCACAAGTCATCAATAATGGTCACAAGTCATCGTAAGTCATCACAAGTCACTTTAAGTTGTTACAAGTCATCATAAGTTGTCACAAGTCATCATAAGTTGTCACAAGTCATCATAAGTAGTCACAAGTAACCACAAGCCATCATAAGCTGTAACAAGTCATTACAAGTCATCACAAGTTATCTTAAGTCGTCAAAAGTAATCATAAGATGTCACAAGTCATCATAAGCTGTCACAAGTCACTATATCCAGTCTAAAGTTCTAACGAACTACATGTACGACAAAGGCATTCCCTTGTCATTGTTCATCCCCCGGTACTTGTGACTCGACTTATGATTTGACTTGTGACCGACTTAACTCGTAAACTACTTTATGATTGATCTGTGACCGCGTCTCCAGAACCTTGTCTTTGACTTATGATTGATCACAGACTGACTTCAGATGGACTTGTGATTCCCTTATAACTGTTATGTGATTGGCATAAGATTGTATTGTGATTAGCTTGAGATTGATTCATGACGGATAACGCTTGGCTTATGATTGTTTGTGATCAACTTATGATTGACTCAAGACTTGTGTTTGAAAACTCAATGACAACTTTGAAGTGCTTATTACCCCCCTCCCCCCCCCAAAAAATACTAACTCGCCTACCTTCCACATAAACCAATGAATCTCTCTGATTCCCAGTGGAAGGATCTTTTCACATACCGCCATCTTTGTGATCACATGGTAATCTTTGGGGCATTCTTTGAAACTATGACCCATCATGCCGAGGATACAATGCATGATGGGGCGTGTTTAATGAAATATTTTAATGAAATGCCCAAAGATTACCATGTGATCACAAAGATGGCGATATCTGTGAAATGGTGTATTTATACCTGAGCCACTACTTCCAGCATGCGTTTGATCTCCGATCGTTTCTCTGGCCAAGCAGACACACTCTGTATGGCCACTGCGTCGGCCAGTCTCTTGACGTACTCATCTTGATGATTGTCGATGAAGCTGGAAAACAAAGTACATGCACACAAATTTTGATGATGGTTGATGAAATGTTGCAACCTGACGCCACTTTTTTCTTCATATATCATCTCAATGAAGGTCATTCATTGCTGAGAAACATTCCCAATTTTGTTAGACTTTGTACACAACCGCTATAGTGGCGTCAGGTTGCAACATTTCCCACTGTTATTTGTATTTTTGCCTCCTTCCCCCCACCTCTCTCTCTTTCATTCAATATTTCAGAACATTTTCAGTTTTGATCCGGTAGGCAGTTGATATTTGGCCGGCATTGGCTTTCTTTAAAACAATATCAGGCCAGCACGGCAATGAACATGCGCAGTGACTTTTTTGGGGACTTTTTTTAATCGTGACAAATTTTTATCGTGACAAATTTTTATCGTGACAAATTTTAGTCTGGTTCCGCGCCAACATTGTCATTGTGACTTCGTAGTCACGAGATGGTTATCAGACCATTTTACAATTTCCCACTTTATTTCCCTTTAAAAATAATCCTCCAAAGCCACGAATTAGAAAAAGATATGTAGCCTAGCAATTTAATGTTGGGCCTTTAATTGGTTAGGGAATGCGATTTTGTTGGACTCATATGAGGCGTCGGACCTATGAGGCGTCGGACTTATGAGCGGACCCTAGACCCACTAACTGGCGCGCTAGAACTCCTTTTTTGACATGTGGGATGTCGATCTGTCATACTAGCGTCCCACTACAGAAGCATTCTCAATGTTTCAATTGCCTTGTCATGAAACAGTCGTTGCTGCATTCCCCGATCTACATGCGGAGTTTGTTTGCTACCTGCATAGACAATGCGTTGCAAAACACAGCCACAACATTAGGCCTATTGAATGATCGCTGTATGATGTCTGTGCTAAAGTGGTTGAATTTCACGGATTTGCAACCCAAAAAATAATCGTATCATTGAAGCCCCATTACTTCGTCTTTCCAAGGTATTTTTGTCAAGTATTTTGCGTGATTTTTGGCAACTTTTATGGTGAACTTTGGAAATTGAAACATTGAGAATACTTGGGATGCTAGTACGACAGACCAACTTCCAGAAATGTCAAAAGAGGAGTTTTAGTGCCCCAGTTAGTGGAGCTAAGCAGACCCCATTAACAATAACACCCCCTCCCCCCGTCAACATTAGGCCTATAATTTTAATTAAAGAGACACAGTAATTTTGTTTAAATGACATGATTGAAAAAAGTTGGCAAACGTTAACATGCTAAGCAAAGTTGTTGATGATTACAAAGATGAGTTGGAATAAAAATGTTTAACATGTTTAGGTTGCAAATAAATGTTCTGATGATCTTAGCCCCATAAATGTGGCCTATTTACTGGACTGCCTCCGTAAACATAGGCCACACGTCCACATGTACAAAAAACGTGTCGACTTTGCCAAATTTTGATTTTCACGTTTAGGCTTAGTTTGTAGGATTTTTTTGCTTTAGAAGCATACTCACCCACTTTATAGGCTAGTCAGAAAGTGCTGCCTTTTTCAGATGTCTAATTTTTGTGAAATTTCATGTTGAAATTTTGATACGCAAACGTGTAAAAATGAATCTGGAAATTTCATGAAAAATATACATCTGAAAAAGGCAGCACTTTCTGATTAGCCTATAAAGAGGGTGAGTATGCTTCTAAAGCAAAAAAATCCTACAAACTAAGCCTAAATGTGAAAATCAAAATTTGGCAAAGTCGACACGTTTTTTGTACATGTGGACGTGTGGCCTATGTTTACGGAGGCAGTCCAGTAAATAGGCCACATTTATGGGGCTATGATGATCTATGATCATTGATGATGAAGCTTGAAGGACGTGTACTGGTACGTGGTAGCCTACGTGTATGCTGTATGGTATAGGCCTACACGCAAAATTGCACAATTTTCTTGGGTAAGTTTGGGTGGGGGGGGGGGGGGACCAGTAGGCATATTACAGTTAAGTAAGTTTGGTAATCCTTACCTTTATTTAGGACCCCATTCCTATATAAAGTTAAAAGACTCACCAAAACACACAGATTTATCCTCATACATATGACATTGTATGAGGCTGCACTTTAAGGAAGGAAGGAAGGAAGGAAAACAGCTCACTAAATGACACTCAAAAGTGACATTCTGATATTTCTTGGCACATCTAAACAATTGGCAATGACACCTTCTTGAATATCAGCAGGTTTAATTTTTTTTGGAAAGAGGGCAGGGCTTGATTTATGAGGGGTGAAAGACGACGATGATTAACAGAAAATAGACTAAAAATGCAAGATGTCGAATTTCAAAAAAAAATACGAGTCACATTTTCTTTGAAAGTGCTTTCAAAATTACAACTAGGTCTAGGCCTATGACTATGACTCATGAGCTTAGCTGAAGAAAAAAAGACTGCCTTTAAATTTAAGCCCCTTTACTAGCCATGTTAGCCTGCAAAAGTCACTTTGTACTGGACAGTCATCTGCAAAAGTCAGTTTTGAACAGAACTCGTAAAAATAGAGGTGTCCTAAGGATAATGATTACCCTAAGTTTACCTGAAAAGCTTTGGAAGAAATTCTCCGGCCATGATTGCAAACTTTCAGCTTAAGTTAAGTCTTAAGACGACGCGACAAACCCCTCCTTTACCGTCTGGGATCGGGATTGCATGGATTGGGGTTCCCCTAAATTCAACAGGTGACGACAATCGATTCTTTGGATATCGAAATATTGTTCCTAACTATAGTATAATGCTGCTCAATGTGCAAAACAGGCCTATAATAAGTATCGAAACTGTTAACTCGAATTTCGAAATGCGTATCTATATCTTGGGAAATCCCAGCGCTATTTCTCATTACAATGCCAATGGCCAGCACGTGATTCGATTGTTTATGACATGATCGACATTACACGTGAGTTTTGTTTACCGAAGGTCATACATAGCGCCCTCTGTTGATCACAAAACAAAGGCATCCGTAGTGCGTGGCCGGTGTCATATGAAAATCAGTTCGTGTGAAAATCGGACTCTTTTCCCCTTTTATTGGTTAAACTCTCTCATGTGACCGGTCCCTCTCCTAATTATCTATGCAGGAGCATGCGCAATACCACAAATGAGTCCGTATTTCATAAAACTTAAATTCATGCTACACCGGCCCGCGATTTTTCCCCCATACCACTTATTCGCTTTGGACGTATACTGAAGCACTTGAGTTACAAGTCAGGTTCTTGGACTTTATTTTCCCTTAAAAAAAATCCTCCAAACCACATATTGGTAAAAGAAAAATGTTCCAAATGACTGACAAACCTTTTAAGAGAAAAAAAAGAAGTAAAGAAGAAGAAAGTAAAAAAAAAAAAGCATCCACTGGGAATCGAACTGTACTCACATCATCGAATTTATAATCCAATGTAATATCAATGACACTGCAGCAGTGACTCGATCGATGTGGTAGTTTTAAACATTATTTTATTGCATATATAGGGCCCTCCAGCATAATTCTATAAATACTAGCGAATATGTGGTATGGAAAAATAAATAGCGGCCGGCCCAACAAAGTAGGCACTGCGGCATTTCTTATTTTAGAGCAGATTTTTGTAGCTAAAAAAAGTCTAATTCTGAAATTCTGAATTAGTTTTAAAGAAGAATGGTTTTGAAGTTTTGAAATTCACTGTTTAAGGAGTTAATTTGCTTTTAAAAACGGGGGAAAAAATAAAATAATAATCCGTTTTTGGCAAATTCTCATCATTACGCAATCCAAAGAGATTTTGAAAAAGTCATTGGCTGAAAAATAACAGTCCTTTTACACTTTTGCAAATGAAAGGGGACATTGCAAATGAAAAGGGACATTATAATATGACTATCGACAATATAACTTGAAGAAATTATTGAAGTAGCGGTAGTCGTTGCTGTATATTTGTCGCATCGATGGACACGTAAGTAGGGGGGCCTACATCACATTTGTGGGCACAATTATTATTCTGAGAGGAAACAAATTTTGCTTGTTCGTAAATGGGGCAGTAATACATGTACTACTTGAAGGGGTTTTGAGGCGCTAGACCTTTCAATAAAAAAAAACTAATGCCAAAAGTGCCACTTGGCAGGGGGAGGCAATTCCCTCCCCCCCCCCTCCCCGGCTTGACACGCCACGACAGATACCGAACCGGCCATGGTGCTAGCTTGGCGGCGCGGAGGCGCTAGACATGGGGAACGCCGAGATCATGGATTGACGTTCCATTCGGCTTGAGGTTGCTCACCCAAGATTTTCACAAATTCGATTTCTGTTTTCCCCTTGTCTTTTCTACTCTTGACGAAAGTTAAATTTGTTTGTGAAATAAAAGAACTGTTAAATTAGTGAACTCGATTTTTTTTTTCGAGTTTAAGCATGATGAAAGGTTATTTGTTTAATTTCTGGTCGCGTTTGCGCCTGTCACATTAAAAAAAATACGCCAGAATCATTGTCGGGCCGTAAATAATTCGAAATTTCAATATAATTCCTGCACCAAACGTAGGGGGGGAGGGGGGGTTGTTTAAGTTTCTTGTGATAACTTTTGTATTGCTAGATACTAACAGCAATAAAAAAAAACCCCAATATCATTGGGGGGGGGGGGGTGAGACATAAGACTAACATGAAATCAATTTTTAAAATGTAACATAACAGACACTTGAAATTAACAATTTATCGGAGCTTATTATTAATGCAGTCGACTTCCTATGTACATACCCACGTTTAATGCGGCCTTATTTACAGTCATAATAGTTCAAGTTGAATAATTATATGAACTATATTCCCAATATTCATTCTGATATAATATACTTCAGCTCGTCTGTCACCGAATGAAATTATTCTTTACATTGCACGAATGTGAAGCTTTCATTTTTTTTGGCGACGCCTGAATAAATTCTCGTTACCGGTACCTGATTGGTGTGTGACCGTGGAATGGAAAAAGTGTATATGCACGGATATCAAACGTTGTGTGGATCTAGCACTGCATGCAGCGCACGTGAACATGTAATCCACAGAATACGCCGTAGATTTGGACGAGTGCCACGGGATAACTTACGAGCCACCAATCGGATTTATTCAGGCGGTGCGGGTCACAAAGTTGACTACCACGTTAATCCACTGACATGCAAACTTTAGGGTTTCAATAAAGCCTACTCTTAACCCTAAAGGGGTCGGGGACTGATCGCCCCCCCCCCTTCAACTTTTTCCGCAACAGCCTTGATTTTTTTTTTCGCGACCCGAGCTGTTCTGACTTGCGCATCTTTTGATACCAAAAACATAAAATTCAGACCACGGGTTGTCGCGCATCGAAAAACTGAATTTCCCCATAATTATGCGTAGTGTACACAGACCAGAATTACCATTCGTGCAATGAACAATTAATTAGCCCATAATTCCAAAATCCTTTGACTATATAGTCATGAAATTTCTTGGGTATGTTCATGAATAGTTGTTCTATGCATGTACCAAGTTTCATAATTTTTCGTCACTCGATGGCCGAGATCGTGGGGGGGGGGGGGCGAATCAGCCCCCCCCCCCCCCCCCCCCCCCCCCCCCCCGGCTGAGAGATGGTTAAAGTAGCCCGGCCCTTTCAGGGTTAAATGTAGGCCTAGGATCATCTTCAGTTTGAAGTAACAAAATTGCTTACAATCTCTAGGATTCATGACATCGACACCAATAAACCTGTTGATGTTTTTGCTCAGTGACGTCATTTTGAGAAAATAGAGAACACATACGATATATGCACAATTTTGGGTGTCTCATGGCATTATTAAATTCCATAATACTAACGCATTACATTGTACGTGTGGAAATCACCTTCGATGGTTGTCACCGATCGAATTTGCACCACCTACTGAGTTCGACGAAACATTCTAAGTCAGCTAAGCTTTTTCCCTAATGTGCTACTCCAACTAGACCACAAGGAATGGTACAATGATCATGGACCATTGGTGCGGGAACTTTGAATGTTTAACACGGTCATGCACCGTAAGCTCATAGAAATTAACTAGTCTCATTTGCAGGCGTTCAACGTTTGTGCATGCAACAAAGCAACATTGTAATAATAAGGCAATATCTTTGGATGATCACTGTTTTTCCGCCCCTCTGGGTCTTTTGGTATCGTCCATCGATTTATTCGCGTCTGGTTGCCATGGCACGCTTCGTTTCATTTTTTCCTTCTTGGATTTTAAGACGGCCACCGCGTATCGCCTCTGGAAGTCGCTGTGGAGGATATCGCCACAGGAGGGCGCCCTGGTCATGAACCCGCTCCGGGTCAGTAGGCAGAGCCCTCTTCCGTTCATGGCAAACTTCAGCGTGTCCACGCTGTCCAGCTGGTAGAACTCCACAGCCCACTGCAGCCAGCTGGCCACGTCGGTTCGTTTCCACAAGCGTGGATCTGCGAGAAATTGCGAGAGTTTGAAAGTTTGACTTTAAGCAATCAACAAAACATGCCACAACTTTATTAAACCCCAAAATAAACCATCTTCAACTTGAAAGCTAGGCCATTTCACTGGTGACATGGCTTAACTGAGTAAGTACTGGAACGTCTTAACCGAACACCCGCTATACCGAACATTCGGCTATACCGAACATCGTCCTTGGCTCCCGATTTTTGTGAACAAAACGTACCGAACATTGTTGTTGAAAATGTCAATAGGAATAGAAAGGGGAAGCCACCCATTGCTGTAGGTAGAAGCTCAAATACTGTGCAATTACACAATTCAATAGTCGGCACGTGTTCAAAGTCGTCATTCAGTAAATATACCAGGGTGTGCAAGGTGAAGTTCTGAAGGGCGCTATTTATTGAAAAGTGAGTACCGGAGCACCGGCAGCTTCAAATCGTTATACCGAACGGTCGCTATAACGAACAATTTCTGTGGACCCCGCGATGTTCGTTATGGTGGCGTTCCACTGATAGAAACACGCCCAGAAATGGAAAGGATACTCATGGGGCAAGATATGCGATGTCTTCTTACCAGATTGGCAACCAATCACCGTGCCATTAATCTGATTTTGTTTTCTACCTCTGTTTCAAGGGGGCGCTTTTGGCGCAGTGCGCTATAGCGCCCTCAGTGAATGGGTGATAAGTACCTGCGAACTCAATGGGCAATTATTGTTGTATGCATGAAATAAGATGGCATTCGTCGATGGTAACCATCAGGTATACGTAATCAATTACTTACCATTGTTCGATACCCTGAGTGTATTTCTATTCTCCTGCATGTCGAGTTGTTGATATTTCTGCCGTATCGTCAAGTCGACCACCTTGTCCAGGTAGTTTTGCGCGTCCACCGGTTGGTGATTGTCGCAAGAATCGACAGGGCTGCAGATCTTGTTACTGAAGATGGGTAAAAAGTGGCGGGAGAGGGAGTAAAGCGGTGAATAAAGTACGCAAAGATCACCTAATGGACGGCGAAAATGGTAGTACTGCGCGTACGCGTAATTGCCGTTTTTCAAAAAGCACTTGAAAGCCACGTGTTTATCTTCTTGTATGCATAGTCTCTTTAACACTTAAAGTGCTTCTGCTGTTTTTAAACAATTTCCGTGTGCCAGAAAAGTCTGTAGAAACAATACTGACAGTGCAACAGTGTATTTGTTTTTTCTTTTTGGGAGGGGGGGGGGTTGAAGCTCTGTTTTTGAAAGTGCCGAGCATTTTGTATAATCTAACCAGAACGCACCGACGTACATCTCAGATTGAGTACCACCAAACCAAAGCAAAATTCACCCAAGATAATACTCAAGAGTGTTTTTTTCCTAAGTGTAGGGCCTATACGTTGTTTGCAATTCCAATATCTTTGCGACCAACATTGCATGTCTATAGGCCGTGTGGCTACATGTTGACCAAAATGATGTTGAACATACTACATGTATAACATTATTTTTTTTTTATCCAAATCCACTGTTATAGACAAATCCGGTCACGTGATAACTATACACTCACGAAAACATGCCCCTTTCAATAGAGTAATCATTGTGCGTGCTGTACAAATGAGTAACTGTCCCGTGCCGGTGTAGCGTGAATATCCGACTCCATAAAATGTGGACTCATTGGTAGTAGTGCGCACGCGTGAGTACGATACTATGCTATTTTTAGGATCGTTTGGGGAGAGTGACCTGCCACGTGCGAGGGATTAACCAATAAAAGGGAAAATGGGGTCCGATTTTCATAGGAGTCGGATTTTCATGTGACACCGGATTATCTTAACTAGCACAATGCTTCTGCTCTCCTCCGTGATACATAGCGTGTTCGGATTGGCATGTATCACCACACATACCTCATAATAGTCCTCGGCGCCTCGTCGGTCGAATTTCTCAATCTGTGTATCAGGAATATGCAACATCAACACCTGCTTCTGTCAGCTACAACGACCGGATACCAAGGTGTATTTCTGAAAAATTCGAAGACAAAAAGAAAACCAGAAGCACTCATCAGTTCTTCAGATTTCATGAATTAGAAGGCGAGATGGTCATGTACCAGAACTGTAGGTCGATCGCTAAAGGAATCGTTAGACTTTTAATCTTGCGACAACTGCTAGACGAGCAGAGGCTATACGAACTTAAGCATGACTTGTGGAAAAGCATACCGCCCTCTTAAAATGTGCGCTAGATCAGATGAACCTGGACTCGCACAAGAAATTTAAAATAAATATCCCCAACAGAAACAAACATTTGCTTAGCCGGGCAAGCCTCAGGCACACGAGATCCGAATGGTGCTTTTCTCCAGAATAAAATCGAGGCATTTCCGCATTCCACGATGGGTGACCCATCGCCTTAGATGTCATGTAAACAATGCTGTAAACATGGACATCTCAGCTCACATGTACAGTATCATCACGCTCGAGTCCTCTCTGTACGAGTTCTATCAGACGCAGCTTGTGCTGCAGTGGACAAGGTTGCAGACCAGTAAACAAACTTCCATAGACCCGAATGGTAAATGCTCACACTTCAGAAATTCGGGAAAAATACTCACAACTCTCCAAGGTTTTCCAGACACACATCAAATTAAAGCTTATTTCATCATCTTTCATTTTCTTTTCAATTTTGGGGGGTTAACTGATGACTTTTAGGAGAAATTTCCATCCGAAGATGATCACCCCTGAAAATAGTCCTGAAGCCCATCGCCATGTTGAAAAACGATGCCTACACTCCATTGCAAAATAGAGCGCTTTAAGGGCCCCACAATTTCATCCAAATTGAACGGAACTACAAGCTCACAGTCCTGTGCACGGCTTCCACCCATATGTTTTACAAACCCTCAAGTTCATGGCCCACAGCATGCTCAAATACTGAAGATTTTGAGGGCATGCAAATCGTGATTTGGCCGGCGCAGGCAATTTCAGACCGATTTACTGGTCAGGCTGCAACCACAAGAATTCAATGACATTTCACGCTGGGGACAATTCTGTAAGGCTAGCCCCAATTTCACGGCGCAATATTAGCAGGTGATTTTCAGCTAACAGAAGTTTATTAATTTCGCTGGAAAAGTTACCAGCACTGCGCCGCTCAGCTAGCTCAGAGCACACATAATTACTTCCACTGCAACAAACAATTTGCAGACATGTATTATGTCACAAAAGTATTAACGTGGCGTCGACACGACGTGCTATATTGAAGTTTGCGCTATTAGTGTCAGCTTTTCTCATTACAGAAAATGAGCTAACATCCTTGATATTCTGCAATGAACTAATTTTGTGAATGAAAAGACGCAACACAATTTCCAACATGAATTGTGGAAAGTATTGCAAGTTTGATAAATAAAAAAAAAAATACCGAAAGTAAGTTTCACCTCGATCCTCTTCCAACTCACACATTTTGCACAAATGGCGAAAACAAATTTACTGGTAGCCAGGTATTCATTAAGGTACTAAAAAGCATGTGCATGCTTGAACCAAGTTGAATTCGAAGGCGCAAGATCAAAATTATTGCGCCTAGGCTCAGGCCCTGTCTCCATCTTTGGCACCTGGGTTTACCATGATAGAATATCCGAGTATCCGAGCAACTGTGCTACTTGATCGCAAGTACATATACCCTGAGCAAAATAATTTTTCTAAGTGATCCCGTGCCGAATCGTTTCCAGGCACGTGAAATTTATTGTATCTCCATAAATCGACCTCAGCTGGGTTTACTCTTGTAAATTTAGTCTGCACTTTCGTGAAACCACACTTAATTTGAGAAAGTAAAGACCACGCGACCAGCCTATCTGCAAATACATCTACGCGATTTTAAGTAAAACACTGACGTCCTTTTCTCATAAGCTAATAAGCTTTGTGTTTTGCAATTTTAACGCTGAAGGTAGCATGCATGGCAATACTAAATGTGCATACGCATGTGGCAACATAATTTAAGTTCATCACGTCTAAATCTGGCAGATTTGTGTTTTCAATTTTTCAGCATCTACCCATCGATAATTTTCATAAAGAAAAAAAAAATAGGTCTACTTGCATCTTTGTATAACACTAGAAACTGCATAGCTTACCGACTGTCCCAATGCATGAAGTTTTTCCGCAGCATCCTACAGCGAGCTCGTCGACTCCAGCAAGAGCGGACCTCAAAAACACCTGCTGCCTCTCCGGTCTCCCTTCGCAAATTGTTCCTCATCCTTGCTCCCAACCTCACTCTACCCTCCCGGATCCCAGGACCTTTGCCCAGGGTCCTGCTCCCGCTAAAACACAGAGACTTTTATAAGAAGCCCTAGATTCCCGGGGTCTACGCGCGGCACATCACAAGCGCTCCTTTTATGGTCATCAACCTGCGCACGCGCGCGCGGCGTGAACACCTGTGCTAGTCTGAGTGTTGCCCACTTTCAGAGACATATTAGGAAGTGTTTGGGGAAACCCTTTTGTTATGGAGAACCTATGCAAAGGTGTTTTGATACGGTAAACTGCACAACAATGGATTACTCACGGAACTAGGAGATGGGAAATCCCTCCCCCAAAATTCCACTTGCCAATCGCAATTGGGCTAATGTTATGGTCCCTTTTCAAGGAAAAGGGTGAGTTTGTGGAACGGTATTGCTAAGTAACACGTGGAACGCACCAGTTGGATCAGAACACGACGTGGTTTCCCTATCGAATGATGATAATCATTAACTACTGTCACATTGTTTCATTGGTTGGTGGCTCAGCTATAGCTGTTTGTCAGTCACGATGATTAGCTGTCTGCTAGGTCTGTATCATTGTCTGTGGGTCTGCTGCCATTTTTATGTTTTGGCTGCGTTTATGTCTTGCAGCAACCATTAAATGTCATAATTCTATTGAAATGATGTTGGGAAATTCGGAGCATAGTGTAAATAAACCAAATCACGTCTACTTGTTTGACGTCGACTTTTACCGTGTCACGAAAAGCAAACCCTTCAAATAAATGCAAATGTACTGTTTGCATGTTAATGTGGTGGTTACAAAATGAACACATTACGCTACACATTGGAGTAACATGAATAAGATGGGAAATTTTTTACTTCGACTCTTAAAGGTTTTTAATAAATTAAACAAATTCTGACACACGTTTCTTGGTTTTTTTTTCAATATGAAAACCATGGGGGGGGGGGGCCACTGAAACTTCTGGACTCAATAAACTACATGGGTTGATGTCCAACATTATGGGTGGTATGGGTGGCTGGTGAAGCACTCCCTCCATAGAGCATAGAGCAAGGAATCTAAGTGCTCACATCACCAATGTGGCCCGAGTTCGATTCCCATCTCAGACCACTGTATGTGAGTAGAGTAGTTCGTTGATTCTCTCCTGTGCTACGAGGGTTTTTCTCCGGGCTCTCTGGTTTTCCTCCCTCCGCAAAAATCAAACACTTTGGATCTCTGGCTGTGCTCCGTGGTCAAACATGAGTCATGTGGCGGCTGCCTCTAAGACGCCTTTACATGCCTTCGGTTCGATACGTTGTAGCTGCGTCCTTCGCAGTCCAGCTTCTCAGCTGCGAGTATATGGTTAGCTCCCCCCCCCCCGCATTTTTATAATCGGGCCATACTCATTTCAAAACTAGAAATATAATAATGTTGGGGTTCCGCATTGTAAAAGAAAGAAATAAAGACCTGGTCTGTTTCGGGACAGCAAAAAAGAGGAACAGGACCATGCGGGTAACCAGACCATTGCGGTATGAATAAGCACATTTCTAAAGGGAAACTCGGCAGAAGTTGTTCCCTTTAGTTGAATAAACTCAAGCAACAGCCGGATAGCCATATATGGGCATGAACTCGTGGAAAAGCCCCAACAGATCGCGCCATTCATATACAAAAATGATGCTCATGAATGGATTACCACAATGAATGGATTTCCCTGACAATACACTTGAAATTTAATTTATTATTCCGCCTTTCACAACTGCTAGACTGGTGCCATGTCTCGTTGATTTTTGTGTGAGCAGCTGTCAAAATTACACCACGAACAAAATACCATGACAGCAAGACACTAACACTATTGTTTTGATTTTCAGCTTTTTTTTGATATATCTGTTTAGAAAAAGCTCACGGTCAGAAACGCGGCATACAATCTATTCTGTCAAACACATTATTCTGCTTGCGTAGAGACTTGGAGCGAGTCTACTACGATTGCGGAAGTTGTCGTTCAAAAATCGACAGAGCTATAGAGCTCGGACAACGAAGGCCTGTATACTAGCATTTTCTTTGGTTGACTCATATGCAAAGTGGGGACAGTTTGTACCCCGTATATGGCGTTCAAGCTCAAAGTTGTTTAAAATGTTCAACAGACCGATGTACAGGCCCCGCCCACTTGGCCGGCCCATGCGCACCTGGGCTATTATAGCACCGCACACGATGAACTATTTAGTCCGACTTTTGTGCGCGCATGTCGAACATAAATCACGGCTGCCTTTCGATTTTGCGGCGGCCAAGTTACCAGAGGAAAAAAATATCTTGCTACCTGTAATTGTTTGTCAGCAAATAAGCCTCTGTACTGATGACGTCACACTTTGTTTACATGTGCGCTTTTCTATGGGGCTACGAATTACGGTCGTCCCCACCAGGCTCCCATAAGAAAGCACACATGTAAACAAAACGTGACGTCATCAGTGCAGACTAGAGGCTTATTTCATGTTGTCACCACCCCTTCAAAATGTTCTAGCCAACCCCAGTGATGAGGCCAATTCAATTTTGATTTTTTTCAAACTTGAGCAAAGACTATAAAGGGGAGTCAGGTTGGCGCAGCGGTACTTTCCTGGCCTTCCACAATGACCGATGTGACCCGTGTTCGAATATCCCGCCTGGGCCAATGTGTGGATTGGGTTTTCAGTCCCTACCTGATTCCGTGGGTTTTCCGCAGAATATTCTTCTGGGCGTTTCCTCCCACCTCAAAAACTGTAAATTTGTTCTCACTGTCTTCTCTCTAAGTTGGTGTGATGTTGCCGGCCCCGGGATGTTTTGCCGACTTTTATGATACAGATAAAGTCACTCGTAGAATCACTTGCAATCACCCAGCAAAGTACCTACCGATATAATGACTATAGGCCTTAACATAGGACTGGTGTCAAATACTCTGTAAGATTATTCAGCCTGAATCACAAAGGCCTATCGTTGGGAGAAGTAAACAACCTTTGGAGATTGTTTTTAAAAAGAATGTCTTGGGCACACTTTTTTTTACGTGCGCTAGCAACAGAATCCAGCTAGTTACGCCCCCCCCCCCAAATGTACATTAATGTTTTCTGTGCTTTCACACGCACCGCAACTAAGACAGCTCTTACATGCTATAGGTATATACTCCATTGTTAAGACTTGGAGTAATTTTGTTGCGTCAAACGTAAAAAAACTATTGCACAAAAAAAACACATCAAATTAGTTCTTACTGTGTACATAACGAGCTTTAATGAACATTTTATTTATTTATATATATATATTTCAAGACCACACATCTATTTTGCACAGTATAAACAACCTGCTGGTGGAAACAGCCGTTTTTTGTATTTTTTAATTTTTAAATTTTTTTTGTAAATTATTTTGACAACATTATGAAGAATGATAGTGCGCGCAAAGCATGCACCAAGGTCAGTCAAGATTGTAAACCTTGGTCAATTGGTGGCGCTGTCTACGTGTAGTAGTAATGGATGAAAAGTAACTTGAACAAAGCATGATTTAGTTCCCGAGTGTTTTTCATGGAAATTGCCGCAGTAAAATGGCAACACAAGGTAATACATTTCAGAGGATAATAATAATAATTGAATGAATCGTGTTAATTTAGGACATGTTCTTGAAATTAGCTTAAAAGACGTGAAAATGGTCGTAAACTGTTGTTTCAGCTGCGCCCAGTTTCCGGACAGTTGTCCTTGGCTAGCTATCGTTACGGCAGCGGTAGCCGTAACGCGATTTTCAACTGTTATCGTCACGGCTTTGAGGGTGGGGTGGCCAGTAAAATATGAGCATTTTGATGGGGTAGAATTGGGCCAGGTTTGACTCCTCCGTGGCCGTGGGCGATCGTGAAGTGTAGGGCCCCTGTTTTGTTTTGATCGAATTGAGTCTAAAATGTTTTTTATTGATCAAAAATGACCTTTACAATCAAAAGCAGACTTATTTTCAATTCTAATGACACCCATTTTGCAATTTTGAACAGATTCTTGGGGTAGAAATCACGATTTTCCTGCGCGGTTTGTGCCTTGCGATTCAGCGCGCCGTGCGTGCTCACGGTATACATCGCGTGGTGATCCCCATCTTTATTTTCGGGGTGCATGTTGTCGCCACGCTGTCAATGTGTGTCATTGTCATTTTACCCCCAAATTTCCCTAAAAAATCAAAACCCTGCCCTCTATCTATGACATACATGTACCTCAGCCTGTTTATTGAGAATGTCGCCAACTAGGCCTACTAGTACTACTAGTTTGGTAGGTCCAATAATTTTAAAGTGGATTTTGTTCCCTTATAGGAACTGGGCCTTATACTACACGATCGCCTTCCATTGTGTACACGCGATGGAGTCCAGGGTATGAATTTCTGCTGCCATATATTTTTACTTGAAGGAGGAGGCTGAATCTTTGTTTACAGACCTTGACCTTGACTGTGTCCAGAATTACAAAGATGCTCGGTTTAGAAAAAGTAAATACGTCCGTGGGCGACGTGTTTACCGAAAAGAAATTGTAGATCCACGCTGTCGTCGTAAATATCCTCAGTACAAACTTCTTGTGTGAAGATTTACGCGCAGTAACATGTCAACAGCTTCCTCCATCAGGTAATATATATGAAAAAAAAGACTTTTTGTAATTTTTTTTGGCTCTGCCTTCTGGCAGCAAAAGTTTATACCGTGGACGTCAGTCATAATGCAATGAAGACGTCGTTCAACCTGGGCTAGGGTAGAATGTTCTTATTGTGGAGACTAAGGACAATCCACATTTCTTATAATTGCCACAGATCGTAACCCGTCACCGCCTACGGCCGATCTGCTCAATATCGACCCTGAGCTCCTGCATGCAGACACCATAGGAGATACGGTCTTCAGCAAGCGATGGGTCTTCTCAACGCTCATGAAACTACTCAAGGTACACATGTAGGGAAGTGGTTATCTGCACAAAAATGAAGCCAAGTAAAAAAAATTAACCACTTTATAGTCCCCGCCCAGACAGGGCTCTGGAGTGCTCTGAAACGTGCAAAACTAAATCTGGCCCACTTTACTCACAGTTTAGCCAGCAAATTTCTCCAAAAATTCCACAAGGGCAAAGAAAAAGTCCTCAGTATTTCACCAACCAAGTTTGCAGACTCAATTCAATTTTTAAAGGAGACATTTCTTCAATATTTTGGCATGGTTGATTGATGCAGTACTGAAGCTGTGTTGGACTGGTTGTCTATGTTGAAAATATTAATATATGTCAATATAATATTGTCTCTTTCCTTGTTGCCAACAAAATTGGAACTACAGTTGTCAGGGTTGTATGTAGAAAAGGTGACGGCTCCTTTAGATGCAATTTTGTATCGGCTAAAAGAGTTGAGAAAAGGGAAGAATCCATCCGCCACCTTGAAAATCCACCAACTTAATCTATGGGAAAAAAGGGCCGGCTCCTTCATTTTTTTCAAAACCCTGGACGAGAAACTATTTTTTTTGCTTGGCCTAACAAAGTTCCTGGGGTTTCACTGGAACAACATTGTATGGTTTGCTTCCATCTCCGAACTGAACATTTCATAACTATTTTTTTTTGATCTCAACCCTTGGTTTATGAGTAACTCCAGCATGAGGAAGTGTACAAATGTAGTGTCTGTGACAGAGGCAATTACCATAATATCTAATTAATGATTCAGAGAAAGGATCCAAAATTAGACTCCTAGTCTGTAATCTGCTTGACCATTACTAGATGATGGCTGTATAAGATTTGAAAAATACATTTTCAGGTTTAATTCTGTGAGCTCTTAATAGCTCTGTCACGGATATTACATAATGCTGGACATGCTGAAATTGCCCATGTTTGTAATTAACTGATAAAATACATGTACTTTAAAACCCACCACAGAATTAAACATGATCTAAATTTGTAAACAAAATCTCTGCTTTCAGGAAGTTGAAAAGGAGCCCGCCGGAAAGTCCTCCCAGGAGCTGGATGCAGCAAAGGCTCATGGGATAGATATCGACGAGTCCCTCGAGGCAGACCTGTGCAAGCTGTGGGACATGACGGCCAACCAGGACGTGGCAAAGTTTCTCCACGAGTGGAAGTCGTTGGACATCCTGACGAGTGTTATCGAGCAGACCACGGCTCCCAGAGTCACTGTAAGTTGGTGGTGTGCATTTACGGGTAGTTCAGGAACCAGGTACCCTATAGGGCCCAATTTCATGGAATCCGTAATGCCGAATTTTGTGCTAACGGCCCGCAATTTTGTGCTAACCGAGCTAGCACAAAAATTCTGCGCTAACCTTGTAAGCACAGAATCGTTAGTGATGGGAAGTACGCATGCGCACAAGCCAAAATTCCTTGCTAACCCGTGAAATACGCTAACTGTTAGCGCAGAATTTTCCGCTATAGTTAGCGGCGATTTCTCGCTAACCGTTACGGGTTCCATGAAATTGGGCCCAGGTCTCTCTCAAAGACGTCCATCTCTGTAGGAGAACTGCAGTTGCGTATTTTACGCAGTCAAGCACGCATTGCTCAGTGTTGAAAATGTGCCAAACACGCGCGCTTGTTGCTCGAAATGTGTTCAACATACGACGTAGTCGATGCACGTTATGCAAGTTGACGCTCAAAATGGTTGACGCCGATGCACATGGCTGGTCTGTAGGAAATGACGATATTTAAGAGAGACCTATGGAAGTAACACATGGATGCCCGGGTACCCATAATAGAAACCCAACCCCAAAATTCAAATCCCGAAAGTTGTCTGAATGCTTGATTGTAGCTTTGCCGTGTAAACTCCAACCCTCTGGGACGTTAAAGAGGTTGTGGAATGCTCGAAGACATTTCCGTCATTTTTTGGGTATATGTAGCCTAAGGTGTGATGAAATAAAAACGACTATTGTTTCTGTCATGAAATGAGTACAAAGGTTACTTTTGAGAGCTATTTTTCAGGTCCTGTTTCGGCCCGAACGTGCAATTTGTGTAAAAGTCGTCGTTGCGGGCAGCAAACAAAACACAGTAAATCGTGACGTAATAAACAGGACTCGTTTATGCTACTCTGCATCGGGAGTCCTGTTTATTACGTCACGATTTACTGTGTTTTGTTTGCTGCCCGCAACGACGACTTTTACACAAATTGCACGTTCGGGTCGAAACAGGCATGACAGGACTTGAAAAACAGCTCTCAAAAGTACCTTTTGTACTCATTTTATGACAGAAACAATAGTCATTTTTATTTCATCACACCTTAGGCTACATATTCCACAACCTCTTTAACCCTTACCCTACTAGACCCTCCAACGCATGCCAATATGTGCCTCAAGAAAATCTCCTATGTTTTTTGCATGGCCCTCCAATATCTGCCATGTCATTTCAAGGGTAACTGGACAGGCACTCCAATACATGCCACAGAGAACAATGAGAGTCCTCTGATAACAATCAAGTGCCCCCAGCTGGTCAGTATCAGGCACCCTCCAGGGCCTCCAACTCCTGCCAATTGGAGCCTTCACAGTCAAGATAGTTTATCCTCCAATTAACTGCAGCTGGAGGGCATTGGCATAACCAACTGACATGCAGTAAACTACCCTCAGAGAGTAAGGGTTAAAATGTGGTATGTGAAACGTGAAATCTCTTTGGTTTTCCATGTAGCCTGGTTTTCATTTTGAAACTTATTCATTGTCTGAGAAGTTACTAAGTTTTTGTAAAGTTGGTTACGGGTACCCGATCCCATAATCTGGAACCAGTTCATGGCAGGGGTCGGGTACTCGGGTACCCGGTTCCGATGCACACCCTTTCTGTAAAGCAAACATGAAGCCTTCCCTCACTTGAACATGTATGGGCTACAAGCGCAAACAAGAGAGGGCCCTTTTGATCACTTTCGAGAGCCCATTAAATGGGGCACACTGCTTGCATGTACTGGTTCACTCTCATATCACGTGAAGTACGCACGCTTAATTCTATGCTGAATGTGCACACAGCCATAGCGTGTTCGCATGAGCGTCAGGCGTCGTGGTAATATGTATGTATTTGAATGTCTCTTTCAGTGGTCTCCCCCAACTCTCCCCTTCTTACCGTTGAGGGGGTTCTTGTGCACGGAAAGCATTTTTTTGTTTCCTTTTTCAGTCCTGATGATTTGAGGCACGCGATTGCACCCCCACGCCATCGCACGCCTAAAAGCTTCCCGAGAAGAGTGAATAATTGCCACCTGAATGGCCCTGGACCACAGAATCACACACCTAGAAAATCACACACCTAGAAAAACCACACGCCTAGAAAATTTCACCTGTGCCTTTTTGCACACACCTGTGATTTTCAAATCAGAACGACTGCTTTTTAGCTGATGATTTGGCAACACCTTGGCCAGTATTTTATTTGCAATTCTCAAGCCAAACACTGGCAGCAGATGCAGCAATCTGCTTCAAAATCATTGTTTTCGTGATTTAAAGCTTGTTAGGTGTGGTAAGGAATTCACCCTCAGACTTTTTAAAAAATAAAAAGGAGGAATTCTTGCACATGTATAACCTGTTCGCGTCGGAGGCCGTGATAACACGCACTGGCTGTTTTTGTGCACAGGCACAGCTGACGGGTTAAGATGTCAAGATTGCTTCGACTCGCCTTCGGGTGACGTCTAAACATGCTAATCCCTCGTGTCTTTTGTACACACACAAGCAATCTGTGTAGTCTGTGGAGGCAGACTGTGTGCTGATCGTTGTGTGGGCCGTTGTGCACGGCCTATAGTTTTACAATTGCGCTCCAGTGCACACCCCGGAGTATTGAAACATATAAGGAAACATATTTGAAATATCGTACAAATACTGTTGAAATCAAACCTGCGACCTTTTCAAAATTTTGAAATTTTCGACAAAAATAAACCCGGCGTGAAGTGGTTAAGTCAAGGAAAGTTTCATAAGCTTACAAAAGACCTTCATGACCTTCTTACTTTATATAGTAGATGTCTTAGCAACTTGATTGCCAAGCTTGCATACAATGTACATGTATATTTGGAGTTATACATTGATCGTGATATCGATGACATTTGGGGACAGTTCCATGAGCACCACCATTGATGACAGTGACATTAATGACAGGAATGATTACACGTACATCATTGTTTTTTGATGCAGGAGATATGCATGGGTATTCTTGCCAACATGGCATGTAGCAAGGACATTGCCGGCCACATCAGCAGCAACCAGAAAATCAGGTAAGAGCTACATGGACATGTTCTTTTTGGCTGTCACAAGAGTGGTTTGGTCGTGTCCTTTTCCAAGTCTCCAAATCTACTGAAACGTGATAGAAGCAGTATAAAGGCAGTAGTGACCTTACATGTACGTTAGGTCACAGCCTAACACAGGTGTATAACATACTGTAGCAGGAACTAATTGGGCTTTGTCCTCTGAATCTGGCAAAACGCAAGAAAAGGGGACAAACATGCAGGATTTCCAACTTCTGGAGAAACTCTTATTTATTCAGCAACAAGAACTCTGTGGTCAACCTGCCACACTGCTACCAGTACCACGACTGATCATTCCCAGCATAGAAAAATACACAGTCTGAACAAATGTATACAATTGTAACAACTTTACCCAACCCTGGAATCTAGCCAAGCTCTACTGAACAAAAGAAGCCCACTTAAGCAACCCATTTAAAGAGCCTATTTCTGGAGCGTGCGCTAGCCCAGACCCAAAACCAGGTCAGGTGCGTGCCGCCGGAGCCCCTCGGCAAGAAAGCAATGACAACAAAAGTGCTGCATAAACTGTCTGTTACAATATGTACAATGTCAAAATATTTGCAAATGTACTTGGAAATCTGAGTTGGAAGTCTGAGACATAACAAACCATTCAGTCTCAAGTCAAGTAACAAGCTCTTCAATTGAACTTTGATATACCCTTGATACGTTGTTGCTTCTGACATGATTTGTGATTGGCTCCACTACAACTCCGCTTGATAAACTCACCATGATATTTTGGTTTTACCAAAACATAGGTCGTTGACGCTGGATTTTCTAGGCAGTAGCGACACGCAGACCCTGATACAGACTACCAGACTTCTCCTGACGTGTCTGTCCAGCAAAATAGAGGAAACGGTAGGGTTGTGGCTTCAGCAAATCACAGAGGAGTTCTGCTCCAAGCTTGCCTTCATCTTGCAGAGTTCCACAAACAGTGAGTTTGGAATTTATATTATCGCCAAGCAAACTTGCATCCTTGATCCTGATTGATCGATCCGTGGCAACAAACCGTGCTACAGTATCTCATATACCATGAGCTGTACTGCACTCCGCGTATCGCACTATTCCAAAATACGCGCGCCATTCCTGCTGCACGCACGTGTGATAAGATAACCGCTGCAAAGTTCTTGTACAGTGTGTCCGTTCCAACTGTACTGTGCATCAAGTTTGCTTTCAGATCAATTCGCTATCCCACTCGCTCTTGTGGAACACGGAAAGTGCAGCGCGTCTGCGTCCCACTTGGCCTTTGGCCTCGTGACACTTGGGACACAAGTGCACTTCATTACTCTGTGTTCCACTCGCACCCGTAGGATATTGTTACATCGTGTGCTTGGATACTGTATTTTCATTGATGTAGAATGGCCACGTGTCTGGACAACAAAAATACATGTCACACACCGAGGGCGACATTGCACTGCGTTCATTGCGGGGGTTGCGCGCACATGTGAAACCTGCCGGCATGCTATAGCTTTCCGCATTGAGAACTGCAAGGTCAAACGCTCAGTTTAATGTCCGGCAAGACATCAAAACCTTTTATCCACGGTTACATCGCAGTTATTTAGTTTATTTCTCAGATAGTAATTTACAACCATTTATCTTATTGAGTTATTGGCACGATATAACAAAACAATTGTTGTCTGCTTCGTCTGGGGTGCTATGCGCCCCTCGGGTGTTAAAAACGTCATATCCCACATCACAGCTGTTAACAATTGTTAAATATACATGTAGGAAACATTACAGAAAAATTATTGCGGACAACGAAACGGCTGAAATAGTCAAACTCTGTCACAAGCACTGTGAGAAATGTACACAAACCAAATGTGGCCGGGGCTTGATAGTGCACATTGACCAATGAGATCGTGTCTTTTGGTCAGGTGACCACTGTAGCTCAGTCAAACTCAGTCACAAGCACTGTGAGAAATGTACACAAACCAAATGTGGGCGGGGTGTGACAGTGCGCATTGGCCAATTAGATCATGACTTTTAGTCAGGTGACCATGGTAGCTCAGTCAAACTCAGTCACAAGCTCTGTGAGAAATGTACACAAACCAAATGTGGGCGTGGCTTGGCAGTGCGCATTGACCAATGAGATCATGACTTTTAGTCAAGTGACCATTGTAGCTCAGTCAAACTCAGTCACAAGCACTGTGAGAAATGTACACAAACCAAATGTGGGCGGGGTTTGACAGTGCGCATTGGCCAATTAGATCAAGACTTTTAGTCAGGTGACCATGGTTGCTCAGTCAAACTCTGCCACAAGCACTGTGAGAAATGTACACAAACCAAAATTTGGCGGTCCATGCCACACTGACTCTCTGAAACTGGTCCATTCCCTCCCCTACCGGGGTCAGTAGAAATGATCGATGAATGTCATTTTTTTGTCACGTTTCAGTCGAGCTCTTGTACAATGTGGGTTTCATCATGAGCACTCTGTTCTCATTGGACGAGACGCTCGTCCAGGATTGGACAGACACGGAGCAGATTGTCAGCGTCATTGAAGCCCTTCGACAAGTCAGGTGAGCTAAGGGGCACGGCTTGGGGGAGGGGGGGGGGAATTGAAACCTCGGCTTCGTCTCCAACTTTGAGTTCATCTCTGTTTCCAGAATCATTAATGTCCAAACCGAATACTGTAGTAAAACTGAATATGGGTTGATGTTCCTGAAACAGAGTGATCCTACATTTATAGTAAGCCTGAGTCCCCAAAGTCAAGGGCTTAAAAATAACTAGCAGTAGAAGCTGAATTGCGAAGGATGCAGCTACAATGTGTTCGAGCCGACGGCATGTAAAGGCGCCTTAGGCAGCCACCGTACAAAGCGACCCATGTCTTACCATGGAGCAAGGCCAGATCGAAAGTGTTGATTTTTATGGAGGGAGGAAAACCGGAGAGCTCAGAGAAAAACCCTCGTGGCACAGGAGAGAATCAACGAACAACTCTACTCACATATAACCTGAGCCGGGAATCGAACCCGGGCCACAGCGGTGAGAGGCGTGTGCTTAACGGGCTACGCCACTAATGCCGTTTATCCCTAACTCCTTCTAGAGGGGTTGTGCAAAATCGTATTGAAATTGGAGGATTCAGGACTGTTAGGGCTATATCAGTTTATAACTGCTGTGCCAGTTATACTCTGGAGACAAAGCCAAAGTTTGGAAAAAGCCTCCTTGTTTTTTGTCCATTTGCCCTAACTCGCTTCACATGTTTCCTTCCTTAAAGAGGTTGTGGAATGCTCGAAGACATTTCTGTCATTTTTTGGGTATATGTAGCCTAAGGTGTGATGAAATAAAAACGACTATTGTTTCTTTCATGAAATGAGTACAAAGGGTACTTTTGAGAGCTATTTTTCAGGTCCTGTTTCGACCCGAACGTGCAATTTGTGTAAAAGTCGTCGTTGCGGGCAGCAAACAAAACACAGTAAATCGTGACGTAATAAACAGGACTCGTTTATGCTACTCTGCATTGGGAGTCCTGTTTATTACGTCACGATTTACTGTGTTTTGTTTGCTGCCCGCAACAACGACTTTTACACAAATTGCACGTTCGGGTCGAAACAGGCATGACAGGACTTGAAAAATAGCTCTCAAAAGTACCTTTTGTACTCATTTTATGACAGAAACAATAGTCGTTTTTATTTCATCACACCTTAGGCTACATATACCCGAAAAATGACGGAAATATCTTCGAGCATTCCACAACCTCTTTAAATCCTTTAAATATTCCACAATGCAAAAAAACTGTACTATATATTTCAAGGAACACCAAATCGCGATGTTAGTAACAGTGCTGACTCCTAAGCCTTGCAAAGGTCTGTGATGGAGTTATTGACTTTATCTGCACTGGTTGCTAAAACAGTCTTGCATCCATTATAAGGTCACTCCCATCATCTTCAAAGCTACCCGTGGTCTGTGTCCAGCCTACATCTCAGAAATACTTGTACGTTACATTCCATCAAGACCCCTAAGATTGTCTTCCCAGCATCTTCTCACCATGAACCCCGGAAAAATGAAGAACTATGGTGAAAGAGCATTTGCATGTGGGGGCCCTAGACTTTGGAATTCTCTCCCACTGTCTCTGCGATCAATAACTGACCTGGAATTGTTTAAGAGCAGCCTTGAAACAGATTTATTTGAAATTTGTTTTCCTTAGTCATGTATTTGTTCATGAATTGTAAAGCGCATTGCGAGCTCCGACGGTCCTGAAATGCGCTATATAAGAATTTATCTTCAAGTAAACTTGAATCCTCGATCCTGATTGGTCGATCCATGGCAACAACAGTGTGATATGAGGCTGTATTGCACGGTCCATATCGCACCCTGCGTATTGCGCTATTCCAAGATGCGAGCGACATTCCAGCTGCATGCGCTAAACTGCTAAAAGGTTCGTGTAAAGCGATGGTCCAACTTTACTGCGCGTCAAGTTTGCTTGAAGATAAATTCGTTATCACGCTCGCGCTCGTGGAACACGGAAAATGTAGTGCGTCTGTGTCCCACATTCAGCCGAGTGGTATGTGGGACACAGACGTACTACATTATTCCGTGTTCCACTCGTGCTCGCGGGATAACTAATAGTGTTATTATTATTACTTTAAATACCTTCCATTTTTACTTGACTGAACCTGTTTGTTATATGACCTCAGGTCTGGAGAAAAATCAAGAAGTGGCCAATCACGAACCATCTCACTGCTTCTCAGTTGCCTAGAAATAATCGTTGCGGATGATGACGGCATGACGAATCTTGGTGAGTACCTGTCGGGATGAAAGTTCCACACAATTGACCTATCGCCATTTGCGAGTTAGCCACGCCCCTTAGACAACCCTATGGAATTTTGTACACTAAGTTTTGTTTGTCTCAGATTTTGCGCGTTACACTTCCGTTTGTTTATCATGTAATCATGGTAATTTGGACAAAATTTCACAAGCTGCGTTGACGCGATTCTAACGCGGCTCTACCGCAAAAGGTCACTTGTCAACTCACACTGAAAAATTCTGCTATTTTATTTGCTGAAATCACATTTTGCAAACACGTGTAAGTTAATCACCAGAAGCATCAACATCTACTACTTGTTCATTGTTGTCTTTGTAATAATTGTTGACATCTGGCAATGCTTTTGAATGTCTCTCCCAGTGGTTTCCCCCAACTCTCCCTTCTTACCGCCCTTGTGCACGATACAGATTTATTGAGTTAGTGTTAAATCTTGGTTAAACAATCATCACTGAAATAATTGTTATCTTACCCAATCGACCTATCGCCGTTTGCGAGTTAGCCACGCCCCTTAGACAACCCTATGGAGTTTTTGTACACTGAGTTTTGTTTGTCTCAGATTTTGCGCGTTCCGCGTCCATTTTGTGCATCATGTAATTGGGCAAAATTTCACAAGCTGCGTTGACATGATTCTACCGCGATAGGTCAATTCCTAAATCATCAACATGGATAGCATCTAAATTATCCTTTTCATCGTGTTCACATGAAATCGTTGTTTTCCATTCATTTTAAGCTTATTAAATCATTTCAGTTTCAGCCAGTGACACCGTTCTCCCCCTGTTGGCGGACTTCCTGTGGAGTTTCTGCGAGGATGAAGTCGTGACGGTGGACGGCAGTGAGGGAAGTCTTGCCTCCACGATCTACATCGTCGAGGTTGTCATAGCAAACATGGAAGGAGCCAATGATATTGTCGAGACGTTAAGCAAATGTAAGAATTCATGTCCTGTTGGGACAAAGTATTTTAATTTATTTAACCTTCCCTCTCTGGCTGGCAATTTCAACAAGGTCAGCCCAGCAGTCAAAATAAATCAAGTGACTGTTTTTAACAGTTGAGTGCTCCCTGCCTTCATAAAGCAGGATTGACTGGCTGTGATTGTTATGAATCCTGATTTAGCTATGCTTTGACTTTATGAAACCTGATATTGCTATGCTTTGACTGTAGGAGATTGATAAGCCAGCTGTGCCTACCAGTCACCTGCTTTTGTCCGTTGATGGAATTTGACATGGTGTAGGCATGCAACTTTTCCTCGGATCCGCTGATTTCCTCTTTTTTTTTACTTCTCATGAATGCCATTACAAATTAAAAAATACTGTACAAAGTCTTGTGTGGTTTGGAGTTTCCTCATTTTCCCCAAATTCCTAGTTTCATGTCTGATGGTGCCAACATGACACATGATCTGACTGTTGGTGACCAGCCTGTGTAAAAGGCATGGCAGGGAAACATTTTTGACTGTCTGTGACTGATCAAACAAAAGGAGGGTTAAGATATATAGTGTAGTGAGTACATGTAGTAGTTAAGGGTGAAATAATTTAATGAAAAGTCAAAAAATGTGGTCATTGGTCTTGTAGTATAGTGTGAGTTTCATATACAATATTCACATTTTGTGCCATGGTTACCAATACAAAATGTTTCTCTTTTTTTTTTGGTTTCTTTTTAAATTCAATTGTATTCTTTACATCCTCTCCACAGATCCCAAACTTCTTAAAGGAGCCGTTGAGATATTTGCCTCTCTCTACTCGCAAAAAGCGGCGGTCGAACAAAATCCCTCCGCTGACCAATCAAAGGATTCGTCCAGCCAAAACACGTCGGAATCAAACATCAAACAAAAAGACACCAAACCATCATCATCATCAACGGAAGAACATTGTCTCAATGAGAACAAAACAGGGACTGTTGCCAAGGCAACCGATGACGTTGATCATGAAAAGGGTCAAGGGGACGCATCACAGGGTCAGACGTCTCACTCCAAGACAGAAAAACTCACAGAACCTAAAACTCTCTCGGACTCCTCATCGGGGCATAGCTCAAACTCCCACAATGCGCCAGTGGGGACAGACCGCATCATCAGGGATGGCAGCACTGCTGTCAGTAATCCAAGTGACGATCACAGTGACGATGCCGATGATGAAAGCCATGATATCGAACGGAAGGAATTATCCGACAACCTGTCGTCGTTTTTTGTTTTCCTGTTGCGAGAGGCAGGGGTGAGTTTCGATTCTGTCAAATTTGCCAACGCAGTTTGCTTAGATTATGTACTTTGTGCACGACAGTCGTTAATCTATGTGAAAACTTCACAAGAGTTTCATTGCGTGAGAAACGCTGCATGTACACACGCTGGTGCACACAAGAGTTTGCAGTAGGCAGTGACTAATTGTGACCTGTTCTATCAAAATCAGACTTTTCTGGGCATAAGGTCGAAAATGATATTTTTACATATTGTTAACATATGTTCTTTTTCCTTTTAATAGGTGGTTTAATTTTTGAAACCGGTCGTTCCTGGGCAGAGTTATGCTATTTTGAATTTCATTGCGTCGAAAAGTAGAAAACGGAGAAAATGGCCACGAACGTCACAAACAGCTATTTCTTTAACTGATATACCTTATCAAAATCATCAAAAATAGTATATGTAGAGTTCAAATTAGGGTTTCAAACATTTACAATGTATTTTAGACATGTTCAGGATTACAAATATGCAAAAATTTGAAAATCGATAAAAATCACCCCCACAGCGTTTTTTTGGCCCTATCTCAATTTCAACCTCTGCCCAGAAGCGTCTGCTTTTGACAGAACAGGTCACAATTTATTATGTAGATCATGACTCGTGGGGTAGTGTGGCCAAGTGGTTCGGGTTCATGACCAGGTGGTTAGGGTTTGTGACTCATGATCACAGGGTCAGGGGTTTGAATCCTGCTGCTGGCCATTTGGCGTGTCCTTAGGCAAGCCACTTTACTCAGATTGCCCCTCTCCACCCAGGAGTATGAATAGGTACGGGCATTAGCTGGGGAGTAACCTGCAGTTGACTAGCATCCAATCCAGGGGGAATAGAAATATTCTCAATCGTTTCGTGCCGGGGAAATAAACGCTTGCCAGATGGGCCATTATTGGCTTGTGACTTAAGATCATGACTAGTCAGTTGATGATGATACAATGTAGCTTGGTCAAACTCGGTCACAATCACTGTGAGAAATGTATGAGACCCAAATGTGGGCGGGGCATAATTATTGGCTCCGCACTTGAACAAGAGAGGGCGCTTTTACACCACTTTGAAAAGCCCCGCAGACGGGACCCACTGCATTAGCATACCGGTTCGCGCATGTATAGCGCGAAGTACGCACAACTTATTGTATTAAAATGGGCACAAAGCCATGCTTCTTCCTTTGAGTGTCGGGTGTCGTCGGCAGATCGTTCGAATGTCTCTCCAAGTGATCTCCCACAACTTTCTTACCATTGAAAGGGGTACTTGTAGCCAATAGCCAAGTCGAGAATGGTCCATTGTTGTTACTATTTTTACACATTTATGTATTTTTTCCCCATCCTACAGGGTAGTACATCACAGTCGCAGGTGGCGAGCTTACTTCGTGACGCGTGCAGCCACAGGCACCGTTCCTTGCTGAGAGAAGGAATGGCCAAAACTAAAGCCAATCCTGAAATACAGCAACTGCTCGCAGCGACACTCGGTGACGACACTTGAAGCATTACTTAAGGAACACCCTTAACACACCCAGTCGTGTTTTGCCATACTTCTGAGGACCCTTATCGTTCCCTTCTGTAGTTCCTATTATTTACTACTACCATGAGGTTTGTTTATGAAAACCTCCTGAGGACTTGCACTCAGGTCCTCGGAGCTATTGTTATCACAGGTAGCCCATTGTCCCAAGTCCTTAGTCGTAAAGGATAACAAGATGACATGTTGAACACATAGCCCATTTTTGTTTTAAACATGTGTCCTGTTTAATACGTATTCTTGGTGACGGACCCAAACCCTGCTGAATCCAACAGGATCCAACTATGTCACATACCCGATGGAGCCTGTTGGATTGAGCAGTCAACCCCTTGTGTACATCCCTCATGCAAAATGTTGGATTCAGCAGGCAACTGAACCGCATTATAACACATTGTTGGACTCCGTTGGATTCACCAGACAACTGAAAATGAGGCACAGTGGATTGAACAGGAAAGTCCGGTTGGACTCTGTTGGATTTAGCAGGTTAGTCCTGAGGAAGTACTAGGGGATTAGGGTTAAAGGGACATTACAGCCTGGAATGCACACCATTGGGCGACAAAAAGCATTTTAAACGAAATGACATTAATTTAAAAAAAAAGCATTTAAAAGTACAATGTAAAGGTCCACACAACCATCCTTTAAAAATTGGGCATTTTTGTGTTATTCTTGCGAGAACCATGCGAGAACAAATCTCTTGGTCACAATTTTGTCCCCGAAAAATCGAGCTGCGAGTGCTGGTTGTGATCCAGCTGCACAGTGGCTCGCATTCTGCGGACGTGTAAGAAACATCATTTGTGCATTGGTCATATGTGTATTGTGCACCACACACACAACGTTACGCTGTATTGAATAGACACGACTTGAAATATGTACATGTATGTACACTTGCCCAAGATCGCAGTTATTGGAAGAAGCTTGTAGTCGCCTGCTCCGCTCCGATGATGGGTATGCCACAAAAAGGCTGTTGCGTCCGATGTGAACAACCATGTTTTTTTCCCACTTTTCTCAGGAATGGTAAGACATTAGGGTTGTTTCCTTTCAACCAGACCTTTGAAGGAGGATTTAGTAAACAATCCAAAACATGACATTTTCAGGGATTTCCGGCCGTTATGCCCTTTTAAGTGTTGCTCAATGAACATTGATAACACAAGTTGAACACATAACCCAATAGAGATGAAACTGGGACCAGGCCATATTGGAAAAAAATTTACCCAAAAAAATCGGGGTGCATTTTTTTTCTTTGATTTTCAGATTTACACGGACGTGTGTTGATACCGTGTATTTTTAATATTTGATATGTGTAATACACATATTGTAAAAATCATGCAATAAAGGTGTTTTTTAAGGAAAACAATTGGCATCTTTCGTTTTCGCGACTACAAATCTCAAAATTTTAAAGGCGTTTTCCTCAGTATTTTACTTTTTTGACATGTCGATAAATATGAACTGTAAACAACCATAAGTTGTCAATGGAATGTCCGACTGAAGTGCAGCAAACAACATTGTTATGAGATTTTTAGTCTTTTTATAATAACTGCAATGTTGACGTCGCCCAGTTTGTCTTTTGGCCAAAACACTTTGTATAATTATATCCCCTTAATGAACACAGTTGTGTGTTTATGAAAAAGTAGCGACTATTGGTGACAACATTTCAAGTGTTACATCTACAACACACGTGCTGAACACATCATCCAGGTTTTGTTACCCATGGTGCATTACACAATGGACAGTGATAATACATGTTCTATTATTAATACTCAAAACATTTTTTGAACACAGAAAGGCGCGATATCGTTTATTGGCACACTAATTCATTATCTATGAATACAATGTGATTTTATAAATACATTGATGAAATAATATGAGTTGTATGACTCGTAGATTTTAAGGAACACATTGCGTTGTATGACCCATGTTTTGTTACCCATGGTGCATTACACAATGGACAGTGATAACTGATAATACATTTTCTATTATTAATACTCAAAACATTTTGTGAACACAGAAAGGCGTGATACCGTTTATGGGCACACTAGTTCATTATTTATGAATACATTGTGATTTTATGAATACATTGATAAAATAATATGAGTTGTATGACTCGTAGATTTTAAGGAACACATTGCGAATTATTTGTGTGATACATGAAAGTACTGTTTTATATATTGCACATAAGTGTGTGATACAAATACAGGATGGATAAAAAAAACCCGAAACCGAGATATTATTGCTAATTGGAACAGAAGTAGGGTACATGTGAATCAAAGGGAAATATCCTCTGCTAGGGTTGAATCTCCTCTTTAAAATAACACCCTGGTTATGTCATTACATTCACAATTGACTGAGCAGTGACCAATTTTAAGAAAGGGTCTATGTAGAGACTTGCGCCACTTTTCATCAATTGTGGTTTTTGTTGTGTCATTTGTGACAGAGTGAAAGGCTATGGTTGCCAATCAAGGCAGGTGGGGAAAAAAAGAGATTTCACCATAAAGAGTGGCGCAAGTCTCTAAATAGACCCTTTCATAAAATTGGTCACTGCTCAGTCAATCGTGAATGTAAGGACATGACCAGGGTGTCATTTTAAAGAGGAGATTCAACCCTAACAGAGTATATCTCCCTTTGATTCACATGTGCCCTACTTCTGTTCCAATTAGCAATAATATCTCTGTTTCGGTTTTTTTGGATCCACTTTGTATACCTGACTCATATAACAAACACACACAGTAAACATGTAGAAGCAAAACACCAAAATCTACAAATTAACATTTGCAAGAAATATTGAACTAGAAAGCACTCAGAGAGCGCAAACCTCCGCCAAGGCTAAACAATTCCCCGCCATATTGTCAGTACACCCAACAGAAATACTCGCACAAATGGTGACGAATCCTTAAAAAAGGAATTCTGGATCCATACCCAGATCACTACCAAAATCTAATCGGTACTTGTATGTTGTGTCAAGGACCGCCACCCCTAAAAAGTCCGTAACTTTTTGAGTGATCTTGTCAACAGACAAACCAACCAACCAACCATAATAATGACGCCTTGGCGGAGGTAATAACAAAGCAACTCTGATGACAGCATAACTTCCTTGGCGGAGGACATTTGAAAATGCCGTTTGGTGGCATATATGTAGAATGATGCTGGAAGGGGGGGGGGGGTGCTAGAAGATTATGCTTGCTGGAACTACATTTAGTAAAGATTTTTTTTCTGGTAGACTGGTTGTCAAAATCAAAAAGGTGGGGGGTTGGGGGTTGGGTGGTGGCTGGACACCACCTTACTATCAGAGGCGTTACATAAAGCATTTGATATTGGCCACCATCGGGCAATAGGCCTCAGTGTTTCCCCTGGCTAATGAACTGGGCGAGGTGGTAACAGTTCAAGTTGATGATTGAAACGAAATTTACAGTCTGCAAACTGAAAAGAATGCAGCGCTCACAAAAATGCGCGATGATTCCAAAAACACATCGAAATTGTGAGTTCTTGATACATGGAGGTAAAGGAAAATGCTCATATATTACACAAAATGAAAATTTTTCAATTGATATTTCCTTTTTTGCCAATCTTCACAGCGGGGTGGTGATATTGGCAAAAATTGAGCGAGGTGGTCACTGAAAGTAGCGAGGTGGGCCACCTCACGTTTGAATGGGCAGGGGAAACACTGATAGGCCTACATGTAGGTGGCGCTGTACATTGCAGCAAAGCAACCAAGATGTGAAACGCCTATTAGGCAACCTCGTCCCCAGGGTGTCGAGCAGTACGCGCCCACCACTACCTGCTCTCTCACCCTGGTATTGGATCATTTGCATGTGCAAGATTTTTGCACACGTATGCAAATGAGGAACAGTCTGGTGCCTGGATATGCGTTACACATTAGCGTTTGTTTTTGTATGCGGTGTCTGGGGTAAAAACAGAGTCAATTCGTAGCAGCGCGAGCACGGCGTGAGTTACGAAAACACGATTTTTGAAATCAAACTGTTACGATCTTATCCAGACAACATGCAGTATCATATTTCATATTAATATGAGCAAATTTGAATTAAAGGAAATTAGTATTTTCGAGAAGGCGTGGACGAATGATCGCGAAAACACGTACAGCACGTTCTGAATAATAGCACCAAGTACGCGATAAAAATCCATTACTAGCCAATTGCGGTATCCAATCGCGGTATCCAATCAGGATACAGGAAGAAAGTTTCCTATCCAGGGTTTACTATTGGAAACTCGGTTGGAAATAAAGTAAGCACTGGGGACGAGGTTGTGATTTTTTGCCAAGGTATGCACCCCTGTACAGTAGTTGGAAAATATGTGATAGCATTGCAGCGGTGGCAGCTTTTTGGGTGCTATCACTTAAAAAAAAAATGGCGGCCAAAACATGTTTGTTACCATTATAATTAATCCGGTAATCAAGCATATTGGCGGCCATTTTGGAAAAAAAAAATAAAATAAAATAATAACACCCAAAATACGTCACCACTCACACTGCAGGCTATCACACATTTTCCAACTATAGATGTGCATACCTTGCCAAAAATCGCTATGAACATTGCTCCTTTCGATCATCATTTGATACCGGTGGCCCAATTTTGGGACCGAATTAAGCTGATAGCCTATATTTTTTTGTCTCTCCCCATATGCCCCCCCTTTTTAATAGGCCTTTTGTCTAAGGGATATTCAGGCATACAGTTAATGGACACATGTTTCATGATGTTCATAATTAAAATACATTGGTTCTGGCATGTGCACTTTTTCTCAATGCGTGGATATTGAGTTGAAATACCAGTACAAAACTTTTTTAAACAGTATCAAATCACGATATAAATACGGATACGAAGTTTTTTTGGGGGGTACAGCTCAGGCCCACTTTCATGGCTCTGCTTACCAGGATGACCGTAAGGTCAGAGCCAAATTCTGCACAATCGTAAGCACAGAATTTTTATTTTTAGCTGTGGTAAGCACAGCCAAGAAATCGAGTCCAGTTTTTAAAATTTGTGTCCAAACATCCACAAAATTGGACGAATTTAGATGCAGTCTAAGAACTGAAGATCATTTGATTACTGAAATAAACTGATCCTATTACTACCACTACAACTTACATTTTCATTTCAATGTTATTTTAATCTAATTGCAAAACAACTACTTTTATTTCTTGATTAATTTTTTTTTACTGATATTTTCTATATTTACTATATAATATCTGAATCTTCAACATTTATACCACTACATCGTTTTTAATTCATGCAAAAACTATAGCAGTTTCTATAAGCAGAAAACATAATATTTTACATCGCATGACAACAGAATCCTTGTGAGTGCATGCAATGTACCGTTCCAATAAGCCCCGCCCAACAATGCGTGGGCAACAACACGTGGGCAACAGCAAATGGGCAACAACACGTGCGCCGTTTCAGTGCCACGCGCGCTGCACGACCAAGCCGCGCGCGTCATACGCACGCGCACGCATGTTACGACAAATGGCGGCGTTTTGTGCACGCATTTCGGACATTAATCACGGCTGTGATTTGTCAAAGCGTCATGGGGCGGGGCTAAATGGATCGGTACGTCTGTTACAACCATGGATCTCCATGTGAAGCTGCACGCTTCTGAAAACAAGAAGTACATTATCACACTATTACATTATAGTACGTTAATGGGCAACCAAAAAAGAAAGTCCTCCCTTAAAGATATAGTCCATCATTTGCAGCCATCCGAAAAGTAACTGGCGTTATTCTTGTTGAAAAACATACTTGGTTGAAAGATAGTAAGGGGACTAAACTCCCTGTGAAATTATTCTTTCTGGCAAGCAGTCATTTTGAAGTAATCAACGAAAGAAGGCCTTTCCAACGGTGCGTCTTAAGACGCACCGTAGGAAAATTTAAATTAGTAGTTCGTTTTGTTATTCGGCGAAACGCGCGCAAGCATTGGCACGGCTTCATTGGCTTCAAACGAACAAAATGCACAAATTACAAATGATGGACTATATCTTTAATACTTTTTTGTCTAACTTTAAAACTACTGGGCACATCTTGCTCAAATTACGACTGATCAGTACAGAAATTCCTTAGCAATCCAGCTATACTCTTTGTTTGGCCCAAAACAGTGATAATGTGTACAAATTATGCAATTTATGACAAATGGTACCGAAAAAAGTTGCACTTTTGTATACATGTACGTGCAAGGTGGGTGTGAACCACAATTTCTCTACTGATTAGTCGTTATTTGAGAGAGAGGTGCTCAGTAGTTTTTGAGTTGGACAACAAGTATTGGATATACAAATTATGAATGTTCATTAGTGCAATGGTAAGAGGCAATGTCAATGAGGGGAACGAATGTTCCATTCCGCGAGGCGAAGCCGAAAGAGTGGAACGGAACATTCCATCTGTAATGAATGAAATTATTCTTTCCATTGCAAAAATATGATCATTTGTTTTAAAGTATTGTTATACAGTACCTGAATAGTGAGTCCGTGAAATGGAGGTTGTATTAACCGTGGAATGGAACTTCTATTTTTGCGATGCGGGTTGGATGTGGTTCTGGACGAATTGACCTATCGCCGTTTGCGAGTTAGCCACGCCCCTTAGACAACCCTATGGAATTGTGTTTTGCGCGTTCCGCGTCCATTTGTGGTATATCATGTGATTGGACAATATTTCACAAGCTGCGTTGACGTGATTCTACCGCGATAGGTTAATTATTCAATGACGTGACCAAAGACCTACCAATCAGATGATGGGGGTTAGTTCAGGCGTTGTATACTAGGGCCTAAGGCTTATTATTTGGCGCACAATACGTCAGTTCAAATAGACCGCTTGCAGACGCGATCGATAATTGACGCGCGAAGTTGCGCGACGCCATGTTATGGGACAAAATGTGCATGGATAGATATACGCCTGTCCCACAACATGGCGTCGCGCGCCTTCGTGCGTCGATTATCGAACGCATCTGCAAGCGGTCTATACATGTAATAATACATTCTATTCCCCACAGTTTAATGCACACCTAGACTAAGTTAACATCATAAATATTATAAAATAATAAGAGAATTTCGTTTTAAAACTAGAAACCAGCGTTGAATAAGAAGTAATGGCCTTACCTCCACTGTCCTAACCTTTAGTCAAGGCGCGCGTGTCTACCCGGACGCGTGGTGCCCCAGATTCTGGCACGAAAAAAGATCAGCCCCTCGTGCTAGTCTTCTTAAGTGCCATCATCCGGGGCGCTTCACGTGCACGGATAAGCGCGTGGGACTTGACTAAAGGCTACCACCGTCCAAGCAACATTCCAATCTTCATTTCTTCCTGGACAATGATATTGCATGAAAAAAGGGACTGTTCGGACACGTCGTTAGTTGTAATTGCCATCTTTGTATTAAAAAATGCCAAGTTTTCAACCACTAAGTCAAAGTTCAGGGATGGAGACGCCCATCAGCACCTAGTATGTAGCATGACGTGGCAACGGCACGAGGACAGACTACTGCTGGCTCTGCTGCTGGAACCTTCACTTGGGTGCTGTTGATCTCGCAGACAGCGTATCTCTCATGGTAACATTCGATGTCCGTCCATTTACCGGTGTCGCTTATGACGTCGGCACAGTGCTGCCGATGAAGATAATTATTTGGCTGGCCGCTTTTCCAGTCGTCGTACGGCATGGCTCTGATCCCATCAGCGAGATGACACACCCATTCCCCTTCAATCTTTACGTCGGTGCAGCCGAGCCAGGCACGACCCATGTTTCGTAGACGCAATTCATGCGCGATAAAGGAATTCTCTGCTCCTGACTCTATAACTAAGAGCATGGCACCAATCTCTTGGCACCGTTTCTGGCCATTAGCCCAGTTTGCTGTGTTCATGAATCTGTAGCGTGACGACTGGAACTGCGTCCAGTTTTGCAAACAAACGGCACTCACAGATACTAAAAACCAAAAAAATGTCATGTTGGTGAACATGAAATTTGGAAATCCTCTTAAAAGCGGCGCCATGGTTGTATTTTCGTTGTAACCAAAATAATAAGTCAATTTTTGAAAACGTGGTTATATTGGTGAAGTTGATTTCCTAAACAGTAATTGTAACACAAGCTCATGCAGTAATAAACAAGAGTCGTTTTAGTTGTCTTTGAAATAGCCTCCGCTAAAGTCTACAATAATTACATTTGGTAAAAGTTTTGCGAAACCATCGCAAATCACTTTCGAACCCTCCTCAAACTTGGTGGTTGAATCAACTTTCTCGGCGTTCCCTTTTTGAGGAATGTTCAGCTGAGACTTTGAAGAAGCCTCGGTGTAAGTACAGATGCTCAGCCGAACCGAAACGTTTGGTCGTCAGTGTTTGCCTGATTTGCACAGGCCACACAGTTCCAATCCGAACGGTGTTCTGCAGGGGAGAGTTCCAACGTCTGGAGTAGGCCCAGTGAGAGTCGAAATGTTGTTGATGGCTTGAATTTTGGCGGCTGCCTTGTGGTGGATGGCTAACACCTGTCACAACTAACAGTGCAACGATCGAGAAGTGGAAATCTAGCTCGCCATGTATAGACGTACGCCAATAGGAGCTTTCGTTGACACCAGTCGTGTGTCTGGCCGGTAAATGAATGGCTCATACCAATTGAGCTAATGCCACAACTTTGTGAAACTGAATAACGTGTGGTCCAATGGACCGCACAGGCAACGGTACAGCATAATTTATAAGCGACACAAAAGTCAACAGTCACGCATGAAACGTATATAGTCCTGCCTTAACTCGTAATACAAGGCTTTACGAGCCTATTAGTGAATTAGAAACCAACCGACCATCATCACTCTTCCAATTACAACAATAAAGTTAATTGGCCTATGCTGATACACTCAGTACAATTAACTTTGACGTAATGTATCCAGCCTATTACTGTACTTGACATTGGATGCAAACCATTGAAAATAATTGAAGTCATTTTTTTTATAGCTAATTTTCCTTCACTAATTGTCTCCTCGCATAATTACACGTTAAGACAGGGAAAGTTCAGGGAGACAACTGGCAGGGACATTCGAAACGCATTGCCGACGACGACAGACGCTCACATGCCGGTTCATACACTTCATGCGAATGCCAATGCACTAATGCGAATTTGACGTCACGAAGCATTTATGATCATTGGGTTGCTACTAATTGACTTTTTCATCTCAACGATCTAAATTAACAGTAGATGGTACGGAAGCGTACTTAGGACATGACAAAAAAAATATCTGGCCCACTATTTAGCCCGGGCGGATTCCTATTTCGCCCGGGCGGATTTACTATTTCGCCCGGGCGGATTACTATTCCATATGGAGTGCTCAAATTGCAATAAACCCCGCTATTTACTGCTCATTCAAGTAGTCCCACTTGCTGGATTGTTCAGTTGAAAAAGTCAATATAGCAACCTCAAACCGATCATAGTTCTCGTCTCGAAAGCGGCGATTGATCGGGAAAAAGCAATTTCCTGAAGGCGGCGACGGTACTGTATCCAAGCACAATGGCTGAATTTAACAAAATAACACGACCACGAGTAATAGTAGCTACTCCTAGTAGATAATAATAATATTAATAACGGAGTCTTATATAGCGCACGTATCTACCAACAATTAGGTACTCAAGGCGCTGGAAATTATGTCCATTATCAAAGAAAGGTAAATAAAGTATATGAGAAGTATGAGACCCGTTATGTAGCACCTTATAAGGGTTGACAAGGTGCTGCGGCGCATATTGCAGCCACTGCCAGAAGCACCGGGACAAACCCCTTCTCTTAGCGATAGGTGTTACTGGGTTCTTTAACGTGCATTACACAACACACGGGACCTACGGCTTTACATCCCATCCGAAGGACGAAGCAATAATGGTAAAGTGCCTTGCTCAAGAGCACAAGTACCATGTTCCCACGGTCAGGATTCGAAGTCATGTACCACGGCACACAAATCGAACACCGTAACCATTGGACCACAGCATGTTAATTGCAATCACCTTCGAAAGCCTCAGTACGTCGTAGGATCAGGGACATATCGCGTGCGCACACATGTTTGTTTTACATACCTAGTGTGGACATTCCTTTGCGTGTAGTTAAGAAAAACCAGTGAAAAAAACCCCACATTTTTCTCAAACTGTGAAAACTTTCAACTCAATTTTTTTCTGATTCCCTTTAGTGTTTCTCTTCATTAACCTAACCCCAAAATGCCCCTAGAGAGGGGAAAACCTTGTGTGGACGTGGACAAGTCCACACAACGTCGCTGCTACCTGGTTTTTGTGGACCTCTTTTGTTCGGAAGTCCACACAGTGAATGTAAGGATTTTCTATTGTTCCTCATCATTGATTTTTTTTTTGCAACAATTAAGTAGCACGTTCAAAATATAGGATTAAAAAGCCCAATTAATAGCTTTCTTTTAAAGAATAATTCAAATCGCTCATGTACCTTTCCAGTCATGGCATTTTCAACACAAACACAGTTTTGTTTTTTTAACCTTGTCCACCGATCACAATAAAGGTAAGTGATGTTTCAGCAAAACGAGAACCATTTACACATTCAAAAAACACATCAAAATACTCTCATAACTGGCACTTATTATAACATTCAATTTATTTAAAACCTGCTGCTTCCAATAACATGCTTTATAATGTCAATAGTTATAGTCTTGCTCTGCCTTCTACTTGGCTATCCCAGAGACCTATGGGGTTATTCTGATATCATTTTCAGGAAACATTGTTCATTTTTTACTGAAATATCACGTGCCTTAAAATAATGTGATCCGTGGACAAGGTTAAAAAACGGTGCTTGTGTTCAAAAGTCAATAACTGGAAAAGTACATGACCGATTTGAATGATCCTTTCACTAAAATAAAGCTTGTTAATTGGGCTTTCATACCCTAGATCTGGAAAGCGCTACATGCAGAACCTCTTTTAAAAAAAATAGGAGGCACCATTTTTTATTGTAGTTTTTTTTTACTCAACCTGTACAATTTAAGACGGCTGACGGAGTCCATATGGGCCTTGACCATATAGACATCTCAATAAACCTAGACATATTTAAACCTAGTCCATAGCCATGACGCGTGCCTTGAATTTCTGGCCCCAAATTTGAACGCGTCAGTACGTGTAGAGCATGACCGTGGACTCATCAAACGCGCAAGGGAGGCGGTCACTTGAGGCATTTCGCCTAACATGGCGGCTATAGGACGCTGCCTTTTGGGACCCCAAAACAATCAATGTAAAAGTGTATTGGTAGTGCATGTGCTTAAAGAGCGGCATATGGCCAATTCAACACACCTAGCTTTTTCTTCAACACAGCATTGACCTCATCCCCATGCAGCCTTTGGGAGTCAGGTTGGCTTAGCTGTACTTTCCTCGCCTTCCACCGCTATGACCCCGGTTCGAATCCCGCCTCACCGGGCCAACATGTGGATTGAGATTTCAGTTCCTACCCGATTCCGTAGGTTTTCCCCAGAATATTCCTCTGGGGTTTCCCTCTCACCTCTAAAACTATCATTTCTTCTCATTGTCTCTTAGGTTTCTTCAGGCTTGCGATCTACATGCCTAGGGCGTTTTTGAGGAATCCTTGGTTTTACTACCAGAATCCAGAAATAAATAATAATACCTATACCAGTAGCAATGTAAACTCAAACATGTACTGCGCGTTAATCCTCTAATTGCCACTTAATTGCCGAACGAGGCATTTTGGTATTTAGACGCACCATTAGCTACGAGGTCAACTACTGCGCAGTATATTTGAAGGCATGCAATAACTAACTACACGTACATGTATTAACTTATCAACAATAAAATAACCAAGCACACTTTTCTGTCCAAATAATTCAAAGTTTGGACCCTTGAAAGTATAATACCAGCTTAATTGGTGAAAGTTAAACTTTGATTGTTTTCCGGTCAAACATGACTTTGTTTTATCCCCATTCACACTTGCTTAATCGACTCCGTTGTTGGGATTCGACAACAAAGACACAGAGCATCTTCATTTGTTATTAAATACGATGGCCTATTTACGTACCGTACCGTCCTATGTGAAAGTTCCAAGGTTGCGTTTTAGTCTAGGGACGAAGACGTCCGTCGGCACCCATGATGTAGCAGGTCACAGTGCCGGCTGAAGAGGAGACTACGGCTGGCGGAATCTCCACTTTGGTGCTGTTGGTCTCGCAGACAACGTAGAATCGCTCATGGTGATGACAGAAGTCGTCCATCCACTTCCCGTTGTCGCTTCTTACACTTGCACAGTCCTGGTTTTTCCAATTATTTGGCTGGTCGCTTCTCCAGTCGGCGTACGACATGGCTCTCGTAACCCCATCAGCGAAATGGCACACCCATGCCCCTTCTGTCTGTTCGTCACTACAGCCGATCCAGGCGTGCGCCATATCTCGTAGTCTCATTTCCTGGATGATGAAGGCATTCTCTTCGGCGGATTCGATAACCATGTGCATGGTACCAATCTCTTGGCACCATTTCTGGCCATTAGCCCAGGTCGTTATGTTCAAGAAGCTGTAACACGACGACTCAAACTGCGTCGAATTCGGCAAACAAGCGGCACTCAGAGTTTTAATAAGCCCGAAGAAAGTGACGAAAATTGTGACTGTTTTGGAAAGTCGTACCAGTTGTGGCTCCATTATTATTCTGTAGATAGGACCATCCAACACAAACAGGTTCTCCCAGCAATTTTTTCTCTCCAAAAGCACACTGGGGACACACGACAAAGAATCCCTCTTCAAAATTGGTACATGTAGTCGATTGCTAGTCCGCAACTTGACACTGAACTGAAGCCGCTCGCTCTAGTCTGTGTTTTTCACTGACTGTGTGATGAATGCAGATAGACGTCTTTCGTGGCTATAGTCATGTACCGTACCGTACGTACCAATAGTCTATATGTGGTAACTGAAGTCAAGTTGGCTTGTTTTTGTCTAAACTAGAGATACATTGTTACCAAGATAGTCTGGTTCCCTGACCCCATTGTCCTTCGGACTTCAGAAATGGGAACAGGTATAGCTATAGCGGTGAGTCTCGTTTACATTAGGAGGCATCCCTCCTGATGTATGCAAATTCTATGTAATGACGTGTACATGTCTGAATCCCGCCTCTTGAATTGAAAATCACAACGGTAATGTTTTCCTGCAACCAGCCTATAATTATTTCAAAATGGTAATATAGGCCTCGCCACGAATGTACACTTTCGGAGGCGATGAGCTTCGATTTTTGTTGAATTCGAAAGTGTCTCTAGCAAATATCGATTTTGCCACTTTTTCATCATCAACGTTATGTGTTGCGTAATAGCGATACGTTTTGGAGTGTTTTCATATAGATAGGCATATAATGTTAACTATTCAAAGTCTGAAAGAAAAAAGCAAAACAGAGCAAATAAATCATTTTTTTTTTTAAAGTGCCAACCATGACTTCAGAGCAGTGTTGTAGGTCTCGAGACCGGTCTCGGTCTCGGTCTCGAGACCACTTTTTGCCGGTCTCGGTCTCGGTCTCGGGAGCTGTGGTCTCGGTCCCCTTTGGTCTCGATATTTTGGCTGGTCTCGAGTCGAGACCAGCCAAAAAGTGAGGGGGCGGATTCCGCCCCCGGCCCTTTTAGGGTTAAGTAAAGAATCAGTTTAGGGCAAATGTGACTGCGGTGTGATGCTAATGGACATGTCTCTCTTCACTTTCTAGTGAGTGAGGCATAGTCCAATAACCATTGCTCCTCTTCTTATTTCTCGTTTTTATTGTGGGATGATCTGTTGAAACAAACACTTTATAGCCATCCTCATTGATTCCAAATACAACTCAGATTTAAACCTTATGAATCAAAACTGAAACATTAGTTTTACCGTCAGATTTTGTGTTTTGAATAATTATGGGGAACAATTCAACTCTTCCCTAGAAATATTGGTGATTGTTTTTCTATTTTCCTTTTCAATTTTTCCTTTATTCATGGAGGCGGGAAAACGTTTTTTTTTTTCATTATATTTATTAATGGATTTTCATCAATTCGTAGACCGTTAAATTGGTATTAGTGGTGGACAGCTGAATTTTGTGATCTCTTTATTAAAATAGACACGACTTGGGAATAGAGTATGCAAATTACGTGAAATGTTCACAGTTACTACTCAATAACATGTTCTTTATCCCAATTATGTTTTTTACAAAATGGAGCGTGCCATTTTTTTTTATCATACGGTCACTTTCTTTTTGACTCGCCATGTATTCATTTTTTCATCTGTGATAAACACAAATTGAGTTACTGCCATGGTCACACAAAAATAGAGTCTAATTGCCTGCCTCGTCTCCTTCCTAAATATCAATTGCATTTGCATGAGTCGAGAAGAATTGTGTTCCATTAATCGCTATATGCTGTTCACGGCCATCACAATAAACAATTAATAAATTGGCAACATGTCGTACTTGTTAATCACTAAAATATTCAAGTAAATTGCCCAGCAAAGCAAGGGCGGATCCAGAACACAATTTTTTGGGGGGCCAAAAAAAAAATTCGGGTTCGGGGCCTGCTTAAGGGCCCCGAAATTTTTTTGGATTCTAGATGCTCTGTGGTGCGATCTGAGGCAATTTCTGACCACTTTAACCAATGTTTTTTTTGAGGAAAAGATGGTGGTGTACTCATTGCCTGCCTTTATTGCGATGTCACATAAAAAAATTGGTTTGGTTTTTTTTTTGGGGGGGGGGGGCATGGCCCCCTTTGGCCCCCCCCCCCCCCCCCCCTGGATCCGCCCTTGCAGCAAAGTAGCTGATGCGGGCGATACGATGGCACGGTACAAAACACAGAGAGGCGTGCGCACTGAGCCATGAATCCTAAAAGTGCATCTCACCCACCACATTCAGTTTGTGACAGCGCCCTTCTATTGTGTCGGCCATATTCTCAAATAGGCTAATGATGATGATGACGGCCAGAAGATAGATCAGGCAAATATGGTTCATCAATCTTCTATAGTATATGTTACGTTATTGACATTAAACAAAAATAAAGTGGTATTACATTTCAGACTTAGCCAGGCCTTCTTCAGAGGTAAATGACAGAGGTACGAGAAACAAACATGTAAGGGCCACACAAACATGCAGGGTTGGAAGGAGAATCACAAAGAGGGAGGGGGGGGGGCAGACCAATCCATATCTGGCTACCATCTCTCAATTTTTTGGTCTACATGTACAAATCTATATTCCATGACTGAAATTTAAAAAAATAATCAATATTTTCTTGCTCCAAATTTTTTTCGAATCAGGTTTACAAGGAGGTCCAATGTAAAATTAAAGTTGCATTTAAATATCCGTTAGTGGTCATTGCTGAAACCAAGGGGTGGCTGTGGAGTTTAGGGTCCGAGTTCCTATAACAGATGAAACATCCTCCTTTAACTTTTTACTTTTGTCAAGTTTCAACATGTTCAAGTTTTGAAAAAAAGTAGTACAAATTGTCGTACTCCTAAGTTAGAGTTTCTTCATCAGATTTACACTTTAGAGTAGTTAAACAATATTTAAAAAAAAAAAATGAAAAGTGGCAAAAATATATGGAGTTCATCAAATAAGGTTTTCCCCTTCTTTAAATTAGACGTTTCCAATTTTTTAAATTGATTGTGACATCTCAAGGACAGACTGTTCAGCCGTAATTAGTGTCTTGTTGTTTATTTAGATTATTGTTATTTATTATCCGCGGTCTCGGTCTCGGACCATTGCGGTCTCGGTCTCGGTCAGCCTTGAAGGGGCTGGTCTCGGTCTCGCAACTTCAGGTCTCGGTCTTGGTCTCGGACTATCCGGTATCGACTACAACACTGCTTCAGAGGACAGTAGAATCGGGGGATACCACTTAAGGACCTACAATGACCAACCCTCGCCATTAACCACTGCATTTTGTTTCCCCTTCGCACCAACCTCGTCCCCAGTGCTTACTTTATTTCCAACCTGGTTTCCAATAGTAAGCCCTGGATAGTAAACTTCCTTCCTGCATCCTGATTCGATATTGCAATTGGCTAGTAATGGATTTTTATCGTGTACTTGGTGTTATTATTCACAACGTGCAGTACGTGTTTTCGCGATCATTCGTCCACGCCTTCTCGAAAATAATTATCTCCTTTCCAATAATTTGTTCATATTAATATGAAATGTGATACTGCATGATGCCTCGAGAAGATTGTAACAGTTTAATTTTAAAAAATCGTGTTTTCGTAACTCACGCCGTGCTCGCGCTGCGACGAAGTTAACTCTGTTTTTACCCCAGACACCGCATACAAAACAAACGCTAATGTAACGCATATCCACGCACCAGACTATTCCTCATTTGCATACGTGTTCAAAAATCTTGCACATGCAAATGATCCAATACCAGGGTGAGTGAGCAGGTAGTGATGGGCGCGTACTGTTCGACACCCTGGGGACGAGGTTGCCTTCGCACACTCTTTAGGCCTTTTACGTGACAGAAAAACGCACATGAGTCAGAGAGTCGTCATGTAGACAGACAGCGTAGGATAATGGGACGATGATGATGTGAAGTTTAATTGACGTTTCGATCCAGTAGGCCACGCCCAATACGCACGTGGGCAACATCACGTGCGCCCTCCACCAATGACACACTGCCAGACTGTTTCCCTGTCCCTCTATTAACCTTCGGACTCCAAATGACTGTGGAGGTACGGTAGCTAGCAGTGAATCCCGATTACATTAGAAGATTTTCCTCCTAAGGTATGCAAATTATATGCAATTCATGCATAGGTTTGAATCCCACCTCCTGAATTCAAAATCACAACGGTACTGTTTACGCGGACCATGGTCCGCGTAAACATTACCGTTGTGATTGGCAGCCTTTTGCAAAATGGCAATAGACGAACAAATGTAATTTCTGTCGTGATGAGCTTCGATTTTCGCTGCATTCGAAAGCGTCGATCTCTATAGAAACTAGAGCGGGACATTACTTTCAGTTTTTGAAAAATATGCATTTAATAAGCTTGAAAGTTGCCTTCATGGAGTCACTGGCGATTTTGCGTACTCGAGAGTTAATTTCTTTTGGATAACCGTGTGTTCAACTATCGTCCATGCCCAAAGCTGAATTGTGATTCAAAACCGAACGTGCAGAGGTGATCCAATCAATGGCTTTTAATGGGAGCTGTAGCTGGTCCTGTCCACATATTTTTTTTTTGGGGGGGGGGAGGCGGAAACCAAGGCAATACACACTGCAAGTTACAGCCGTACGTGCACGCAGTGCCGGAGATTGTTCACGGTCGTGATTGGTCAGTCGAAACATCTTGGGGTACATGAGCTTGGATCGGTCTATCTGATCAAGAGCGTCAGTCATGGTGATTTGTAACACGAATAATACACAGGCCGAACGCGCACTACGTACGTAGGGTGGTAACGCTTCACATCAGCGATCGGGAAAATAGGATGTACATTGTATATAGCACGCATGAGGCATCGTTGTCGCGGTTAGTTACCCGCGCAAGCGCAAACTGTTCTTCTTTATCAATAAAAAAATAATTACAAATGTAAAAATTTCCCATTTCCATCTAGAAACTCGATCGTCGAGTTGGAAAATTGAGGCGCGCAACCAATAATGTCAAGGCGGCGATAAATGCCAATTTTGTCCAGTCGACAGTGAAACTTGATTGACCGGCGTTTGATAATTAACACTTAATTGTTGACTGCGGTGATATGGGACATATTTCTTGTTTAACTCCCGAGAGCTAGGGACTAGCAGCCGAGGGGAATTCGTGGAATGGAACAGGCAATCTGTCACCTCGTATGTCACAAAAGACCCAAAATATGTGCATCCATTTTCTCTGTTTTCTCAAAATGTAAGGTATCGGCCACTGAGCCGAGTCGAAACTTCAACAAGTTAAGTTGCCATGCACACTTAAGATTTTGAGCAATTTTGTTGCTTCAAACGAAACAAACAAACACACAAATTATAAAAGGAAAAAATGATCCTACGTAGGCCTACATTACATTCCATATCGCTGACCTGCGAGATCACAATCATCGTGCCTAGCATTCATTTTTCACATCGCAATTAGCGATCTACAATTAGCTACACGATTCATCAACATGAGCTTGAAGCCTCTGCCCTTGCCCAGGCATGATGATGCGTGTCAGCTCCGAGTTTCACAGTGGCGTATTAAACTGTGGTCTAGTTTGCGGGGGGGGGGGGGGGGGGGGGGGGGGACTTATACGGTATGCGTTTTTAGCAACAAAAAGCATTTTCCCTAGGGGGGGGGGGGTGTTCCGCTGTCCACCCCAGAGTTACGCAACTGCGACCACTATAAGGCCATTGGTGTAACATCCGTTCCTTGCTCTATGATGTTCAATGGTACATGTACATATAATGACACAGCACATGGCACAACTCCATCCAACAACGACCACCTTTTTGGATAACAACGGCAGCCAGACCACTTTAAGAAGAAAATGGCAAAACCATGAATTGGTGTTCCGCAGCGCAAGCCCCATCGCCAGCTCCGGGCATTAGGGCGGGCCACAGTACAAACTAGGGAGCACACCACAACCAAAAAAGAAACACATATATACATGTATAATGTTTACGCTTATGGTTTTTCCGATGCCCCCCCCCCCTCCCCCACCTTGGCCACGGGCCTGGTGTTCCGTTCGGTAGTTATCACAAGTATCGGCATAGCACGTGTCGAGTTCAAGGCACATAAGCCTCATTTGCATTTATCCCAAGAGTAACCTATACCGAATTATTATCAAAAAGCGTAGCTGGAATGAGGATTAAAATATAGCACTGGTAATAACACCCGGTACCCCGTGAAATTATTCCGTCTGGCTCGCTGTCATTTTGAAAAAATCAAGAAATGTAGGTGATTTCCAACGATCAGTCAAAGTTGACTCAGTAGTTTTTGGGGAAATAAAGAGTGCTTAAAAGAGATCGTGTTTCGTGATTGAATTAGGTTGCGCATGCTTTTTCACTGTTTGCACGAAAAGTGTAATGTCCATTTTGGGTGGTGTTATTACTGCAAACAAACAAAATGCACGAAGAGTAAATGATCGTATAAGCCTAATTTCAGTTCAAGCGATATGTAATGACATGGCTTCATTTCACACAAATCAAAATACCCAGAAAGTACATGTATTAATTAAACGGTTTTATTCTCATTCAGCTCTTCTCCGTAACCAATTAAAATCCTGGTCATGGAAATTCCAAAGGACAATGCTACTCCAAAATTATGTTGCACCTTTTATGAGTGTGTGGTATGGAATCAATCCTTGCCTGGACTGAGGAGGGTGCTATTTAACCCCCCCCCCCCAAGTGTGTGAAGGGCATTTGACAAGTGCACGTTTCATCATTTTACATGTTCATCATTTTACATGTATATAAATATATACATATATATATATAGGAAGACTAATTTCCAGATACCAGGTCGTCACATCGTTGGTGAGATCTCATGTGTGAAATCAGGCCAATCTGTGCACGACAGAGACGGCCACAGATTGCACACACAAGTGAGTCATGTGGTTAACAATTAGAGTTGTCCACTTGAGAGGCTAAAAAATGCTTCATGCCCCCATTCACGTCGTGCCACTGCTGCAGTTGCCCTCGCTGACTCTGCCGACATTTGCCCGGCTCCTATGGCAGCTCGCCAAGCCTTGCGGTCGGCGGCGAGCACTTCCCAGTTCCTGAAAGGTTTACAGTCTACGTTGGCTGCAACCAGGTGTCGTTTCACCACGTCCAAGTAACGAAGTTTCGGCCTGCCAATTAGGCATGGGCTGTCTTGCAGTTCGCCATGCAAGACAGTCTTTGGAAGGCGGCCCTCATCCATGCTAACCACGTATATATGGGCAATAAATTGGCATATATACCAGAGGAAGTTTGGTTCAGTCTCTCCACAGTAGTCAGCATCTCAGAAGAAGTGGGAACCAGTCTGGAAGTGAGAACTCTTACCTAACTCAGGACTGTGCTCCGTGGATGGAACACACCCTGTGCACGCATGAGGTCACGCACGTAAACTGTAAAGTACGCATGATTTATTTTATTTTGAATGTGTACAATGCCACAGCGTTTTTGCGAGTGCATCAGGTGTCATCGGCAATGCGTTCGAATGGCTCTCACAGTGGTTTTCCCCAGTTCTCCTTTTCTTATCACTGAGGGGGTACTTTGCCAAAGGTTAAGAATGACTGTCGTACCAGGGTGGTGTTCTTCATCCACATTTACACCAATGAGTGGGTACTTGTGAACAGAAACCCAACTGGCTCACTTCACACAGTGATTTCAGACTTTGCTTCGGCTTCTATCTCGGAGATTTCTAAGAGTCTGCATGCAGTTGGGCAGCTGTCATCTAGGGTGTTATGTGTACATCATCCGTTTGCAAAAAAGTTCTTCCTGATTTCAGAGTGTCCTCCATCACCAACTCAATGCTCAGTGTGCAAGTATTGCAACTTATGATCAATATGTTCTGCTCAATGTCACTATCTGTCATGACATATTCACCACCGCATCGACAGCTGTAGGTGTACATCTCCTCATCTATGAGAGACAAATATAAACAAGTCTGATGAATGAAAAATCTTTGTTGTTAGTTTAAGCAGCAAAGAAGAAGTTATCATTATTCCTGCTTCGCTGCTCAAAGCAGGAAAAGCATGTTTGCCATGAGTCAAAAGCAAGTCCTTTCACATGTCCAGTCACAAGAAACGAGGGCGAACAATGACAAAGGAATGCCTTTGTGACAGTTCATTTGAATAGCTAGTGACTTGACTTGAGACTGAAAGACTTGTGATGGACTTGTGATGGACTTGTGATGACTTGTGATGGAATCGAACACAACATTGATGCGCGGTCCAAGTTTTGGTAGAACAATACCAAATTGGCTTTGGGCTTAATCCCACACTGCTCTACAGGTTAGGTTGGGTCCAACGGCAGGTTCGCTGTATTGAGAAAGTGAAACAGGTACGCCAGTCCTATATGCACTCTTCTAGAGGTACATCTCATGGCGCGGATCACATGTGAGTAGAGTTGTGCGTTGGTTCTCTCCTGTGACACGAGGGTTTTTCTCCGGGCCCTCTGGTTTTCCTCCCTCCGGAAAAATCAAACACTTTCGATCTCAGGCTGTGCTCCGTGGTCATGGGTCGATGTGGCTGGCAGCCATAGGCGCCTTCACGTGCCAGCGGCCCGACCACATTGTAGCCGCGTCCTTCGCAATTCAGCATCCCAGCTGCCAGTAAGGATGATTAGCCTCCCAAATTCTTATTATCTGTATACAGTTTGAGACTCTCCCTTATATTTCACGGAGCATTTACAATCAGAAGCCTTCCCATATAAGACACATAAGCTACAATAAATACTTTAAAAACAAGTCAATGTTTGAGAGAATATTTGGGCATACCTTCTTGCCAGTCCATGTCATCTAGATGCACCTTCTCATTCAATGGTAGTGGCTTCCTCATATTCTCTGCAATACAAACACAAGGTATAATGTACACATTTGGTTCATTTTCTGATGGGCAGACAGATTGGTAGCGAGATACATGTATGCATTCAGATGGATTGTTGTAAAGATTGGTGGTAAGATGGTTTTAAGATGGGTCGTAAGATGGATGGTCTGAAGAAGTCAGATGGATGGTCAGACAGTAGTTAGATGGTGGTCAGATGGGTAGTCAGGTGGGTTGTCAGATTGGCGGTCAGATGGGTTGTAAGATGGGTGATCAGATGTGTTGTCAGATGGGTGGTATGATAGGAGATGGGTGGTCATGAGTAGTAAGATGGATAGTCATGCAGATTGTGGTCAGATGGGTATTCAGGTGGACTGTCAGATAGATTGTCAGGTGGGAAGTCAGATGAGTGGTCATATAGGTAGTCAGGTATTCAGATGGGTAGTAAGATGAGTTGTCGGATGGGTGGTCAGATGAGTAGTAAGATGGGTGGTCAGAGAGTTCAGTAGTATTCAGATGGATGATGAGTAATCAGATGGATGGCCAGATGGAAGGTCAGATGGGTAGTAATATGGGTGATGAGATATAAGATTTGAGGCTTTGCATGGTGGGGTATCGGTATCGTTTCGGTTTGCGGTAACACCATGTGGTAATAACTACTGCTTAGAAGATATTAGTTCTGAAAAGAACTTGTCCTGCTTATTATCAACTTTGCTAAGTAGTTTTTTGTTCTGATAAGAACAGTCCTGCTGTAAGTTCTAAACGAACTTGTCTTTGGTCTCAATGTTTCGACTAGCCTGCTCTAGTCATCGTCAGGAGACTGAAGATAGTTGGAGATGCTACTCCTTAAGTAGGATTTGTTAAGTAGGACTGTTCTTATCAGAACAAAAAACTACTTAGCAAAGTTGATAATAAGCAGGACAAGTTCTTTTCAGAACTAATATCTTCTAAGCAGTAGTTATTACCACATGGTGTTACCGCAAACCGAAACGATGGTGATGAGATAGGTAGTCGTATGAGTGATTAGACAGGTAGTCAGATGGGTTGTCAATTGGAAACCCATGTGGCTTGTCAGATGGGTGGTCAGATGAGTGGTAAGATGTATTGTCATCAGACATACATGTAAGTTAAATCAGACAGGTTGTCAGATAGAATGGATGGGTTGTCAGATGGATGATCAGATGGGTGGGCAGATGAGTATGTGTGGTCATATAGCATTCAGATGTAGATGGGTTGTCAGATTAGTGAGATGGATAGTCTCAGATGGGTTTTCAGATAAGTAGTTGGATTGGTGGACACATTCATCAGATAAATGATCAGGTACGGTAGGTTGCTCTAGACCTGTCTACCGGTACCTTTCTGTCTTGCATCATATTCCCTCCTGCTGGCATCATCACTGAGTGTTCTCCATGCCGTATCTACCAGGTGGAATCGCTGCATAGCTGCTGCCTGCTCTGCTTCGCTGCAGGTCTGTGGCAGCTTGTCAGGATGGCACTACAGACGAGAAGATAGAAAACTGAATTTGTAACACACTACAGACAACAGAAAAGTCTTTTTCAGTGCTTCATTTGAATAGCTTGTCTTGAAACTGTGATTGACTTGTATTGACATGACAACAATGCAGTGTGTTCCGAGCTTGATCTTGGGAGTGTTCACAAAGAACCATCTCAATCTCTTGTTCATGCACAGAATTAATAGGGGCATACAAGGAGGGGTTAGGATTATTCGATTACGGTTAGGGTTATCCTTTTTATTGGCAATGTCAAAAATGTTGTTCTGTTGGCAAAATTGTGTCCGTTGGCATATGCGCATCACCTGTTGTAAGATCCAGTCTCATTCATTTTGCGCAGCACCCCTATTGGTGAGAAGGTGTCCAGCCCCCCCCCCCCCCCTCCCCTTTGATTTTGATCAACCGGGTGACCGGGGGAAACAATTCCTGGCTACCGCTTAGCACGGAGTGGTCTGTCAGCAATGTTTGTTCCTCTTCCCCCTTTCCAATTTGTCTGGCCATTTTCTTGGGAATCAAGTCTGCCAAAAAAAGGCAGTTAACCTTTTAAGCTTAGCTGGGTCAGGGTGTTCATACATGTACCTGCAGTATCGCTTTTTGGTAGCAAGACTTCAGCTCTTGGTGAGAGGCTTCTGGTGCCGTTCCAAGAATGGCATAAAGGCACCCAGAAGCCATGCTGATGAATCTTAGATACTATGCTTTCTCCACTGCATTTAGAAAAAAACCAAAAATGAATGTAAAACAAAACAGTGAAGGTTTTGGAAGACAAAATCCACAAGTTTACTTGGGTGGGACTCAAACCCACGACCTCCTGCTTACAGAGCAGATGTCTTACGACTCATTTGACAGAGCTTGCCGGGGTTGGCTGGTCCGTTTCAGTCTGATAACCAAAATATGTCAGAAAAGGGGATGATTGTCAAGTGAAGGGCCCCCTCCCTGTAACTATAAAATCCACTTTTAATATATTTGACTTACCAAACTAGTTGGCAACATTAAAAACCCTCCCATGGAAACATTGTGAGCCTTGTTATTACTTGGGTCAATACTGGTCAAGACCCCCATTGGTTTGTACACAGTATGCCAGAGCATGGTAAGGAAGAAATTTTTTTGACCGTTTGTGACCTCTTAAATAGTTGGAGGGTTATGAAAAAACTGTCATTGAGTCATATATAGTTCTAGTACTAGTTGGGCAGAGTTTTGATTTTTTTAAAAAATTTTCTATTCCTCCATGGCAAAATGCAACACAAAAATAAAGATGGCGATCACTGCAATGTACACATGGTACATGCACCATGCATGAACGCGCAAAACCGTGCTGAATTGCACGGCATCAACCGTAACGTGTATCAAAATCAAAATATTTACACCAAGAAACTGTTCAAAATTACAAAAAGGTGTCATTAACCGAGAGCCAAGTCTGCTTTAGGTTGAAAATGTTACTTTGAATGATTAAAAACATGCTTATTATTAACAGTTGGTCATACTAGGAGGGGCTATACACCACACGATTGATTGCCGAAAAGGGAACACTCAAATTTAGACTGTTCTCCCCGACGCAATTTCACATGCCTAAAGTTATCATGGTTATAAAAATAACTAACGTTCCAATGTTTAATAAGGTAAGTTGTTGCGGTAGCACCATGTGGCAAAAATCTCTTTTGTGAAGCAAATAAACACTACTAACCACACATAATCACAATGTGAGTATAGGCCTATGTGTGGTTCCAATGTTTATTTGCTTAGCCTACATGCTACATAAACTTTTTTTGAAATTTTGTACATGTATGACCATGGAGGTAGAATTCTACCTCCATCATGTGTCCATGGTCATGATGGTATGACTGTGAGTGAGCCGGCCTCCCTTAAGCTTAGTTCCATGTTCTTGTGAGCGCTTCAACCATGAAACATCAGTTGCATGATGACCACATGGGTCACATCCACCATTTTTTAACTCTTGTTTTCAATGACAGATGCTGCGTAACAAATTGTACGTGACAGTATTTTTGTCAAAGCAGCAGCTAGGTGAAGTGGACGTGCACGTACGTGCACGTCGAAGGCAAAAGCAGAACCCGTCTATTTCTACGCAAGGCACCAATGAACACAGACGTCTGGAGCCCTGACCAATATCATCACCATTCAACACGAACCTGAAACTGGACTCCACAGCTTGCACACACAATCTGACAAATGTCAAAATCGTAAGTGAAAATTTACTGCACAATTTACCTACCGTAGTTCATTATTATGCGAGTGGAGTATGTAGGCCTCGATGCATTTATCTTCTATTTATTTTGGATAAGTTTGCGTCTTAGCTTGCTGTGATTTTGTTGGCAGGAATCTCAATTTTTCGTTTATTCAGATTTAATCGTTCAAGGTCAACGTTGATGCATGTCGTGTCTTGTTTGTAGCTGGTACTCGGCTAAACCGCCCAATCATTGTTTTATGTTTGTTCCAGGTGCGTGTTACCATCGAAAGACGGAAGTGAATGATGTGCACAGAATTTCCCGTGCAATGCTGGGGAACCAAACTATATTGTGAAGTTATTTTTCTAGGGACCTGCCGTCGTCCTGGAAATGTGTTCGTGTTTTTCATGTTTCCCATGATGTTTTGAGTGTGTGTGCTGGTGTAAGGCCACAAAAAACCCAGTTGATCGCCTAGGCTTTTTCAAAAAGAGGAGGATGACTAGGCCTAGACTGATTAAAAAAAAAAAAAAAATATTGAAAATATACATGATGGGCCGGGGAGGCCCTCTTTTTATTTGATAGTTTTGGGTAGTTGTTTACTGGTTGATGACCACAAAACCTTCTTAAAGTGCTTATTGAACAAAGTAAAGCTATTGTTAGGCCAAATAAAAAAATTAAAAACATGTTTAGCGTCCCCGCCCCGCTTCCTTTTGATGACCTGTTTTTCTTCTGTTAAAAAAAAAGCCAAAAAGTTCACCATGGAATCGCCCAATCAAAGACAACTGGATTTAAACCAGGGATTGTTTGTGACTCTGAAATATCCACTATCTATTTATAACGCAGAGTAATAACCCTCCTGCTGTTTACAAGGTCACAAACGGTCAATGTTTCCTTCCTCACCCCCGGCATACTTTTAACAAAGCAATGGGCCACTTGACCAATATTGACCCAAGTAACAGCATGGCTCAGAAAGCATATATGTTTCTTGAAGTCTGATTATTTTGCATGCAAAAAGGAGTGCAGAAAATTTGGGCAATTCTCAAAACACACATTTTCTCAAAATTGTTGTCTTTTTATATTCATAAATGCTTATTTCAATAAATATATGGCAGAAAAGCAATCATGATTTCAAAAATAGAACGTGCCAAAAAAAACAAACAAAAAAAACAATTATCACAATTTCCTATTCAGAAATAGGGTCACCAAATGAACAGCGCCCTCACATATTTTCTAATGCGGTTTAATACAAGTTGGACCAAACTGTCATCCACACTTGATTCTTTGGAAAGAAATGTATGCAATCAAAAAAATTCAATTTCTGTCATATTTATATTAAAATGTTTGATATGAATTTATTTTGAGTTCCCCTTCTTGGACTTTGCCATCGGTTTGTTACCATATGTTCAAACAGCATTAGTTTAAGACCCCTCTATTTCTTTGGCTGTTGCTATTTCTACGGAAGTCGACCAAATGGTTTTCAGACTTTGCTTCATATAAAAGAAATCCATCAGAGGAAAGAAAACTTAAAGGGAAAATACAACATTTGCAAACATCAAAAAATAAACCTACCAAATCATTTTGAAATACCTTGCTGGACTGTTAGTGAATGACAGTGTAAAGCATCCTGTAAAATCATGGCACCTGGTATACTGTCATTTTCAAGAAAAGTGGTATTTTTGTATCAATTTCCAACGCTGATCATGATCGGCCGATTGACCATCGCACTTGTTTGCAATGGATTACACACCTATGAACGGGTACAAGCCAGCTAGACTGGTTCTCTGACCTTACAATTCCCCAATGTATGTAAACTGCTCTGTTTCTTCTTAAATGGAGTCAGGGAACCAGACTACAGGAAAATGATTGTTTTTCTTGGTTTTTATAGCATTTTCGAACCCAAAACCTCAAAAAAGTCAGTGTAACTATATTTGCTATATATTTCCAACCCCCCAATTCCATCCATTTCTGAAAATTACAGTAAAAGCAAATGATGTATTTTCCCTTTAAACTTCACTGATATTTTCTTTGATAGTACAGATAATATCTGACAGCATATCTGTAATTGAGGAACTTTGCTCTGCCTCACCATGACGACTGTTCTGAGTGAGCGCGCTCGGAGCAATCTGCTGGTACATCGAGCCACCATCGCGCAGGACCTGACGGTGGACTATGTACTGGATCCACTGATCTCTGATCTAATCATCAGTGTTGAGGACTCGGAGGTGATCAATGCGGAGGTAAGAATACAATTATAAGAAATTAATGGGGCGGGGGAGCTTATCATCCTTAATCGCAGCAGGAGGCTGAATTGTGAAGGACGTTGGTACAACATGGTCGATCCGAAGGAATGCCGCCATATGACCCATGCCTGACCACGGAGCACAGCAAGAAATTGAACAGTTGATTTTTGCAGAAGGCGGAAAACCAGAGAACCCAGAGAAAAAATCAACGAATAACTCCACTCACATGACCCGTGCCATCTATGCCACTGCAAAAGATTATTTTTGTTGTGTTGGAAATTTTTGATTTCCTTTTTGTTGACTTGACATTCATTTAATAGAATTTTGCCTTCCAACAGATTCCCTTCCAACAGAGCTGTTAGCCCATTGATAATAATAATAATAATAATAACAATAATTGTGTTTATAAAGTGCAAGTATCCATCAGTATTGGTCCACAAGGCGCTACATCATTATTACCCCTGCTCATTGGGCCAATGAAACATTCCAAAGACAATCTCAGCTCCCTGGGGAGTATACAGGAGCTCCATGCTGCCATTTAGGCACAAAGCAGCTAAAATCAACCACTATCAGTGACTGTAACCATCTCTGCCCTCACAGGTACCCATTTACTCCTGCGTGGAGAGAAGCAATGAGTGACAAAGTGCCTTGCCCACACCATAACCCCAGGCTGGACTTGAACCCACAACATGCAGAATTACCCCCTGACCACAAATTCAATGCTCCAGACCACGAGGCCACGGCACTCCATAACACATACTAATTTTTTACAGTTCACCAACTGGCATAATTCCATTCAATGAATGTTATATTTTTTTCATTTTTTTCTTTTCTGAAGGTAACTAGGCGGCGCAAGGCCACCAAACTCTTGGACATCATAGCTACCAAAGGCCAACAGGCCTACAACAGCTTGCACAAGGTCCTGGGTGAGAAGCACAAGCATCTAGCGATCCTACTGGAAGACGGCGTTACGGTGGACGGTGTCCCACTCACTCCAGGGATGTCACCCGATATTATGTCTCAGGAAGAAGGTAGGCGGATGCTATATTTCGTTGTTTAGGGCTGTCTCACTGACTTGTACAATCCATTCTATACCTGGGTACCGGAGAGTCAGTGTCACCATTGTAGTAGACGATGATCGTATAGAGCCGTGTGCAGTAGGTATTAGGCAAGCCTTCAAAGCTGTGATGGATGGAAAAAACTAAGAGAGAAACGTGGAGCGACGCACTACCGAGTGTACTAACCCTAACCGCCCTGAATCCTTCAAAATCCTCTTTGCCAAAGCGGAGGAATTTGGAGGATTGAGGTTACATGGCAAAATTGCGTTACTGATTTCGTAGGATGCACTTTGTCAAGGTCTTGGGCTGTGGGCTGGACCTTGTGTTGTTTTTGCTCAGCCATACATAACTTTAGGCCTGGATTATGCTTGAAATACTTTGTACTGCTCCAGGATGTCACCGGCCAAGCCTCAACATATTGACAGTCACTGCCGCAGGATTGTGCAGGATTCAGGCAGTGGTCACCCCTCCACGGACCATATTCAAGAAATTACGGATGAATTTGCAGGATTGAGGCTATGCTACGGTATTTTTCCATGAGGCCAATTGGAGGATTTTGAAGGATTGAGGCTACATCCTAGCAAAAAGGCCTAGGGAGTTAGGGTTAACCTACTTAACACTACTTAACGTGCTACCTGTACTTTCCCGGGCCTTTTTGCTAGGATATAACCTCAATCATTCAAAATCAATAGCATATATATATGTAGCCTCAATCCTGCAAATTCCTCCATTATTTTTTGAATATGGACCATGGAGGGGTGACTACTGCCTGAATCCTGCAAAATCCTGCGGCAGTGACTGTCAATATGTTGAGGCTTGGCCAGTGACATCCTGGAGCAGTACGGAGGATTTCAAGCATAATCCAGGCCTATTTTTATGCATGGCTGAGCAAAAACAACACAAGGTCTGACCCAAGACCTTGACAAAGTGCATCCTACGAAATCAGTAACGCACTTTTGCCCTGTAACCTCAATCCTCCAAATTCCTCCACTTTGGCAAAATTTCTCATTTTTTGTTTGAGCGAAGACCTTTGTATGTCTTCATTGTTGAATTTGTTTAAATAGGAAAATCATAGGTATTTGTTTGTTTATGAGAAAAAAAACAATGACGTCATATCGTTGTTACTGTTGAGTGAATTAGCTACATTTAAAGCATTTGAAAGAATGGCAGTTATCGAGCTGCCACAGTAGCCTAGTGTTTAACGAGCTGAGCTGTGGATTACAAGGTCCCTGGTTCGAATCCTGCTATGTCCATTTCTCGAAAGGCTATTTTTTTCATTGAAGGGGAAAAGGGAGAACGAAAACCTTAGTGTCTTGCTGTGATTCTGTTAAAATACTGAATTATACATAAGCGGCTTCACCCAATACAGGAAAAAATATGCATGCAGCATGCAGCACTTAGATGCTGAATGGCACACCGTGCTCCATTCGTATTCGTGCAAAATAATGGGGAAAAAAACAACAACAGTGTGATGTCACAGGAGAGTGTTAATTGCTATGAGCTGTTGCATACATTTGCTTCATACCAATGGAGACCTGGAAAAGTGTGCAAAACAAAACCAAGATCTTTACATCTTTTGTTTGCCTTTCTTAATATTCAGTTCAAATTGTCATGACGCGTGGTGGAGTGCCGCCCAGGCCGGCTGTCTTCATGTCGCGCTTGGACAAAGTCCGCGAGATCCGCGAGGCCCTCTACCAGCTACAAGACAAGATTGGTTGGGTGCTAGTCCACGGTATGGGAGGCATCGGCAAATCAGTACTAGCAGCTGAGGCTGTAAGAACATCGAAGATACTTACAAGTGAGTTGGTGGATTTAGCTTTTGTTGAGCTTTTAGCTGTGTATAGACCAGATGCTTGAACAGATTTCCAGTAAATAACCATTCCGAATCAATTGAATAGAATCTTATGCACTCTGTGACCAGCTTTATTATTATAACAGTATTATTATTTATTTCATTATTTATTTGCTCATGCTGCAAAAAGAGATCCATTCGTCTAATCTCCAAATCTCATTACATTGCCCACACCGATCCCCTATTCAAAGACTCAAAATTGCTCAACCTTGTTAATATCAACACATACCAACAGAACATATTCATGTACAAATACTGCAACAAACAACTTCCCAACCACTTCCAAACCTTCTTTCAATTCAATTTTAATGTACATAACCACAACCCTAGATCCTCAACAAACATACATATCCCTACCCATAGAACACAACTGTTTCAGCGTAACATTCAATATGCTGGAGCCATTTATTGGAATATACATGTATGCTACCTGACATTATTAGGCGTTCTCCCTCTCTTGGCTCATTCCAACGTAAACTTAAAACGTATCTGTTAAATTAATTACAGATATCGACGTTCTTATATATATAATTGCTGTTATTACGTACACTTTATTATTACGTTACTGTTTTTACATCATAACCATGTCATTATCTGTTTGTTTGTGTGTTAAATGTTCTTTTGTCCTGTTTGACTGTTTTGTCTAGTCTTTGTCTTAAGGCATCCCCAACACAAGCACATGCTTACCAGGGCCTGCCTCCATGTTCACCATTATTATTCTGTTATTACATACCTACATGTACCTAATGTTTTCATATTTTGGTTATTCTGCTGGTTGTGAATCGATGAAATGGAAATAAATGTTTTTGAATTGAAAATTGAAATTGAATTCTGGTAATGAAACCAAGGATTCCTCCAGAGCACCATGGCACTGTAGTTCCCAAGCCTGAAGAAACCTGTAGAGAGAAGACAGAAGAAATTACAGTTTTAGAGGTGGGAGGGAAACCCCAGAAGAACATTCTAGGGAAAACACATGGAATCAGGTAGGGACTGAAAACCCAATCCACGTGTGGACCAGGGCAGGAATCGAACCCAGGCCATAGAGGTGGAAGGCGAGGAAAGTAACCTCTGCGTTGTCTTGTGTTCCGATATCACAGAGGTATTTCCCGGCGGCGTGTTCTGGGTCGCCATCAGCAACATCGACAAGTCCAAGCTCCTGACCAAGCTACAGAACCTGTGTGCCAGACTAGACCGCGAGTCCCGCCCACCCCCACTCAACCTGGAGGAGGCAAAGGATAGATTGAGAGTGGTGCTAATTGAACAACACCCAAGGTATGTTAGGCCGAGTAAAAAAAAAAGGTTCTCGTCTGTGCTTTTTGAAAAAAATGAAGGAAAAGAAGGAGGCAGTCCCCTTTTTTCACAAGACTGAAAATTTTTCAAAGTGGCGGATGGGATTTTTGCATTTTCGTGACTCTTGCTGATACAAAATTGTGTCCAAAGGGGCTGTCACCTTTTCTGCATTGCTACAATTTTGTTGGAAACAAATCAAAAGACATTAGGTTAGTTTCCTTTCAACCAGACCTTTGAAATAGGGTAAGTAAACAATCTAAAACATAACCTTTTTTGGGATTTCAGACCGGAATGCCCCTTTAATTGCCTTACGTCCATCATGTCTTCAGGCTTATGGTATCCTGCTTTGGTTTTAAACAACAGTTTAATGTTACCAGACTTCCTGTATCTGGTTAATAGCTTGGTGTAAATTCAAAGGAAATGAGGATTGTATGTCAAGAATTCTGATCAGGAAAGGTCTGTCCATCGGTAGCTGTTTTTCGTTCTTTTTTACTTTTTGAGACAGCAACATGCATACTAGTATTGGATCCATCACGTTGATAAGAAATATTTAGATACCTTTTTGGAATAAAAAAAATATTGCAGCGAAGTAGCTTTGGATGTCATCGCGACATCTTCATTGAGTGTAGTGAATGAAACCACTCCGGTCATGTGACCATCATGTGACCACCATGTGACCACCATGTGAACACATCAAAGATCACCAGCACTCCATCAGCTTGGACAATGTCCAAGTTGTTACCAGGGAGGAACAGTTCTGGAAAAGGAAAATACGCGAAGCAATCGATATCAGGACACAAAAGCCATCCCTTGATAGAGACACCGGATACGACCTGCCCAACATCTACAATGACAAGCTGGTTTGTGATCGCCCAAAAGGTTGTCATAATATGACCTGAATACTCCCTAGGCCTTTTTGCTATGATGTAGCCTCAATCCTGCAAAATCCTCCAATTGGCCTCATGGAAAAATTAGCATATAGCCTCAATCCTGCAAATTCCTCCATTATTTCTTGAATATGGTCCATGGAGGGGTGACCACTGCCTGAATCCTGCAAAATCCTCCGGCTATGACTGTCAATAGGTTGAGGCAGAGGCAGTGACATCCTGGAGCAGTGCGGACGATGTCAAGTATAATCAAGGACTAAATTTATGCACAGCTGAGCATGAACAACACAAGGTCCGGCCCAAGACCTTGACACAGTGCATACTCCGAAATCAGCAACGCACTTTTACCATGTAACCTCAATCCTGCAAATTCCTCCAATTTGCAAAAAGGATTTTGGAGGATTCAGGGCGGTTAGGGTTAATTCACTACGCTGAATGGAGATGTTGCAATGACATCAAAAGCTACGTCGCGGCAATATTTTTTGGATTCCAAAAATAAATATTTCTTGAAGTTGAAACAGTTTACCATGTTTACTGTTAAAAAAGTGTTTTGAATCCAATTTAACCAATACAATTTACATGATTTATATGCAGATTGATATCCCTTTGGCTTTGAATTTTTTGTTTGTTTGATTTGTTCTCAGATTGCATTTCTGTTACCTCACATTTATTGCGTTCAGTTTCATTTCTCACTTTTTCGTGTTACTTTTAAATTGAGGAAAAGTGATGGAGAGAATGTTGTTTATTATTACAGGCAGGGCTGACCTGCTAATTGGTCAAAGTCGATAAACAACTGTATTTCATTACTGTTTCTAAAAATACCTAAAAAGAAAGGGAAAAAAAGCTTCCGAAGGACTGTCTGTACCTTTAAATGCACAATTGCTGATTTGAGAAGGTTAGAGTAAATATCATTTTATTTTTTTGTTTTTTTCTGTTTTGCAGGTGTCTTCTCATTTTGGATGATATTTGGTCTTCCAAGGTTGCTCGGATATTTGACGTACAGTGCAGGGTGCTCGTTACGACTAGAGACAAAAGCGTCATTGATACGATTACAAGTAAGAAGGTTTTGTCAAAGTTAAGGAACATTTCACAATGAACTAGCTGAGTTTTAAACAACTTGTCAAAAGTCAATTAAAAGTCAATCACGGGTCAGTCACAAGTCAATTGTCTCAATTCAATTGTCAAACAATTCTAAATTTTAAACTGTGACAACTTTAAGCACTTTTATGTCATTGTTCCTTCTTTTTTTTAATTGCTATTTGTCTTGTGATTGACTTGTCATTGACTTGCGACTGACTTATTGTTGACTTGTGGCTGACTTGTGATTGACTCGTGATTGCCTCATATTAATTTGTGATTGGTGATTAACTCTTGATTGACTTGTGTCTGACTTGTGTTTGACTTGTGATTGACTTGTGATTAACTTGTGATTGACTTGTGATTGACTTGTGACTGGCTTGTGATTGACTTGTGATTGACTTGTGTCTGACTTGTGTATGACTTGTGTCTGACTTGTGATTGACTTGTGATTGACTTGTGTCTGACTTGTGTCTGACTTGTGTATGACATGTGTCTGACTTGTGTCTGAATTGTGTCTGACTTGTGATTGACTTGTGATTGACTTGTGACTGACTTGTGACTGACTTGTGACTGACTAGTATCTGACTTGTGATTGACATGTGATTGACTTGTGATTGACTTGTGACTGACTAATATCTGACTTGTGATGGACTTGTGATTGACTTGTGACTGACTAGTATCTGACTTGTGATTGACTTGTGATTGACTTGTGATTGACTTTGATTTCCACAGGTCCTGTTTCCACAATCATTTTGGAGCATGGTTTTACCGAGCCCCAAGCGTTAGAAACCCTGGCACTATGGACTGAGAAACCCATAGGAGAACTTCCCGCGGAGGCACACCAAATATACGAGGCTTCAAAAGGTACTGGAGAATTCCTGACATATTGCTGTTCTGTAACTTTAGATAGTGCTATTTAATAGAGCTTCATGTCCTTTTTTATGCGATTGCAAATGTATGTATTCATGATCAAACCGTTGATGTACTCTTAGAAGCTTCAGCATTTCAGCTGGTTCATTATACAAAATTGCTAGAACTTGCAAGGTTTGTTTTGGCTGTGGTAAATTATGTTTTTTATGCGTTTCTTGTTGATGCGGTACATAAAAGTCAGTCACGGAACATACTTTTTGTACGAATGTTATCAACGAGCTGTAAAATAACATTACAAGTAATGAAACCAGAAAATTTCACTCTATATAATTATTTAGGGCAATTACAGCATTGTGTAATGTCTGTGACAGAGCTTTTAAGAGCTCAGTGAATAAACCTGAAAATGTATTTTTCAAATCTTATACATCCATCATCTACATGTAGTAATGGTCAAGGAGATTACAGACTAGGAGTTTTTGGATCATTTCTCTGAATCATTAATTAGATATCAAGGTTAATTGGTTATGTCATGGACTTATCCCTGCAATTGCCCAGAAGTACAATTCACAGAGAAGGAACAGAAATACATCTAAAACTCTGCTCTACATCCCCTGTTTCCTAGGTAACCCTCTTGTCATTTCCCTCATCGGTGGCCTGCTTCGCGACCACCCCCACCGTTGGGAGTACTACCTCAAGAAACTCAGAGAGAAGAAATATAGCCGGCTGCGCAAGGCGTCGTCCTACGAGTATCAGAGCGTGGACGAAGCCATGGGTGTTAGCGTGGACCAGCTACCAGATGAGTCCAGAGAACTGTACTTTGATTTTGTCATCTTTGACGGAGGTGTGAAGATATCTGCAAAGGTTGGTTCAAATGTGGTATCACAAATCATCAAAAGCCAATCACAAGTTATCATAAGTGAATTACAAGTCATCTCAAGTCAATCACATGTCATCACAAGTCAATCACAAGTCATCACAAGTCATCACAAGTCATCACAAGTCAATCACAAGTCAATCACAAGTCATCACAAGTCATCACAAGTCAATCTCAAGTCATCACAAGTCAACACAAGTTATCACAAGTCAATCAAAAGTCATCACAAGTCATCACAAGTCAATCACAAGTCAATCACAAGTCATCACAAGTGAATCACAAGTCATCACAAGTCAATCACAAGTCATCACAAGTCATCATAAGTTCACCACAAGTCAATCTCAAGTCAATCACAAGTCATCACAAGTCATCACAAGTTATCACAAGTCAATCTCAAGTCAATCACAAGTCATCACAAGTCATCACAAGTCAATCACAAGTCAATCACAAGTCAATCACAAGTCATCACAAGTCATCACAAGTTCACCACAAGTCATCACAAGTTATCACCTTACCAGCGATTAAATACATGAGATGAAATTTGTGCCGGGGAATGTAAATTCAATATTGGGCTTTGCCCTTCACCGACAAATTTTTATTAACACAGTTTACTCAGTGTTGTCCGAAGACCTGCAAGAACAAATTGTTGCAAGGAAGTTTTTGTTTCACATAACTGTGTTTGGGACAGAAATATTTATTTAGTATAGAAATGAAAAGATATTGGAGGAATGTGGATCAGGGGTTCGAATCCAGCTGCTGGCTATATGCTGTGTCCTTAGGCAAGCCCCTTCACCCCCACTTGCCTATCTCCACCCAGAAGTATAAATGGGTACCTGTGTAGCATGAATTTAGGTTTATGAAATACAGACTCATTGGTGGTATTGCGCATGCTCATGCATAGATAATTAGGAGAGGGACCGGTCACGTGAGAGGGTTTAACCAATAAAAGGGAAAAAGAGTCCAATTTTCATATGAGTCTGACTTTCATATAACACCTGCATTAGCTGGGGAGTAACCTTTGATGGACTGGCATCCCATCTAGGGGGGAATAGAAATATTGGCTCATGACAAACTTTACTTTTTTGATGATGTTCTCTCCCATAAATATAAATTAACTTCAGAAATTGCAATTTTCGTTGAAGCTCATAGAGCACTAGTTCACTAATTTTTCACACCCCCCCCCCTCCTCATTACAGGTGCTAAGTGTCTTGTGGGATGAGGAGATGGAATTTGTAGAAGATGAAATGCTTAAACTGGCCAACAAGTCCCTCGTTCGTCAGGAATGGGATGATAAGCTGCGCTGCATGAGCTACACGGTGCACGACCTGCAGTTAGACTTCATCAAACAGAACAGCGAAAGTCAAACAGTAAGACGCTTTACCTAGTGTAGGCACAGGCTACCACTCTGTTGCATATGGCGAGGAAAGGATGGCTATAAGAGGAGAAGGGAGGCCATCGCTTGTCAACAAGTTGCTTGAGTGTTATCAGTATCTTAATACTTGCTTTGCTGCAACCACCTCTTGACTTCCCAGCCAGCTCGTTACTAACCCTCCTATGTGCAAACATACATTCTGTGCAAAGTCGTCCTTTCAGTCAAAATCAGTCAAGTGACTGTTTTCAACAGTTAAGTGCTCCCTTGCCTACATACAGCAGGATCGACTGGCTGTGACTGTTTATGTACCTTGATATGGCTAAGCTTTGACTGTAGGTGATTGATAAGACAGCTGTGCACACCAGTGATTTGCTTTTGTCTGTTGACTTGTCACAGTGCTTGCTTGAAATTTATGATCTGACTGTTTGTGACTAGCCTGTGTAAAAGGCATGGCAGGGAAGTTGATGGAATTTTTGACTGTCTGTGACTCTTCAAACAGTAGGAGGGTTTAAGTGAAAATATTTCTCATGGAATTTTGGAAAATCTTCATGGAGCTATCAGGTAAAACTCAGCATTGAACCCAGTTCAATTATTTCACACAAGTTTCACAACATTGAATTTTTGTTTTCTGTAGGAAGTCCACAAGAAGTTGGTCTCTCGATACAAGAAGCTGTGCAACGGCAAATACCACATGCTAGAAGACGACGCTTATATTCACGAGTATCTACCCATGCATATGGCCAAGGCGCACCTCAGCGCAGAGCTACGCTGCCTTCTGCTTAGTCTGGACTGGATCGTCGCTAAGCTGGACGTGATGGGTTCAGTCGCTCCGGCTTACGTGCTTAGCGATTACGTCAAGTATAGCCACTACCTCATGACGCGAGAGGTAAGGAAATAGATGATAGACCAATAAGCCTGCCCTTTGCGCATGTGGGCAACAACCGTTGTCCAGACCATTACCACACTGTATGTTCAGACGTGCGTGTTATTGCGCATGCACGCATGTCAGACATTTGTGCATGTATGTTGGACTTTAGTCACATAGGCCATCAGCCTGGGGGTTTGGTCGGTATCAAGTTAGGGGAATAATGCTCATGGCGATTTTTGGCAAGGTGTGCACCCGTAGAGTTGGAAAATATGTGATAGCATTGTGGCGGTGGCAGCTTTTTGGGAGTTTTATTATCCTTTTTTTCAAAATGGCCACCAAAATGTGTGTTACCACATATATGTGGCCATTTTTAAGCTCATAGAGCAGTTAGGACAGTGAGTTTGGTGTCTATAACTAGGTTTGACGGGTCAAAATTTCATTTCTGTCTTTACCTAAAACACTGGAGCCTTGCTTAATATCAAAATCCAAAATGGCTGCCAAAATGCTCATTTTCACATATATAAGTAGCCATATGCTCATAGAGCAGTTAGGACAGTGATTTTGGTGTCTAAACTAGATTCGAGGATCAAAGATTTCATCTGTCTTTACCTAAAACAGCAGAACCTTGCTTTTTGTGAAAATCCAAAAAGGGCCACCAAAATGGCCGCCAAAATGCTTATTACCACATATAAGAGGTCGTATAAGCTCTTAGAGCAGTTAGGACAGTGATTTTGGTGTCTATGACTAGGTTTGTGGGGTCAAAGATTAATTTTCTCTCTTTGCTTAAAACACCGGAGCCTTGCTTTATATGAGAATCCAAAATGGCTGCCAAAATGGCTGCACTAAGCCAGTTCGGTATCTCGATTAAGTAGTCCAGGTCAAAGGTGATTCTGGAAAAAAACGCTGACACGACTCAAGCGTCTTGTAACCGCGATGTTTAATACGCGAATGCAAAAAAACAAAATGTGCAGGGAATTGAAGTGTCATCCACACTCCACAGAAGATTGCCGCAAAGGAATTTGAAGTGTGGGTGCTGACTCTATGGGCAAAAGTGGTTTTGCAAAACTCGAAGGGTTGCGAAGTGCAGAAGACTACACGTAGGTGGGTTAGGCCAAAAAAAATATTCGGTCTCTGGTCAGACCAAAGTTCTGAAATTGACGCGGCCACACGGCTTTCTTTTTTTTTTTGCTTTTTTTTCTTTTTTTTCTTCAAGCTTGGATTGTACAGACAAGGTAGGTACTATTTTGCTTTTTTAGTGTCCTCATGTACATTGGTGTCCTCCATAATTTGCCTTGGTGCTTTCGATCAATTGCCTTGGTGCAATTTCCCATTCCTTGGTGCTCTTTGGTAAAAAAAATTGAGGAGGTGTGGAAATAGAGGGCGCTGTTGGAGCTACCGCGGAACATTTTGGGAAAAAAAAAAAGATCGACGCGCATGATTAAAATCGACGCGCGCGCTGACCAGAGACCGACTTATTTTTTTTTTTGGCCTTAGGTCTCTTACTGATTGTCATTTGTGAATTAGACTGGTTACACATCTCACTGACTGATTGACACTTGTTGCTGACACTGGTCTGGGAGCAGCCCCACATGGCTTGTCTTTTATGAATGTGATGTATTGAATAGAATTTGTTCCCTCCCATCACCAGCTTTACCAGTCTTGCCTATTCTTGTTTTCTTCAGGAGATCGACCTCGCCAAGGAGTTCCAGCTTTTCATCAGCGTCAATTCCCACCTTCTTATCCAATCCCCAAAGCCTGACGTGACCCAACTCGCTCTGGTCCAACCCCCGGACTCCTTGGTCTATAAACAAGCTCAACAGAGGGCGCTACAGAGCAAGACTGGTTTCTATCTGAATTGGTGGTAAGGTTCCCCCCCCCAACTTTACAAATTATTAGTAACTTCTCAGACAATGAAAGAGAACTGTTTTAAATGACGTTGGTGGGGATTTTTTTTTAATGAAAAGCAGGCGACATGGTAACAGTGACAGATGACGCTTGCAAAAGTTTACATTTTGACACCTAGTTTGTAATTCCCTTGAAAAATTCAAATTTTCTATGAACTGTTGATTTGTGGGTGTTTGCAAAGTTGCATTTTCCGTAAACGTTAGGCGTGACATTTTTCAGAGTTTTGTTTGAAATGAGACTTTTTTTTAATCTGACCAAAAAAAGAAGATACTATCTGCATAGAAAGAAATGTACCTATTAGACTTTTCATCAAAATTTCAGACTTTTTTAAGATTGACAATCTCTAACGTAGTAAATAATGATATAATGGTATAATAAAGACAAAAAAATGAGAACAAAGAAACAATATGAATACTTAAGATTCATCACTAATAACTCATTTTGTTTTGTAGCAATAGACCATCCAAAATGGATCACATACTCATGAGAAGTAAAGTCCACGAAGGCACTGTGTCGTGTGCCAACTTCTCGCCAGAGGCAGACTTGGTCGTGTCCTGTGGAGAAGACGAAAACATCAAGGTACATTCTGCCTGAGTAATTTTGATTTACCAGGACACTTGTCCCTCTCAAAACTTCTTAGATTTTCTACCCTTGGATAAGTGTTTTACGTGCCAGATTTCTCAAGATTGTCTACATGCACATGCCGTGTATTTCATTACAGGAGATATAGACCATTATGTTACGGCCCTCTATTTTTTTTCCCATTCGAATCAACATAACCAAAGCGAGGCTGGAAGGGAAAGATAGTCTGGTTCCTTTTTACACAAAAATCAAAATCATTCAGTACTGTTATTGGATACCGGGAACATGACTGACATGGTGGCAGCATGATAAAGGTCTACAGGGCTGTCTCATGACCTGGCTCACATCCGGGTACCAGAAAGTCAGTGTCGCCATTGTAGTAGGCGAAGATCGTATAGCGCACCGCACAGTAGGTACATGTAGTAGGCAAGCCTCCAAAGCTGTGATGGATGGCAAAAACTGTGGAAAAAATGCGGAATCAACACCCAGTGCTGGCTTGGCACAATTATGACAATCATACAGTCGTACACGGCACTTGTAGTTGCCATTTTTTATTATTATTATTATTATTTATTCAACCTCAACAAAGAATTACAAACAGTGATACAAAACCAAACAAAAATTACACAAAAGTGGTTGAAACGCACAACAAAAGAAACGTATAAACATGTAATTTAAATTTAAATTAAAATTTAAATTATTAAAAAATCATGAAGTAGAGGGCATGCACTTTAAATGACAGCTGGAGTTGGCTTCCCAATTGGGAGTTGAACAATAACCAGTAAGACACAAAAAATCACAGAGAAAACGATTATGTGGGTCAGGGACTGCAAAAGTGAATCTAATCACTGTTGCTCGGAAGCATGCGGACCCTCACATAATGACAAATGAACAGGACAAAAAAGGCAAACAAATACGCAAGAACAAGATTACAAATGGCAGGGAAATAACACAATAAAGGGAAGCCCGAAGATTAAACTTAAGATTAAGTAAATTAATTAATTTGATAAAGAACTTGCCATTAATTTACATGAAATTAAGCCCTTCAGTCTAGTTACAACATAATACGTGATTGCATTGTGCTAGCTGTTCACGGGACAGTTGCTTTGTACAACAGCATGCACAATGGTTTCTCCATTGAAGGGGGCCTTGTACATGTTCAGTAATTACATGTATTCATTGAGCTTCTCTGGTTTAGATGGCCAATTCACATTTGAAGTTTCCACCCTTTTTTTCTTTTACAGATATGGGAGAGTAGTTCAGGTCGAGTGAGTACCATGTTTGACACTCACAACGACCACATCAACTGGTGTGAGTTCTCACCTGACGGCTGCAAGTTACTCAGCTGCTCCAATGATAAAACACTCCAGGTACTCAAAACTCAATCTCACCATCAAGTCTAGATTACTCACTGCTACAGGTACTAGCATCACAGTTTATTATACCTCATAAATATTCATGATCAATTGGAGCACGTCTTTGGCCGATTCCGCAGCTTGTCTGGTATTTTTTTCATAAACATGTCTCTGTAGCATGTCATCTTTACGGAACCAGTATGTTGTTGCAGTCCTTGTAACTACTGCAGTAAAGACACATTAACCCTAAACCACCTCACTCCTCCAAAATCCTCCTGGCGGTTTTGGAGGATTCTAGAGGATTGAGGATGAATGGTGATTGAATCAAATGAGGATTCTGGAGGATTGAGGATGAATGGTGATTGAAGCACATGAGGATTTTGGAGGATTGAGGATGAATGGTGATTGAAGCACAAGAGGATTTTGGAGGATTTAGGATGAATGCATTTTGAGGCAGGACTGTCTGATGATGTTGAAGGATTTGGCGTTGGTTATCCTTCATTTAAACACGAGTGCAAAGTTTTGGGATGAGCAGGATTTTGGAGGATTGAGGATGAATGCATTTTGAGGCAGGACTGTCTGACAATTTTGAAAAATTTAGGCGGAGTTGCAAAATTTTGGAGGATTTTGGAGGATTGAGGATGGTTGTAAGCAACAAGGGCCTAGGGGGTTAGGGTTACAGAGTGTTTCATTGACTGACGAAGTGGTTGAATATCTTGTGCTGAATAAAGATGCAAAAGCTACGAAGGCCGTTAGCGACAAGGCAGTTAGGTTACTAAATATTTATGAGGTGTAGTAAAACAAATACAGCATGGTTTATTTTCGCGTCGGGAGTTAGTGAAGCTGACCTATGCCTCAGGACCAGTAATTCCCATTACTTTCCCTCAAACCATGCTGTATTTGTATAATACCGTAGCAGTGGTAAAATGTAGTATTGAAATTAGTGAAATGATTACACTGTGTAGTGGTAAAAAAAAATCTAATTGTGTAATATTTTGTGGGTTTTGTCTAGTCTTTGTATTTTGCAATGTTCTATTACATTTGAGCAGATTCCCTGAATAATTATGCAAGACAACCGCATCGTGACCTCTAGATTTTGAACAATCAGCGGGTGATTTCTATGTCAGTCTTTCACCCATTGTGCGTCAAAGACATGGATAAAAAACCCTGTGTCATGCGCTCTGTATCATGTTACGCAATATGCACCCAGCTGTTGTTGCATTATGGAAACACTGCATTCGAATTGACCAATCAAATTGTCCTCTTGTGGGAATGAAATGACGTCACGATTTAGTAAAGTTCTATTGGCTGGCGCGCGGCTTGCATATATCTGCATGTCTAGACATATTAGAGGCTATACAGGAGACTTGGCTCCGTGGATAACGGGTGATAATCAGACTAGGTTTTATCAAGCTTGTTCACAAAATGTATGGAAAGGATAACCATCGAACTGGATTTGTGCTGTTCAAGAAAGTAATATGAAATTGTACCTAATCAAAGACATGTTTAGAATCACGGAGATTGTTTTAATTAAAACGTTTGTTTGGGGGTAAATATTGGTGGGTTTGACATTTCATTCTTTTTTTTTCCTCAGTTGTATAATATTTGTGAGGAGAAGATAATAGCGACGTTGTTTGGGCACTTGGCCGAAGTCTACATGTGCGTCTTCTCACACGATGGGCAGAAAGCAGCATCATGCTCTGAGGATATGACAGTAAAGGTACGTAGAATGACGACTCTTAAGTTGGAAATGTCGTATCTGTAACTGTCTATTGTAAAGGCTGTGTCACACTTCATGTAAAAACGATAGCGAAGCGAATTTCATTTTAACAATTGAAGTTTCATTTTGACGTTCTCCGTTACCTTAATGAATTCCCTTTGCGCCGACATTCGGGTGCGGGATAGGTTAGTGTGGCCTAGTGGTTACAGTTTGCGATTCACGATTAGAGGGGCAGAGGGTCGAATCCAGCCGCTGGCAATAAAGTGTGTCCTTGGGCAAGCCACTTTACCCCCATTCGCCTCGCACCAGCAAGGAGTGTAGATGGTACCTGCATTAGCCTGGGAGTAACCTGTGATGGACTGGCATCCCATCCAGGAAAATCACGATTAGAGGGTGATAGGTTCAAATTCCATCCACTGGCAATTAATAAATTGTGTCCTTGGGCAAGCCACTTTACCCCAATTTGCTCGCATCACCAAGGAGTATAGATAGGGAGTATAGATGGGTACCGGCATTAGTCGGGGAGTAACCTGCTGTGGACTGGCATCCCATCCAGGGAAATCACGATCACAGGGTAAAAGGTTCGAATCCATCCATTGGCAATAAATAGTGTCCTTGGGCAAGCCACTTTACCCCAATTCCCCGCACGTCACCAAGGAGTATAGATGGGTACCGACATTAGCCGGGGAGTAACCTGTTATGGACTGGCATCCCATTCAAGGTAACCAAGATGAGAGTGTAAAAGGTTCGAATCCATCCATTGGCAATAAATTGTGGCCTTGGGCAATCCACTTTACCCCAATTTGCTCGCATCACCAAGGAGTATAGATGGGTACCGACATTAGCCGGGGAGTAACCTGTTATGGACTGGCATCCCATCCAAGGTAACCAAGATGAGAGTGTAAAAGGTTCGAATCCATCCATTGGCAATACATTGTGGCCTTGGGCAAGCCACTTTACCTCAATTTGCTCGCATCACCAAGGAGTGTAGATGGGTACCGGCATTAGCTGGTGAGTAACCTGTGATGGACTGGCATCCCATCCAGGAAAATCGCGATTAGAGGGTGATAGGTTCAAATCTATCCACTGGCAATTAATAAATTGTGTCCTTGGGCAAGCCACTTTGCCCCAACTTGCCTCGCACCACCTGGGACTAGCATCCCATCCAGGGGCAGTAAAGATATTCTCAGCCGTTTCATGCCAAGGAAACTGGAGTCCAGACACTGTCCAGACAAACCATATTGACTGGTGAGAAACTTTACATTTCAGGTGTGGGACTTGGTCAACCTGAGGCTTCTGCGGACGCTGACTGGTCACTCTGGATCGGTCAAAGGGTGCCAGTGGTCATGTGACGATAAGAGTATCGTTAGCTGCTCCCACGACACAACAGTCAAGGTAAATATGCCGTCTCCTTGTCACAAAAATCAGTAACCTGCTCTCCCGGTTAATAAATAACTACATAATTAGAATGATCCGAAAACACTCTTTCAGCTGGTGTATGGTTGATGTATGGGCGGCCAAACATACCAACATGCCAGCTTTCTGAAAAGCAGTGAATAAATCTGTGATGAGGGTTTTCTGTGTGTGGTGTCCTGGTCGACTTAAGTCGCCTATGGTACGCAGCAGGGGGGTAGTTCCTTGTCGACAAAAGACGCCCATGCTAAGGAAAGGGTTAATGAAGTTCAGACCCTATCCGCATATTGGCCTGGTTGATATTATTAAATAAAAAAATATTGGATGTTTTTAAACAAATTCTTCCCATGTTTGGCAGGTTTTTGACGTAGCGAGTGGTGGGTTACAAACCAGCTATGATGAACATGATGAGGCTGTCACATGCTGCTGTACGTCTCCCAAGGGCAAAAAGGTGGCTTCAGCATCTACCAATCTGTTACACGTAAGTTGGTTCAGAAAATTAGACAAGTTTCAATCTTTTAATTAAAAAGTTGGAATTTGTAAACATGTTGTATTCAGGGTCACGGCGAAACGTCAGCACAACTCATTTAGTCTCAAGCTATGTTACTATACTATACTATTTTATTTCTCGGGAAAATATCAACAAATACATGTAAACAAATGACTAAAGTTACAACACAAAACAACAAAAGCTTTAGATACATAAACAAACAAACAAAAACAAAATACCATTCAGCTCCCGAAGGATTGCCCAAAAGAAGTATAAAAAGAAGTTTTAACTATACAAAAAAAAAAAGTTAAATAAAGTTACATTAAGTCAAGAACAAAGTTGGTAAATTATTTAATTATTAGACAAACAAATCAAAAAGCCAAAAAAAAAAAAAAAAAAAAAAATCAATTACTTTTGTACTAGGTAAATTAAATGAATAAACAAATTAATATATACATTGTACTTCAACTACTACCACTACTACATGTACTACTACTACTACTTCTATTAATAGATTAATAAATAATTAGACAAGTTGATAAGTTAGCCTAATTAATTAATTAATTAAATAAATGAGTCAATATTGCATTTTTAATTCTTTAAATAAATAGTTATTAATAAATAAACAAAAATTACAGTTTTACAATAAAAATTAAAAAAATGATTCATAAATAAAAAAAAAGAAAAAAAGAAGTTATGTTAGATTATTGTTGATGTACCCTAACGTGGCGCAGCCCCCAATGTGACGCACTTTGATTTTTTTGCCTTTAGTGCCTACCTAGGGCAAAAGTTTTAACTGAAATTTCACAGAAACTGAAATTTCATCAAGTTCCAAACACTCCTGTTCATAAATTTTGAGTTTATTTACCCGTAACAAAGTTAGAAGAAAAATTTATTTTGGCGTGATTTTCCGATTTTAAGTGCAAAGTGAACCCTTTGAAAATGCCCCGAAAAGTAAGAAAATAATTTTCTGACAAACATCTGGCTGGGTATGTAGGTAGAGATAATAAATATTTATCAGAGTTTATCAAGTTTACAGAAATTCTTAAATGTTAATTTGGAATTTTCCCAGATTTATTCAAGTGCGCCACGTTAGGGAACACCGGACGCCACCGTTTTTGAACTTCGGATTAAATTTTATAAAACCAAAATTGTTCACAGAGGTTAAAAAGCAAGCATAAATAAGGTAAAAGTACCAGTATTTTACTGTATGAATTTGAGGTTTGTCACCAAAGAGGTTTGGCAACACTACACGAGGAAAGTCGGGTAAGCTTCGAAGTGCGCCACGTTAGGGAACGCGACTATAGAAGAACATCATGAAAGACATGGTCTGTACCAATACGATCATATACGATCATTTGCTCTTCATGCCTTTTGTTCGATTCCATTGATTAACACCACTCAAAATCCAAAGAAGAATGTTCAAAACCTGACCTGCTGAAGTTTGGGCTCAATGGATATTACACTTTTCGAGATAACTGTAAAAAGCCTTGCACATCCTTGTGATCGTGAAACACGTTTTCGTCAATAGCACTCTGTATTCCAAATATCATTCAATTCGGGTGATTCACAATGCAGTGCGCCACCAACAGTTTGCCGTAGAGAGTTATTTTTTCCCAGTGCATTGTGAGAGATGGTCCACAAATTCGCAGCGTGGGACATTTGAAATTGTGAGTTGTTCCGGTCAGTAGTTTCATAAGCATATGATTTTAGGATCCGTTTGCCCCTTTCTTTTTTATTTCTTTATATCAATTTGGTGTTTTTTTGTAAGGCGGCAGAACGCTATCTCCCAATCTGTAACATATTAGCTCAAGTTGTCTACTTACACTCATTCAAATAGGCTATGTTTTGTCGACCGTAAAGTTGGACTCGCCATGGCAAACTCTTGGTAGCGCACTGCATCGTGAATCACCTGAATTGATTGATCGTTGGAAATCATCTTCATTTCTTGATTTCTTCTAAATGACGGCAAGCCAGACAGAATAATTTCACAGAATGTTTAGTGCCAGTGCGATCTTTAATCCACAAGTAATAAACTTTTCGATAATACTTCGGTAGGTTAGTTTGGGGATAAATACCAATGATCCTTTATGCCTTGAGGTATTTTTCTAAACAATGTTTTGTTTCGGTTTGCGGTAACACCATGTGGTAATAACTACTGCTTAGAAGATATTTAGAGTGAGCAGGACACTCAGCGGGCATCACAGTCCAACACAAGTGGAGTGTGATGGCCTAGCGGTTAAGAACACCGGACTCACGTTCTGGTGTTTCAGAGGCAACAGTGACGTGGGTTCGAGCCCGCCGGCGGACACTTGTGCTCTTAAGCAAGGCACTTAACCATTATTGCTTCGTCCTTCGGATGGGACGTTAAGCCGTAGGTCCCGTGTGTTGTATAAACGCACGTAAAAGAACCCAGTAAACACTTATCGCTAAGAGAAGGGGTTTGCCCCGGTGTTTCTGGCCTCCTGTATAAACTCCCACGTGGAGTATTTAGGAGAAGAACCAACCAACCACCACCACAATGCCCAGGGCTCACAGCCAACTGACACACTCAAGCAAGCAGGGCATCCCACTCTAACACAATGCCCAACAAACAACCAATCAGAATCCACCAACACAAGCACTCTCAATCCTAACACAGCCTACGTATTAGGAGCAGCATCTCCAACTCTCTTCAGTCTTCTGACGATGACTAGAGCAGGCTAGTTGAAACGTTGAGACCAGAGACAAGTTCTTTTAGAACTTACAGCTGGACTGTTCTTATCAGAACAAAAACTAAATAGCGAAAGTTGATAATAATAAGCAGGACAAGTTCTTTTCAGAACTACTTAATCTTAAGTTTAATCTTCGGGCTTCCCTTTATTGTGTTATTTCCCTGCCATTTGTAATCTTGTTCTTGCGTATTTGTTGCCTTTTTTGTCCTGTTCATTTGTCATTATGTGCGGGTCCGCATGCTTCCGACTAACAGTGATTAGACTGGCTTTTGCACATAATCGTTTTCTTTGTGATTTTTTGTGTCTTACTGATTATTGTTCAACTCCCAATTGGGAAGCCCACTCCAGCTGTCATTTAAAGTGCATGCCCTCTACTTCATGATTTTTTAATGATTTAAATTTTAATTTAAATTTAAATTACATGTTTATACGTTTCTTTTGTTGTACGTTTCAACCACTTTTGTGTAATTATTGTTTAGTTTTGTATCGCTTTTTGTAATTCTTTGTTGAGGTCGAATAAATAATAATAATAATAATAAAAATATCTTCTTAGCAGTAGTTATTACCATATGGTGTTACCGCAAACCGAAACGATACCGATACTCCACCATGCAAAGCCTCAAATCTTAAAACGATGTTTGTTACTGAGATGTTGTGTTTGTTCAGGTGTGGGATATGTCAAGTGGAGAGCAGCTAGGTGTCTGTGTGTGTCGAGCTCAGTCCATCCTGTGCTGTGCCTTCTCACCAAGTAATGGTATAGTGGCAACCGGCTGCTCAGATTTTTCCATCTGGGTGAGTTAATGTGTAGCAGTGAAACTCAGTGACTCATAATTCAGATGAGTGTTAAAACAAATTTCGGGCTTTAAAATTCAGTCTCTGATTTTTTTGTCGCTCAATGTGGGGACGATAAACAAGAAATGTTTGTTCTATTAAAAATTGATAAAAAGATCACCCCCTATATCTGAGAATGTATGTATGTCTGCATGTAGCCACAATTGTGTGGTTACTTAACGAATCCCACTTCTGACACCATTTAAAAGCTAGTAGGACTTTAAAAGGTGATGCTTGATTCAAGGTGATTATTCTCTGGTAACGTTGGTCTGGGTTGTATTTATTTAGCGGTCATTAACTCTCCTGTGGTGTGACCATTCAAAACATCTCAAAATCTGGTTTCTGGCAAATTGGAGGACAAAAAATGCAGGATCTTTTAAAATCCTCCAGAATTTATTGTTACTGCACTACCACACCTTTCAATTCCTTTTGAAAGGTATTGAAAGGCAACTTACTGAATTTGCCCACAGAGTTGCTTCACCTTCCAAAACCTTTCGAAAAGTTTCAAAGTTCCAGCACTATTTCACCTTTCAAAACCCTTTTAGTCAGGCAAATTTAAAATGTTTGAAAGGTCTGATAATTCTCTGCCAACTGCACTGGGCCCAGCAGGGTTAAGCAAAACCCTTTTTGGACTGCTCGATAGAGGGTGCTATACCAGCTTATTTATTTTGGGGTATTTTTTTTTATTTTGGCTGATTTAGAGGCTTGATAGCTCAGCTGGTAGAGCACTGTTAGTGTGGTTTGGAGGTTGCAGTCTAAATCCCGCATCCAGTCAACTTCTATGTTCAACATATTTTTTTTTTTTATCCATCAGCTGTGGGATATAGCCTCTTTCAAGTCGCTTGCTGTCTATCGGGGTCACAGTAGTTGGGTATTGTCGGTAGCCTTCGATTCCTGCGGCGAACAACTTGTGTCGGCCTCGGACGACGAAACTGTCATGGTATATTTCAACTTGAAATTTTTGTTTTTCTCTTCGTAAATATATAAAAAAATAAATGATATTTCACAGGAATGATATTTATTTTTTGAATTGGGGAGAGTTTAAATTTTGAAATTATGTTTTGCCATTCACTAACATAATTTCATATTCCCGGTCTTGCCCTAGAGCTTGCAAGAAAAAAATTCACAAGCTTACTCAGATTTGTTCTTATTGGGAAAATGAAATTGCTAGAATTCTAAATTCTGAATGACCAAGTGTTTCAATGTGCACTTTTTCCCCTTCAAATTTTGACAAGAGTAAGATGGGTTAGAACATTTGGTTCAAATTCTAAAGTAATTTCTTCAAATACAATTGAACTTTTTTGAAACCATAGCTACATATTCAACATTTGAATCTATTTTGCCTTATTCCTACCCTGCAAAATGAAAATATAACTGTAAAAAGATCTATATCCGTATCATTTCTGTAGATTTGGAAAGTTGACGGTCTCTTCAGCGACAATAACGTGGTCTTCAAGCGAGACTTTGCTGCGCAGTTTAGCAATGACGACGTAACGATTGTAACTTCCGATATCACAAATGCTTGTCTGGTGAGTTGACTGTATCAATGAGAAGCTATCGCCCCTGTGCATGAACATATATGGGTCGATGTGGCTGGCAACCATAGGCGCCTTTACGTGCCAGCGGCCCGATCACGTTGTAGCCGTGTCCTTCGCAATTCAGCATACCAGCTGTTAATATTATTATTATTATTTCTAGGTAATTGACAACAAAGGTGAGAGGATACGTGTTGTCTCAAAGAGCCCAGCGCGAGTCCGTAGCGTGGCCATTTCCAAGGACGGAAAGGCAGCCTGTGGAAATGTCCACGGCCAGATATATGTACGTATAACCTTGATTGTCTTTGTAATGCGGTATAATGGCCAATTTTTTCCCACGTATGATACGAATACAAATGGAGTAGTGGAGTTGTGTGGTTGAATCATGCACATGATTGAAGTGGTGTCATGAATAGTGCCCTTGTCTTTCAGACTTTTTCCTTGACTTCCTCAAGTAAGAAGTGAACTTCTTTGTTAATGGGTCCGTTAGGCTAACGGTAGTTCGGGCCTTTTCATTTCATGAAAATACTGACCATTTTTTTATTGTAAAATATCCTTTGGATGAGACTTAAAACAGAAGTCTGTGTCTGGAGATTGGGCAGGAAGGTTATTGTTCATACTTTTACAGATTTGCAGATTTCATATTTTTGTTAGGCCTATTTCCTGATTTGTTTTCCCCATATGTTAGTTTCATCTCTGTGGTTAGTGAACTGGTACATGGTTTGCAAATTAGCTCTCTAGACCGTTAGAAGGTTGAATTTACTGGTTTGGGTGAATGTGTACAGCAGTTTGATTTGTCCATGTTGATTATTTTTGTTTTGTTAGATTCTGAGCATCATCTATGCCAAGGAGCTATGCGTACTTACAGGCCACACGTGTGCCGTCAGACACTGCGTCTTCAACAAAGATGGATCCTTGTTGGCGTCAACGTCCGAAGATAACGATCTTAGGGTGAGTTGTGGGGCCCTGGGGAGATGATGGAAGGGGTCAGGGTTCATATCCAGCTGCTGGCTGTAGCTCATGTCCTTAGGCAAACCACTTTACCCTAAGAAAGCCCTGTCCACTGCCATGCTTTTATTTTTACAAACCAGCCTGTAATTTTAAGATAATGTCTTACGCATATTTTAATACCAATTGTATAATATCAGATCGCTGTGGTATTGGAAGTTGACAAACTGGTTCCCGAGGTGAGACTAGTCTATCAACTTCCAATTGACCTATCGCCGTTTGTGATTTGGCCACGCCCCTTAGACAACCCTATGGAATTTCTGTACGCTAAGTTTTGTTTGTCTCAGATGTTTTGCATTCCGCGTCCATTTGTATATCATGTAATTGGACAATATTTCACAAGCTGCGTTGACGCGGTTCTACCGGGATTCTACCGCTATAGGTCAATACCGAGGGGAGCTAATAGTTATTTTTTTCAACTATCCACCCATAATAAACCATGTTATATTTGTTTAACTATACCTCACGCATATTCTAACCAATGTTTTTTTGAGTAAAAATGCATCAGTTATCTCAGCAAAACGTTGCTGTGCGTGTGCTGCCATCTTTTCATGTAGGTAAGGGTGACGTTCACACTCGAGTACTTCCCCCGTGCGATAGGCAGATGAAGTTTTGCCTGTAGCACTTTCAAAATATAGGACATGAAGGCCCAATCAATGAGCTTTCTTTTAGTACAAGAATCATTCACATCACTCATGTACTTTTCAAGTTACGGAATTTTGCTCACAAACACCGTTTAAAAGATCTGTCCACGGATCACCAAAAAAATAAGTGTTCTTTCAATACAAAAACAATTCTCATAGGGATGCATGTGATGAATTGTTTTTGTTTTGCTGAAAGAACGCACACTTCTTTTTTTTTATCCATGGACAGATCAGAACTCTAAAACGGTATTAGTGTTCAAAATTCCGTAACTTGAAAAGTACATGAGTGATTTGAATGATTCTTGTACAAAAGAAACCTCATTGATTGGGCTTTGATATCCTAGATTTAGAAAGTGTTACAGGCCAAACTTCATGTAAAAATTGGTCCTGCATTTTGGGTTATTTTTCTTTTTTACTCACCCTGTAGTAAACTATTGCACAGGTAACCCATGTGGTACTTGACTGCACATGGGTATTTACCATGTGCATGAATCCTCGCATGCGAACTTTGTAAGTAGGAAACTTCGAGGCTGACAAGTGATGGTGAATGCACCCATAAGACTTTCTCTTTCCTTCATGAATGTGTATCGGATATAGTAATATTTTGGATACACTGTTTTGGTCTTTCGTTCCTTGTAGTTGTGGGATCTGAACAAGCCCAGCCAACACATTGTCCTGAAGGGTCACGCAGACTCAGTCAACATGTGCAACTTCTTCAAGAATGATACCAGGCTGTTGTCGTCTTCCCACGATGGAACTCTGAAGGTGAGGAGCTGATTTCTTATTTGATACAAATAAAATCTGAAATTTGGCCAGATGTCTGGAGTGTTGCAGCCTTGACTACGTGGTCTGATGCATTGAAGTCAAGATTTTAGGGATGAAGTCCAGTCTATCACAAGTCCCTACAAGTCCATCACAAGTCCTCCAGTCCCAATTCAACTCACAAGCTATTCAAGTGAGCTTTGACAAAGGCATTCCTTTGTTATTGTTCATCCACTGTGTCTTGTGACTTGTGACTGGACTTGTGACTGGACTTGTGACTGGACTTCTGACTGCACTTCTGACTGCACTTCTGACTGGACTTGTGACTGGACTTGTGATTTACTTGTGACTGGACTTGTGATGGACTTGTGACTGGACTTGTGATGGACTTGTGACTGGGCTTGTGACTGGACTTGTGACTGGACTTGTGACTGGACTTGTGACTGGACTTGTGATGGACTTGTGACTGGACTTGTGATGGACTTGTGACTGGACGTGTGATGGACTTGTGACTGGACGTGTGATGGACTTGTGACTGGACTTGTGACTGGACTTGTGATGGACTTGTGACTGGACGTGTGATGGACTTGTGACTGGACGTGTGATGGACTTGTGACTGGACTTGTGATTAATGTCTGACTGGAATTGTGATTTACTTCTGACTGGACTTGTGACTGGACTTGTGAAGGGCTCGACTACATTCTTGCAAGATTTTGTGGGAGTTTCTGTAGATTGTGGGTTTGCAAGCAGTTCAGGGATTATAACAAGATCAGTGTTTTCCAAGCCTTTCACATATTTTGATACCAATTTTATAAACTGTGGTTGCAACTTTCAGGCAAAAAGTCGAACAATTTTGCAAGAGTTTTTGCTAAATGAACACTCTCCCCATTGACAGTGCACAGGGTTAAACACTCTAAAGTTTGGTATCTCAAGATAGAATGTGATATTCTTAAAGCAGAACGTGGACTAATATTAAGCCAGAGTCCTGAAGCCGAAGCTGGAGTGAAACCGAGGTTTGGAAAACACTTATCTTTATTGGAATAAGGCTGGTGGAAATTACACACGTGCCTATGCGGCTGCAGCCATTTCCCATAGACCCCTGTGTTATACAATGTATCCAGCCGTAACCACGTCGTTCGGACGCAGCTTGAGTGAACATTTTCCGAACTTTGACTTTTTAAACCCTCAGATATGGGATGTCAAGTCAGGAGAAGTGGTGATGTCGATCAATGCTCATGATAACTGGATCTTCTCCTCCGACATGTCTCCAGATGAAAAGTTTGCAGTCTCTGTTTCCGTCGACAAAACGGCCAAGGTACAAGTCTCTTGTTTTGAAAAATTACAACGGCTAAATCTCTTGTGTTGATTCAAGGATGAAATTGCTGTGTTCTTGGCATAGAATAAATAGAATAAAACGAGAAGTGACTTTCTGATACTGCTATGCTCAACAGTGTACAGCATTAAGAGCTTTAGTTGCTTTGCTGCAACCATCTCTTGACTTCCCAGCAATGAGAATCTTTTTAGAAGAAATATGATACGAAAAGATCTCCCGATTTGGGCCAGTAGTTTTTGCTGCTGAGCCTTTCTTTGTGAAGCACATAAGTGTCATGTGGGTATTATTATATAAGGGCAATTCCACGGTTACTCACGTTACATTTTCGTAACGTGAGTAACCGATTTTGTGCGTCTTCTTTATGATACATAACACATTTTTTGGGATGTCATCTTTGGTGCTTAGGTAGGTCTAGGTCTACTCTATCTACCATGGGGATAACAGTTATTAAACCTTTTCAGTAAGGTAATTACAGCCCAAGGAAACTCAAAAGTACATCAAAAATGTAACGTGAGTAACCATGGAATTGCCCATAACAATCAATCCCTCTATCCAATACTTCATCGGCACAAATGACTCCCGATTTTGTTTCACAAAATAGGCTCTAAAACAAAAACCACTGGATCTTGGGTGATCTTGGTATCATTTTTCTTTTAAGAGAGTTTCCCGTGCATTTGTATAGGTTGTCTGAGTCTCAGGGTAGCGGAAGTACGCTGTTACTGTTTATTTTTGGCCACCCTGTATAATACCTGGCGCAATGCTTTTGGCACTGAAAGTGCCTCGGTCAATGTGCATTGTTCAAAGTCAGGGATTACGCCATTACATAGGCCGAAGCTTTCCTCTAGACCAGCTTTTCCTCTTGCACCGTTATTTTATTTCAAACAACTTGTTAGGTGTGGGATGTTGCCACAGGTAAGATACTGCACGTCCTGAACGGACATGACGACATCATCAGAACCTGCTGTATCTCCCCTAACAGCCGTCTCCTAGCAACCGGCAATGACCAAGGTTTCATAAAGGTGAGATGAAAACTAAGACATTTTACTTATGCAGAATATCGATCTCATAACCTCAAGAATGCAATAGGGGTACTGTACCAACTGAGCTATCTAGCCCAATATTGGATGTTTTTGGAGCCCCACGGTTCAGTGGTTTGGGTGTTTGACCCATGTGTGATAGGGGTTTGAATCCTGACGAGGAACACAGTGCTTGTGTTCTTGGGCAAGACACTTTACTACAATGGCCTCTCTCCACCTATGGGTACCTAGTGTGGGTAGGGAATACAGTGCGCTGAACTCAAACTGCTTCAGAGGGCTTGTCTTGTGGCCTGATGAACAGGGGTAATAATTTTACAGCACTATGTAAATGCCACATTATCATTGTCGCCCTATTGCATATCGTTTTGACAAATCGAGACACCATCGGCAAATTGGAAAATTTGGATAAATTTGGAGACTGTGAAATTCCAAGTACACGTTGCCATAAGGGTTTAGCAAAAAGACGTACAGTACATAACCACTCTGTTACCAGAAATAAACGCTATTTGCCCTGTAATCCTCAACTAATTCATTTTTTATTTTTGTATTAATCAATGTTCAACTTGTACGTTTCAATTGAAATCCTTTTTCCTATTTGGTCTTCTGCAACCCTCTGGAAAAAGTTTTTTTTGTTTTGGAAACAAACAGATCCGCTTTGCAGACTGGCTCCCGGTCCATACATTATTGTGGGGCTGGAACCAGCCTACCCCATGAGAACAGAGTTATTGTCTGGTAGCCAATAATTCAATATTGTAAAGGAATAAGCCAATTTAACCTAATGTCCTAAGGGCTCTTTGGGGGTCAAGGACCAAATGCTACAGAAAACTACCTGTGTTGTGCACACTTCAAAGAAATGCATACTACAAGTTACAACTCAGTAGTATTTTGTAGCATTAGGCGAGGTTTTGGGTTAAACTAAACATGGGACGATTTTCTCGGTCCATGTCTCATTCAAAAGTGAATAACTTAAGTATGGGTAGAAAAATTGCAACTTTACTAAAGGAATCTGTTTTTTGGGGATAACTTGAAAATAGCACAGAGATAACAACTTCAATAACTGTATTTTTTTTGTGGGCAAATAATTCACTTCAATTTTCTAGATTTGGGATCTTACCACTGGCAAGGAGCTTGCAACCTGTGCTGGTCATAACTCCTGGATTACTGATATCACCTTCTCCAGTGACAGCAAGTACATTCTGTCCGTTGGCGATAACGTTAAGGTAAACCAGCGACTAATTTCATGCAGCTGTTAAGCACAGAAATGTTGCTAAGCATAAAACAATGATCCCCATCATTCCTTTGGCTCCCTACTTTTTTTCCCCAAAATTTTTATGTAGTGTTTTTTTTTTACTTTACAATAATTTTCAGTGAGTTTTCTTCTCAACAGTACACAGCTAAAAATGTGAAACTTTGAACAAACATCGACCACCTGATGTGTGCATATTACCCTCACATCATGATGATATCATTGGGTATCACACTACAAGCAATTTTAGCTCAGCAAGTGATCGTTTTGCTTCAATCATAACTCATGAACTAAACAAGGAATCATGTTGACACTCGGTGATCTGATAAACCATGCTTTGATAAACATTCTTTGTTGTGTACGTGAAGCTGCTTGATCTTTACATCCAGGGTTAACGGAAGGTCAAAGTTATGGTGAATTCAAAATGCCGAAAGAAGCATTGATATTTAAACGGGCGTAATTCCTTCCAAATATTTCAAGGGATTCCTGTACATGAACCTTTGTCTGGTTTTATCGTCTGTGCTCATAAATCTGAAAATCTGTCTTTGTTTTGGCTTTGGCCTGTCAGTGGTGGCGAGTGGACGGCAGCTCGGTTCAGATCTTCCACATCCGAGGGAGTTTCGTTCGCCTGATCCATGCGGACGAGGACTTCAAACGCTTTGTGACAATCGGCAACACCGGCATTCTGTACATCCTGTCATTAATCAAGCAACCGCAGCAGCACGCCATGCACTTATAGCAGGCTTGGGCCTCAAGACACGGCTCAGTACAGCAACGAAGACAGAAAGACAAGTCAAAATATAACAGGATCACTTAAAACAGGGGTAATATTAATCGTGTGCCTGACCTAAGGGTTTCTGAAATCTTGGCTTTCTCGTGGGTTTTGTCTTCATCTCCGGCTTAGGAATTGTGTCAAGACACCTGTCAGCCCCACTACTGAGTAGACAGAGGAGTAATTGCAGAATACCCCACCAATCAAAAATTTCCCCCTAAAACTCAACGGCTACGTAGTTGAAGGAGCTAAGAAAAAGTCTAAGTCCAATGTACATTTACATGTAGATCCCGAAGAGTGGCTACCCGGATATGGAGTTGGAGTGAATCAGGAAAGGCCAAAAGAGGGCGCCATTTTCTCTTTGAAAACATCCTCCAAGGGGAACAAATCAGTACTATAATGGCGCTATGAGCTTTGTGCGCCAACAAGAGGGCGCGTTTTACCACTTTGAGAGTCTCTTGGATGGGACACCGCGTGTGCGTATGGGACTGGTATGTGTGCAAAGTGCGCACAATTTATTTTTATTCTAAATGCGTACAAAGCTAAGCCGTAGCATCTTTGCGCGTGAGCGTCAGGTTTTGTCGGCGTGCATATACATTCGAATTTCACTTGTGATGGTCTCCCAGACTAATCCCTGCCCCCAATAACTTTGGATCATTCGAAATACGTGGTGGATGGACCGGGAACCAGTCTAGGTCTCCCCCAACTCTCCTTTTCTGGCCGTTGAATGAGTAATTGTGCACAGAGCCTATGCGATCTTTTTGGTACTTACAGTTAAAATTGAATGGGGAAGATTGAACAAAAAAAGCCTAAGTCCAATGTGGGTCCCCCAGAGTGGATGTGGGGATACACAGTGTGAGTGAGAAGGTCTATTGAGGCAATCAACCGTGACTCTCTTTATTGAGAGTAAACAAGCCCGACTCCGTAGCCGGCTACAAGCTTTAAGGTGGATAGGTTGACTGTAGGGTATTCTGCAATTGTGCCTAACTAGGTGTCTTGACGGGCTCCTACTATTTAACCATCATGAGGAGTCAGGGTATAGTGCGCAAACATTGCCTACACGACCATTTCTGCATGATCCAGAAATTTTTCACGTTTGTATCAAGCTCCAATTTTCCTTTATTTCTGGGGAATGACAGGTTGGATAGCCTCATAATGTAAGTACTTAACAAGCAGGTGAAACTTCAGCTCACAAAACGTTGTGGATGTACAAGTGAAGAAATTGGAAAGTCTCGACTCTTATCCGAAACATGGCGTAAACCACCAGGTTTGCGGGTCTAGGTCAAACCAGGAAGGGAAGCATCACGGATATTTGGGATACCACAAAGTGGATTTTATTAAAAATGGAAATAATCCTACCTTGACCTCAGATTATTGGATTTGGAATCCTCAAAGAGTCGAAAATCTACTCGAGTAGAAGCTGGAGATGAAGCCAGGTTTTGAAAACACTCAAAAGTGGTTAAATATTGATTAAGGAACTAGTTACATTCGAAGGGTAAACTTTGTTGAATGTTTGCAATTGCAATGGCATGGCATATCTGTATCGGACAATTCCAGTTTTATGAAGGAAGTGTAATGTCCGTGACAGAGCCAATTAACCATGATGTCTAATTAATGATTCAGGGAAATGATCCCAAACTCCTAGTCTGTAATCGCCTTGACCATTACTAGATGATGGATGTATAAGATTTGAATAATACATTTTCAGGTTTATTCACTGAGCTCTTGAATGCTATGTCACGGACATTACATAAAGCTGGAATTGCCTTATGTTATCTGAATTTTTACTGCCTGGTCGAAAGTATTGAAAATATATTCATTGATATTTCACTGCTGCCAAATCCAAATTTGGAAGTTGGTCTACTAACTTGCATCAAAAAATGCCGTCAAATCTTGTCTCGAAGTCAATTTTACTTAAGCGTTTTTGGTTGAAGACTTACATTTTTTTTTCTAACTAGTACTCGTAGGTGTGTATGAAATACATTAACGAATGGGTATTAAGCATGGTAGTTGTATGTAAGGTTTATGTGCACTTTTAATGCTTTATTCCACAAAAGTGCCGAAAGAAATAAGTGCTTTATTAAAGCGGTTTATCTTTTGTACTTAATATTTTGGTTTCCTTGCAAATTTTTTTTTTTTTTAGATATTCCTTTTTGAGTTAGACTCTAAAGACTGCTCACAGTTATTTAAGTAAGAGTTATTTTTCATAAATCAACGAAGTGTGGTTTGCGCGGTCAGTATTTATGCATATTGTACGAGGCAGATATTACATTGAAGGGGCTTGCATACGGTAACGGAGAGTGGAAGAGGGAATTTAATAAATTATATTAACTCTGTTGATAGTTATACAAACCATGTTTACATTTTAACAAGGTGTTGATGAACACAAATGCCCCAGTGAGCGAATGTCAAATTTGAAGGTGTTTCTTATAAACCAGTTCGCGTCTGAGGACTTGATAACACGTACGGGCTGTTTATATACACAGGCACGGCTGATGGGTTAAGATGTCAAGATTGCTTCGCCTCGCCTCCGGGCGACGTCTAAACATGCTCATCCCTAGTGTCTTTTGTAGACACACAAAGTCTGTGTTGTATGTGGACCAGACCGTGTGCTGATTGTTGTGTGGGTCGTTGTGCACAGCCTATTGTACAATTTACGCTCCAGTACAGTGTACACCCCTGAGTATTGAAACATAATGCGGTTTTGGCAAAAAGAAATATTGTATAAATAGTGTTGAAATGACACTAGCGAATAAGTATTTGTGGCATTTGGCTGTACATGTATATCAGAAGTTAGCTGGGCAATGTTGCAGTTCGCGAAAATCAAATTTCAAAATTTTTGGCAAAAAAAGTCCTGACGCGAAGTGGTTTTCTTTGATTGGTGTGTTAAACTTAAATTTACGACTCAGAAGGAACCAAAGACCAACCAACTTTTCAAGTTGATATACATGTACCTCTTTGATGATTGTTACGAAGGTCGCGCAATACAAACTTTAGTTTATAAATTTATTACTCCCTTTTTTTTTATAGAAATCCTCAGATAATCATTGTACATCATTTTACAACCATGTCTTTGACCTTTAACCTATGGGATCCAAAATCAATAGGCTTCTGGGTAAACCCAAGACCGACACACATACCAAGTTTGAAGTTCATATTTTAGAGTCTAACTTGAGTTACTCTGATCAAACCACAAGTGCTACACATGCACGAATGCACAATTCGCTGGTGGGGCATAAACATTATTGTAAGAAAGAATTTAAATTCGGGATGATCTCTTCATTAGAATATAAGAATGTATTGTTTTACCCTCACAGAGGAATAAGGTATCAGTGCAAAGCATTGAAAGGTAAAATCCCTGCGCAATTTGTATGAGTTAACTTTAAATGCAGACCTTTTATAACAGTACTCGGGTAAAATGTACTAAATTTTATATCTGGTTTTAAATCAGAATAATTGTTTTCTTTTACGATTACTTTTTGACAATAGTTATGCGCCAATGAAGAGAAGTCACAGACACTCCATTTAATCATTTTTGTATTAAATTTCAGACCTTTATTGTATGAGAATATCAAATATTGTACTGTAACCATGGTAACCTTTGTGGCGTTAAATAAATTGACAAAAACTTGATACTTGTGCTGTGCTTTTATAAATATTAAAAGAGTTCAACTAAACAGCAGTCATATTACCCATTTTATGGTAAAAAGGAAGGTGGGGTTTAAAAATGTGACCTATTCTGTCAAAATCAGACTTCTGGAGCATAAGGTCAAAAATGAGATTTTTGCATATTGTTGAAAGATGTTCTTTTTCCTTTTAATAGGTGGTTTAATTTTTGAAACCAGTCATTCCTGGGCAGAGTTATGCTATTTTGAAGTTTATTGTGTTGAAAACTGAGAAAATGGCCACGAACGTCAAAAACAGTAATATCTTTAACTGATACGCCTTAACAAATCATCAAAAATACTATATTTAGAGCTCAAATTAGGGTTTCAAACTTTTATAGTATATTTTAGACATGTTCAGGATTACAAATATGCAAAAATTTGAAAATCGAAAAAAATCACCCCCACAGCGTTTTTTGGCCTTATCTTCATTTCAACCTCTGCCCAGAAGCGTCTGCTTTTGACAGAACAGGTCACAATTGTCCTGACCCAAAATTTATTTGAGAGTGCATCATTGTTGACAGAATTCAAAGTGAATTGCTTCTCCCCCCCCCCCCCCCAGAATATCCCCTTTTACAACATGGGTCTATGATATGCGAGCAGATTCGGCGATTAATTATGTAAAACAAGACTGTGTCTTGACCTCCAGATTCTGACCCGCTTCTATTGGGTCTTCGGTAACCCTTTGGCTGTTCTACAAAAACATGGCAGCCAAATTGACCAATCAATGGCTTAGTCCACATTTCTGATTGAAATGATGTCACATGTTCCTGAAGACGACTCCGATTGGCTGGCACAGGGGATTGCATAAATTTGCATTGCATATGCATCACGTATATCAGACTTTCGTTAGGGAGAGCTACTCGGACTACCCCCCCCCCCCCCCCCCCAAAAAAAAACACCCAACTGCCTCTTACATTACCCAATAAACCAATATACATGTATAACATCAGTAAAACTTACATGTAGGAGAAAATCAGCTACAGTATACTTTGATAAAAGGCACAATAAAATACAATTCTCTTTAAACCACACCACCAAGACCAGAATAAAAAAAAACTCAGAAATTAATCTTGCAGGAGATGTGCAACAGCAGTTGGGAAAGTTGAAACATTTGAAATGTTTCAATGCCCTTCACTTCGTGTTTTCATATGAGTAAGCCAAGAGTGCTGCCTGACTGATCTCTATACTGACTGGAGAGTGCACTCGTCTATCACTGTGCACAAAGAATTGAAGCCACCAAGAGTTATGTACCGGCCCCCCAATATGGCCACTGCTACATTAAGCACATAGAATAAGCAGGCTGTATTAAGGCTTTATGCACAAATAGACCTTTCTTTGCCAACCTGTTATTTGGCACTTTTTGCTAAGCGCGGTTTGACAAACTATGGAAGGTCAATGTTGCAAAATTAAAGAGTAGTTATTATTGTTTCCCACTATATATCACTGGATTGTTGAAAATACAAAATAACTCATCAACGCTACCAAAGATTTGATAAAAAGGTCTTTTTTTCTTACTGTACATAATGTGGGTGTTAACATCCACTTATTTTGGCAAAATATGTTGCTAACCAGGACTTAGATTTATGCCTTTGTGGCAGCCCATACAAAATGTTACGAAAGAAAGGTCTACATGTTTTTATATGTTTTAGGGCTCTCAAAATGGACCCCACAGTGGCTTCAGCTTGTGATCTCAATGTGCTATCCAGTCAGTGTGTTAATAAAAATCGGTTTCTGTCTCAGTTAACAAAAAGGTATAAGTGACAGCCATTTCCTTGTTGAACTTGGACTCCAATTTTTGTGACCTTGCCAGGATTTTCCCCACACCTGTTATTTATTGCAGATGTACTAAAAAAAAGAAAAGTGCTACTGAAATCACTGTGGTAAAGGCATCGTTGGGTTAGCTTGACCACTAAGACTGGGTGCAGGTACATGTAGGTTCGGTGACGTGTGGTCTAAATGGTGATCGGCAGGAACAGTTGGTGGCTGTAGAAGAGAGAGAAAGAGAGTAGTAAAAAGAAATAACAAAGTACAAAGTTATTCTCAAAGTGTAAAAAGCCTGACTTGCTTTAAAGGGAAGATACAACATTTGCAAACATCAACAAACGAAATGATCAAATTATCACGAAATACCTTTGTTAGGGACTGACAGTCTAAAGCATCCTTGAAAATCGTGGCTCCTGGTGTGCTGACATTTTCAAGAAAAACTATTTTTCCAACGCTGGTCTGCTGACCAGAAAACTGGCTTTTTCAAAAACTATTCCTCATTTTTGTTATATTTAGTTATTCTGACTTTTCTTTGCAATTGATTACACACCTGTGAACGGGTACAAGCGTGCTAGACTGATTCTATGACCTTGCAATTCCCCAATGTGTAATAATTGCTCCGTTTCATCTTACATGTAAGTGGGGTCAGGGAACCAGACTACAAGAACATGGTTGTTTTTCTTGGTTTTTCCAGCATCTACAAGCCCAAAACGTGAATCAAGTCAGTTTAACAATATTTTCTATAACATACTAATCTTCCAAATCCATTTATTTCTGAAAATTGCAGCAAAAGCAAATGTTGTACATTCTCTTTATAGGAAACATGCAATAGGATTTTTATGACTTAAATACATTTCAAACAGCTTTCTTGCCATGTAGTATGTAACTATGGCTTTCCACCTCCTTTGTAGCAGTAAAAGGGAGAAATTTCAACATTTTAGTTTTTATGCTTAATGAAAATGTCTGTATTCATGAGCCAAAGCGTGATGCCATTCAAGGCAGAACAGTAGTTTCTCTTTAGCTTTGTGTACAAATATATATATATCAACATTTTCTACATTTTCTTGGAGTAAGTTCCACTTTTTATTTGTTTATCATATTAAACAGCTTGTTTGGACAATAGCATGGGCTAATATTTCTTCAAAACTTTTTTTGGGAGGTATTTTTGAAGGATTTATTTTTGTACTGTTCATATGCACTTTTGACATGGAGAACCTAGTGTGACTAAAGTAAAATAGCGCCCTCTTACATGCATTGATGAAAGGACTTGCTAATAATTGAAATATCACTTTCTTGTCACTTCCAATGAAAACAAGTATTAAAGATCTTGCATGTATTACTGCTTCACAAAGTAATGTGCATGAAAACAAGATGAGCTGAATTTCCACTGCATGTTTCCCTAAAAGTGTAAAAAGCATGACTTGTTTTTTTGCATGAACTTTTAATTGAAGGTGTGAGTAGTTAAGATTTGAAGCTGCTGGAAGGGTTATTTCATCGAAGTTGCATTCGCGGTGCTAATCAACAAATTAAACTTATTCTTAATAACTTTTTAACTTGCATTTTTTTGGGGGGGGGGGCCTAGCATCTGCAACTCGATGAAAAAGGGTTATTTTGGGCAGCAACGGATCTGCTTTAACCAGTAGACTGGCTCCCGGTCTGTACATCGAACCTTCATATAAACCATTCATTAACTCTTTACGCGATCATCTTTTCAGTTCTAGTCCAATCCTTCAGGCCTATTAAGGCATTCACTAACTGTCTTGGTTAAAGTTGTTACCTTTTTTACATGCGATCCAGGTTGTTTTGATTTTGATTAAATACTGTTATAGATTTTCGTATATTTTTCTCAGTGTATGATTGTAATTCTTGTTGATTTAGTTGTATTTTTTTTTTTTTTTTTTAATTATTTATTTATTTATTTATTTATTTTTTTAGTTATGTAGTTAGTTATGTAGTTAGTTATGTAGTTATTAAGTTATTTATTTATTTACTTTTTTATTTATTTATTTAATTAATTATTTGATTATTTAATTAAAAATTACAAAAAAAATTTATTGTAAAACTGTAATTTTTGTTTATTTGTTAATAACTATTTATTTAAAGAATTAAAAATGCAATATTGACTCATTTATTTAATTAATTAATCAATTAGGCTAACTTACCAACTTGTCTAATTATTTATTTATCTATTAATAGAAGTAGTAGTAGTAGTACATGTAGTAGTGGTAGTAGTTGAAGTACAATGTATATATTAATTTGTTTATTCATTTAATTTACCTAGTACAAATGTAATTGATATTTTTTTTTTTTTTTTTTTGCTTTTGATTTGTTTGTCTAATAATTATATAATTTACCAACTTTGTTCTTGACTTAATGTAACTTTATTTAACTTTTTTTTTTGGTATAGTTAAAACTTCTTTTTATATTTATTGCTTGATGTTTTCACGTATGCCAGTCAGTTTGGAGAACCCCTAGACAGAAACAACGTTTCTTTTGGGCAATCCTTCGGGAGCTGAATGGTATTTTTATTTTTTTTTTGTGTTTATGTATCTAAAGCTTTTGTTGTTTTGTGTTGTAACTTTAGTCATTTGTTTACATGTATTTGTTGATATTTTCCCGAGAAATAAAATAGTATAGTATAGTATAGTACATTATTGATACTGATTGTGAGGTGGGAACCAACATAGCCTGCGCGAACAGAATAATTGTTGTGCCGCAACTTATTCAGAATTTGTAAAGTAGTAATTCAATAACTAAACTTAGGTAGAATGTTTTTGGGGTTGATATCTCATTCAGAAGTGAATAACTTTTGTATTCCCAAAAGAATATCAATTTAGAAAAAAACCTATTTGGGGGATAATACTTAAAAATAGCACAGGAAATGCAATTGTAAGTAATAAAGTGGCTTACCTGTGGTGGTGGTGTGTGGCTACCAATCTTGTATCGACAACAAATAACTGATACAAGGAACTCTAGGAACGAATGAAGAATACCTTAACCAAAAAAAAGGACAACAAAACAGAATAATAACTATTGATTTCTGGTAATGAAACCAAGGATTCCTCAAAAGTGAACAAAATACTGTAAGCTCACAAGCCTGAGGAAAACTTTTGGTGAGGAAAAGTACTAAAAAAATGTTCATTTTTAGAGGCGGAAGGACACTCTGGAATATTCCAGGAAAAACCCACTGAACCAGACAGGGACTGAAAACCCATCCACACGTTGGTGTGGGTGGGATTCGAACCCGGGACACAGAGGTGGAAGGTGTGGAAAACACTGTCGTTATATCAATAATATCGATCTTAAAGAGAAAACTCGTCTTATAAGTCCCAAGATGAGTCGTAAGACAAGACAGGTTTCGTGAAAGCGGCCCATGGTCTTTGTTTCCAGGCATGCAACTGGGAATTCAGGAAAAACGAGAACATTCCAAAAGAATCACACAAGACCTTGTACAGTGGTTTTTCAATTTGTAATGGCATTCATGTGAAGTGGAAAAAAGAGGAAATCAGCGGGTCCGAGGAAATGCTTAGGTTCCTCTATGATGAGTAGGCACATTGTGCTTTATAATCACTGTGCTCAATACCCTCGCAGCAGCCCCGCGGTGATAAAATTCTCCACATTTTCCAAATATGGGCATAATTTTTTTTCAATGGGCCAATTAGGCCAAGCTTCCATGTAATCTTCACCCCTACTATACACCACAAGCCTGTAGACTCCCATTGGCCAGACCCTAGCCACTCCGGAGTAAGGAGTGTTGAAAGACAGAAGCCAAGATGGCACCTAATGCCTTTGTGCAGTAATTGGAGATCTTAGTGGCCAACCCCTAAGTGCCACCGATCCCTTTGTGTCAACCCCTCGCGCTGCCCAGAGCTCAGACAGGTTGTAAACAATCCCTGGCCTCTGGCCTGTGAATGACCTATATCTTGTTCATGTACAGGCATGCCAGGGTTATTGACCTATAAGCACATGTGGTGATAAAATTCTCCACGTGATCCACGAAGGGTTAAATGCGAAGCGTGCCCTAGGTGTGGGCACGGTACAAATCAACTACCGAAACAAACAGCATAAAAAGAATGTCCACTAACCTGATGTTGCAAAGATTCCACCCACGATCCCACAGAGCCTGATTAGGAATTGTGAGTACGGCTCGTGGGTTTCCGTCACGCTGATTTCTAAAGACGATAAGTCGTACTTGAAGAAAATCCCAGAGACACCATGGCTGCCCTCACCATGGTTGATGGTTCTTTCCTATCGGGAAAAAAAATAAATAAGAATCATACACTCTAGGGTTGTGCAAAATTATCAAATATTTCAAAATATTTCATCAACCACAACATTTTTCCGATTTTGAATATACGAAAAATATGAGTGGTCTCGACAAGTTGAAGAAAAACGTCTGAATTTATTCTGATGCGATAAGTTGGCATTTCTAAATATAAATTTATAGTTAGCTACCTTGAGAGAATATATCCATGCATACATGATGTTCTTACAATTCTATTACAATGTAAGTTCTCTGTCGATTAGCACACGCAAACCCCGATCAGCTGCCCGATTAATTCTCAATTAGCAAATGCAGATTTCAACCAGGGTGTGAGTGTTCAGTTCCTGACTGGCCGATTGCAGTTCCCAACCCACATATGCAATTGACGCTGGCGCATGGAAACCCCATCAGAGGCATTTGAATATCTGCATATTTGTTTAAATCCAAGTCGACTAATCAAATACCACATTATCTGAAAATGCCCAGCCCTAACATATTCAAAGGTCAGTGCAAAATGGAAACTTGATGCAAAGCCAATTTGATGTCACAAAACGCTTGCTACGAAATTCGCTGGAATTCAAATGTCTTCGACTCCTTTGAAAATTTGCAAATTGAAAACTTGCCTCGAGGTCACAGATTTGTGTTTGTGTTTCCTTTTTATGGTCGGTACAAACTGGATTTAAAGAACCTTCCTTTTCTTGTTTGAAATATTTTTGTCTGTTTTCTTTCTTTTTTTGCCTCTTTTTTTGGAGGGGCACATTGATCCTTATGGGTGGAATGTAGCCAAGTGGTTAGGGTTTGTGACACATGATCAGAGGGTCAGGGGTTTAAATCCAGCTGCTGGTCATATATTGTGTCCTTGGGCAAGCCACTTCACCCCCACTTGCCTCTCTCCACCAAGGAGTATAAATGGGTCCCGGCATTAGCTGGGGAGTAACCAGCGATGGACTAGCATCCCATCCAGGGGAGAATAGAAATATTCTCAGTCGTTTCATGCCACTGAAACCAGAGATAAATGTCGGCCTGTTTGGCAACATTGGCTCGTGACAGATTTTACTCTTTTTTTTTTACATTGATCTTTATGATTCTTTTAATCACTACATTTTTCCAAAATTTCTTCATTTCATACTATCTTTAAAAATATTTTTAATTTTGGGTGATTGCCTAAGGCCTTTGGCTTATATTTTTGTTCACCAATGCTGACGTGCAGTCTATTTAGTGATAGTTTCCTTATGCGAATATAATACTTTAGCAATAGCACAGATCAAATCATCACATGATCATTATGCAGCACAATGGACAGGAAATAAGCGTGTAGTACTGAACAGAGGAATAACAGGATATCAGTATAAAGGCATGACCCTTCCACTGAACTCTCCTACATGTACATGTCCTATATCACAAACTATAAAAAAACAAGTGCCATTGCACAATAAGCCCTGGCCGTCTCGCATGAAATGATACAATTACTCACGTGGTGGTGATTGTCAATTGAAATAAGAATTTCCCAATTTGTTGCAAGTCACCATGCTAAATAATAGTGACCTTAATATTGCAACAGGTCACCCTATAGGCCATGGAGACTCATAACCTAACACAGAGCCAGAGGCATGGGTGATGTATAGTCACAGGTGTGTAGAAGCCCCTAAGTTCCTGGCGCATTACATATACCATGTGACTTTTTACATTTACCACATTTTTCTTGCCTCCAGTCCATGTACACAATTTTCATAAACAACTCCACGAATTGTTACACACAATTGTCAAGTTTTTTATGGTATTTTGTTTGCATTTATTTTGGACAGTTACAATTTGGTACTAACAGTTTTATGGGTGAGTTAGGGGGTTCGTTTTGGGTCAATTTTTTTAAGGGGGGGGGGGACCGACCGATCGACTGACCGACTGACACAAAAGTGACTTGTAGAAGCTGTGTTGCAAGAGCTTAAAAACCTGACCCACACCTCTCTCGGCAGCTTTTGTACAGGCTGGTCACCAACTACCACAAATCCCTCAGGATTACAGCGTGTAACTGCCAAAGCCCGTTTAAGTGGCTTGATACATGTAGATTGGTTGACCATTAACACTAGTACAGGTTGTATAGCAGCCATTTTAACCTGTCAATTGCACCAATATGATGCCAGTTAACAGACCTTCAATATATTTTGTTTGTATTTCTTTTGGACAGTTACAATTTGGTACTTACAGATTTATGGGTGAGTTAGGGGGTTCGTTTTGGGTCAACCGACCAACCAACTGACACAAAAGAGACTTGTAGTTAAGCTCTGTTGCCTGGTTGCCAGAGCTTAAAAACCTGACCCACACCTCTCGGTAGCTTTTGTTCAGGCTGGTCACTTGCAACTACTACAACTCCCTCAGGATTACAAAGCCGGTTTAGAGGTTTGATATATGTAGATTGGTTGACCATTACTATTGGTACAGGTTGTGTGGCAGCCATTTTAACCTGTCCATTGTACCAATATAACGCCAGCTGACAGACCTGTTCAAAATTGTACCCTGATAGATTTTGATCCATAGGGTTACTAGTGACGGATTGTAACTGAGAAAGGGAGCCTCAGGGAGGGTAAAGACTTGTTGTTTGGAAACAATTTGAATGGAATTAACAGTACTCCAACAGATAGAATTAGAGATTAGAAAAAAAAAATTGCAGTCAAAGTAATACATTGATACTTGTTTGATTTAACTTTTTTTTTTTTTAATGTTGCATTTACATGTACAATACATTTTTAAGATCAAGGACAAAGCATATATTACTTCATCATCATGGTCATTCTCAAAAAAATATCGAGTGTCAAAACAAAGCGACACTCTGTGCAATATGCCTAGTAAAAAAATATATGTCTCACTTCCTGTATTGTTTCCTTGTGAATGTATAAAGGTCACGTCATGTTTACAAAGCACTTTTGTCTCGTGAAAGCAGCTACACATTTTGTGTAGCTCTAGTTTTTATTCATGTAAATCACGTACAGTATTCAAGTCACTGAAAGCAAAACCAAAACTACTGGCAAAGGTAAGAATTTGATTTTCCTCGTAAATTTCCTCACGTGCTACATGTATGCAAACAATTTTTGTGCTCATTCAAGGAGGAACAATACAATAAATCTGGAGCAGGTTATTAAACAAAAATTATCCTGTTGAAAGTTCAGCTCAGTAGCTTTTTGAGAGAAGTGTGAAAATTCATCTTCATTTTTTTCGATGCAAAGCAAAGTTTCTGTTGAAAGCGTGATGGCTTGGTCCTAACCATCGTGAGGAAATGATGCTAATCCTCTTTTATTGAATATGACAGCATAAACTTACAGACGCAACAATTTCACAGTGTGCATGATCCAATTATGTACTTAAAATCAAGTAGGATATTTCATGATATTTCATGATATTTTGGCAGTTTCATTTTTGAATGTTTGCAGATCGTGTCCATTACCTTTAAAAATTGAATACCTCACACAGTTCACTTATTCCTATTGATTGTTTTAAACTGCCAGGAAAACACCGCTGTGTTCTGCGCCATATCCACAGTATGTGCCGCGTGTGCCCATTTCCATACATGTATTGATCAATCAATCAATCAATCAATCAACATTTATTTCCATAATGCCAAAAAGAAAACAAGACAATGTAACAAAATAAATTAATAAGTAATATAATTAAAGTAATATTATTCAAAATATACATGGAAATATCTAAGCAAGATAAGGATATTTAGCTCTACACGCGTGAGGTACATAGCATAGACATGATATGGCCGGACAAAGGGGTGTTTCACAAAACATGAAGTAAAATTGTCTAACAAAATCATTGGAAATTTGTGATTGTTTGACTTGTTTTGACTTTCTGACCGAATGGTATTTATGAATAGGATTCTGCTCGGGCCACTATCCGCGTCCAGGCCTCCAGCCGGGTCTAAACATACTTGTTTAAAACCAGCCAAACACAAACTTATTCCCTTTATTGTAATGCCCCTTGATCAGTGCCAAAGTATGTTTGAGAAACCCATGGCTTTTTACATGACAAATGATTAAGTTATCATAAAAAAGAGACTCTTACAAAGCTCCTGAACAGCCTAAAACTATCATCAAAACTTTCAAATTTACATTATTGTATTTCTTTTGCAGAAACAGATGCAAGCAAACTTCAGACTTTTGATACATGAATTTTATTCGTGTTGCAGTCATGTTTTGGACCATTAATTCATGTATAATTACCATCCATTTATTATGTTGTTTACAGAGAGTCTGAAGAGCCTTCTGAGTGCAAATGGAAACTCCAGATTGATTGCGCTGGGTTTCGAGTAATTTCCGTCGCCCTCTTCTTTCAATATCGGTGAGTGTCACATTTCACATCGGTATGTGCTGTTTGCAATCTCTGGAATTCACATTTCATGAGCAACGAGCATGATGCAATGCATGCAATCTGAATCCCTCCTTTTCGGTCTTCTGAGGACTTTTTTCCCAGAAGGTACTTGCATTAATGGTGTAAGATGTTTATCATGTTTATTGGAAAGCTTCCAAGGGCACTGGGGTCGAAGGGTCATGGGGATCAGAGCCTCTGTACTCCCCGTGGAATTCCAGCAAGGCCTGGGGTAAGATTGTGAGGAAAATGAAAATTCCATGGAATTATCGGCACAGTGGTTTGGCCCACCAGAGGCCCAGAGCATCGTACAACAGGACCATGGTACATTTGTATGTTGGTCGTGTCAGTATGTGTTTTATGTAAAGCTACCCCTTTTAATACCCATTTTTAATCACCCACTTATACTAAGGCCATAAAAATTATAGTTCTGCTTCGGGTTTCCCTACCACCCTATTCTCACAGCCCCAACCCTATTTTGTTTTATTGGAAAAATGAGTAAAAACCAACCAAAACCATCACTTTATATATTTTACCCTTGACTACAAGCAGACGCCTCCATATGATTGTACAAAAAAAAAAATTGGAACCAAAAAAAAAAAAATTTCCTTACCTATCTACCCTATTTTTGAATGCCATGTAATCGGAAGCAGAACAATTTTCTTGTGGCCTAAACTATTAACTAACCCTCTCTGGCTGACGAATTCAGCTATTCGATCATAGCATTCAAAATCAATCAAGTGATTGTCTTTTAACAATTAACAATTCCCTTGTTAATGTGATATAGCCATGGTTTGACTGCAGGTGATTGATAAGCCATCTGTACCTACCAGTCAACTCTTTTGTCTGTTGATTGAATTTGACTAGTCAGTGTTTACAAGAATGTGATCCGACTGGTTTTTCCTAGTCTGTATATAAATGCATGGCAGGGGATGTGGAAGAAATTTTTGACTGTCTGCGACTGTTCGAACTATCAGAGGGTTAAGAAAAAATTGACGATATATAATTGTATTTACCCTCTCTGTGACAGCAAATTGATGAGTGCTCATGCGCGCTTTCCTTGTATAGAGCTTGGTGGGAACTATCTGGAGGAAATACTGGTAGATCCTCCTGTCTGTCAAATCAAATCAAAATCAATTCAATTCAAATAAATTCAAGACAATTTCAAGCATGTTCAAATTTCATTGCTAAAATGTGTGTTCTAATATAAACAAGATATTTTCACAGTTAATAAAATGTTTACACTATAAGCAGACATATTTTTAATCCTTTATGTCATTGACATGACACAATATGAAAGTGAAAGATTTCTATGCACTGATCGTGAGAAAAAAAAGAAATGTCAATTATAAACTGGCATTTAAAGGGAATAACATTTGCAGACATCAAAAAACTAAACTGCCAAATGATTATGAAATACACACAAAATGTACCTTACTGGACTGTTAGTAAATGACAGTCTAAAGCATCCTGTAAAATCATGGCACCTGGTGTGCTGTCATTTTCAAGAAACGTGGTATGTTTGTATCAATTCAAACGCTTGTCGGCCGATCAACGTTGGAAAAACTGGCTTTTTTTCAAATACTGCCACCAATTTACCGCATTTTGTTTGCAATCGGTTACACAACCCTGAACGGGTACAAGCCAACTCGACTGGTTCCCTGACCTTACAATTCCCCGAACGTCTACTAATTGATCCGTTTCATCATATGTGGGGTCAGGAACCAGACTGCAAGAACATGATTGTTTGTCTGGGTTTGTCCAGCATCTACATATGTACAAACTCAAAATTTCAAACAAGTCAGTGTAACAATATTTGCTATAAAATACTAACCCCCCCCAAATCCATCCATTTCTGAAAATAACAGCAATAGTAAATGTTGTATATAAATTGCCTTTAAACAGGACGTAATTTGCATATGGGGGTTTATGGCTCGACTCCCCCCCCCCCCCCCCCATCCCCCTCCCCCTTGAATAAAGACAAAATGCGGAACTCCCTATATTGGGCTGGATAGCTCAGTTGGTAGAGCACTAGAACGGTAACCTGGAGGTTGCAGGTTCAAAAATCTGATCCTCCAGTCAATTTCTTTGTTCCAGTTGTAAAAATTACAAAATAATTAGTTTACAATTACAGAGAGAGACTTACTATCTTTTGTAACTTTTTCTTCGCCGTCAAGTTGGTTTATGATTCCCGGGGCCGGCTCCCCGAATGATAAATGATCGATGCGATGACTGAAATTGTATTCTGTGACATAAATAAATAAATAGATCAAGAAATAATAAATTAGTGTCCAATTGGGGGCAGGTTTTACATGTCAATGGGTGGGAGGGGGGGGGGAGGATTACAGCTAATGATGTATGACTTTCCCCAAATAAAAACATTGTTTTAGTTGAAAATATTGATACAACAGCCACTATGGTTGTACCCCACTCTAGTTTTTGTTGACATCATCCTACATTTTGTTGGGATTTTTATTTCAATTTCTGTGTAATTTGATCAGCAGTGTTGTACAATGTACAAGCACACCGTACAGCGAAGCCTGTGGACAAGGAATTCATTTTGGTTGTGTTCCCTCAATGTATTTTATAAATCGTGAACTGTTGAATGGGATGGTGCCAGACTATTACACATTCTAGCCTCTCTTTCCTTTTTTTTTTTAAATGTGGCTTAAAACATTAGGGTATGTTTAATCACAAATTTTAAACTATTCATCAAAATCTTAAACTATTCATCAGAGCAGACTGGTTGTACACTATGTGGAATTGACTTTATGTCATTGCTTTTATTTCTCTTCGCTTTTTCCAAAAATGACGATTTTTCCTCGCTTTCAATATAATATGGCCGACTCGTGAATAAAGCCCATTAACAGCAAATACACAATGCTCAGTGTGACAGTTGTTTCACAAAACCCATTAGCACCTGGACTTCATTGTATTACATTGTATCTATTCACTGAAAAAATCAATACAACCATGCACTACAGTGACTAAAGGGTTAAAAATAATCCATCACTATCCCAACCTATTCTGTCTGGCTATACAGCCAAAAAAAAGTAACAAATGTCAATATGATAGAGACTATATTTTGTTGTTCTTTGCCTCAATAAATTTGGCAAGACCATCCCTTAAACAGGATCCAGTCTTTGTACTGCATTTTTTGCCAAGGATCAAATTTTTTTGGAATTTCCCTGTAACTGTTATTCTATCTTTCACTTTCGCAATAAATGATCCATCTGTTACTCTACTTCCCGTTTCCTGGTTTATACATTTATCAGTTCACATAAACATTTAGTGTGTTAAAGTTTATCTTTTGGATCACAAAAGTCAAACCGAAAATGAAAACAAGAAGTTGAGCTGGCAAAACCACATGGCGTTACAAGAGAGAATTACTGCTGTTTATAAATTTACATTATCTTTACAATTTATGCTCTAATATAAGTTCTATTTCGTCTGGAATAATTTATGGGGAAATGAAGAAAATATTAAATGAAGAAACGAACAAAGCACTACTGTATGGCATGTTGTACACATATTTCTCACCAAAAAAACCTTTATATACGCAAGAAATTCAACAAAACACCATCACAGTGAACAAATGCACAATGCAAAATTCTTTTTGTATTATGTTTGTTAGGTAATATGAATAGGCACAAAATTTTGAAAAATGTGTGACGTCATCATGACGTCATCAAAACTGCGATTTTTGACAACACTTAAGGGAAGGTCCCTTATGGTGGATAGCTAGATAATGGTACTAGTATGCAAACTCCGAAAAGATGTCACCATGACGTCATGAGTTGATTTTTTATGAATTTTTTTTTCATTTTACAATTTCATTGTGCTTCCAAAATTTACTTCTTTTCATTGGATTTACTTCAACCTTAGTACAAACCAAGACCACAATGCAAAAATGTGCATTGACAAGAGTTATCAAGATGATGTCATCGTAAGGGCATGTGATGTCATCTTATGCCAAATCCGAAGTGACGTCAACATGAGGCCATCAACTAATTTCTTTATATTTTTTATCTAGTGGCTATACTAGCTCAATATAACTTTTTTTATGAACTTTGAACCAAAAAATATAATTTACATGACTGGACATTGGCCAAAAAACATAAAGTCATACAAAAAAAAACAAGCGGTTCAAAGCCCTGTGTTCTGTTTTCAAACAGACATAGACCTCTAGTTTATTTTATATTTTATTCTACTTATAAAATTTGACATGTTCCGCATTCAGGTGCACCTGAAAGTCAGCACACAGAGACAACCTTGACGTCATGATGACGTCATAATGACATCATCATGTTTCATGTGACGTCACATGAAACTATACATGTAGGTCTTATTTGACTGTGTTTTTGTATGTTCCTAGACCAGATTTAAAATTAAGTGGCACCTTTTGATTCTTCGATAAAGAATTGTGTACTGTCCATTATGGACAATGAATTTTGTTGGGGGGGGGGGGGGGGGGGAAACAGCGCTGTGGTTGTTCGTTTAAAGCTACTGGCACAGTCCATCATTTGCAGCTATCCAAAAAGTAACTGATACAATTATTGTTGAAAAACATACTTGGTTGAAAGATAGTAAGGGAACTAAACTCCCTGTGAAATTATTCTTTCTAGCAAGTTGTCATTTTGAAAAAAACAACGAAACAAAGCCTTTCCAACGGTGCGTCTCGTTAGAAATTTCCTTTAGTAGTTCGTTTTTTTATTCGGCAAAGTGTGCGCAAGCATTGTCACCACGCACAAGCGCGCGCGGTTGCTATAATTCGTCGGATCGGTGTGCGACATCACGTACGGTAGCTGCAATCGGCTCAGTGAGAACGTGTATTGGACGCTGAATTTAGGCCCAATTCAAAACATGATTCAGCAACTTTTGATTTGAATCGAGATCCTAGAATACTGTTTTTCTCGGAATATACAGCTGAAGCTGAGCTGAAACTTTATCAGGTTAGTTGTTCAGCACCCTTCTTTAGATTTTGAGCACTTTTGTTGCTTCAAACAGACAATATGCAGAAATTACAAATGATGGACTATACATGTTCCTTCAACCCCTTAAGGACGGGTTATAATGGGGACATTCCTCCACACATAGAGCAAGTGGCCCGCATGACTGCACAGCCTTTGTGTGGTAGCGGGACTGCACAAAAGCAGCAGCTGTGGAACTACCCACTAGCCATGTGCCAGGGCATACCACAGCTGGCAACTGCGTTCCAATGAGGATTAGCGGCCTGGTTAAAAACCACAATATCTATTTTTTGGTAGGTCTTTATGTTTGTCTGTATACCCACTGTGTTTACTTTGGCCGGGATACCTTTAACAGTACAAAAGGAACCTGTTTTATTGTTAACTTAACCAAGAAAACACAAAAACCGCGCATCTTTTTTCAAAGTGTTCTTCATTTAAAATGTTTGGCCAATATGGCAATACAAAGTTTTGAGGTACTCATTTTGGCCTATAAAACTCCAGATAGATTGGGTTAAAGTACAAAACAGATAAAAAAGAGGCCTAAATTAAAAAAGAAAAAATTGAGGTAATACTTACGAGAGGGTTCGACCATGAGTGCTAGATGGGCATGCCCCTTAGGATGAGGAATACTTTTACCAACGGTCACGTGAAAATTACCAGCAACCTAAGGGGTAAACAATAACAAGAATTGATGACAATAACAAGTGCAATGACACCTGCAACTTCAAATCCGGGGACTGCAACGCAGAATACATCGAGAAAATGGGTAGGTGGTTAGTAACCAGATTGAAAGATCACCACAAAGAAATTGTAGAGTCGGACCGGCAGTCAGCGATATTCGACCATATGCGGGCCACAGGACACACCATTCACTGGACCGGCACATACATCATTGACCAGGAGGCACACTTCCTATCATGAATGATACGGGAGGCAATCTACATCTGCCGCCATAAGCCATCAATGAACGGTGACCAAGGTTACCAGCTAGCACCGATCTAAAAGGCATACCACTCCCCACGCAGGCTTAGATCATCAGACTCCTCCCTTCTTCAAGTTCCTCGATCCCGACACTCTTGGGGTGACCACAGCTTCTCTCACGCATGCCCCACTCTCTGGAACAGTCTACCCCTCTCCATCCGTCAAGCTCCCTCTTCGATCTCCTTCAAACAAGAACTCAAAACCTACCTGTTCACACTCTTATCTACTCTTCGGCTTGTACATGTACATGTACCTTGCAATTCATACAGGTATGTGTTAGGACTTAGCATTTATATATTTAAAAAATGCCACGAGCGTCAATGAGTGATGGACCTGTTGCTCTTAATAAGATGCCACTATTATTATAATTATTATTATTAATCTTATGGCCTCGTAATCAAACAGGGGCTGGACAGTAGCATCACGTACATTTAGAAAGCACCGGTTGGTTGTCAAAAGCTCCGACAGAACTTTCACATAAGTGCTGGTTCTCAACGGTGACATGGAGTGACATTCCAACGAAATTGACAATGAGGCCTGACGCTCATGCAGAGACGCTTTGTGCACTCAGAATAAAATAAGTTGTGCATATTTCAGACAATACGCGCGCAGACATGTACGCACATATGCAGTGACCCCCACTGGAGTCCTCAAAAAGTGATCAAAAAGAAGTTGATAGAGTCGAGCTTGGATTTGTTGTACACCCACCTTATTAACGACAAGGCTTCCGTGTAGCCTGCATGCATCCGGTGGTCCCTTGCCTTTCTTGTTGGAAGGGATTTGGGTGGGGGAACTCTCAAACCCTGACTGGAATAAAAGATCCTGCAACGCGTGCTCCTCACTCAAAGCTTCTTTAATCATTTGAAATGTTCTGAATTAAAAGAAAAACACAAAACATTTCATGAAGATAAACAAATTCTCGGTGTAAGAAATAAAGTGCCATGGTGCAATGGTCATGGTATTCAGCTCATGAATGTGCTGTGGTATGTACGTTTTGACTATGACCAGGATCCCTGTGCTTGTGTTCTTGGGCCAGACACTCTACTTCAATTGCCTCATTTACCAGGGCCTGATTCAAGGAGAAGCTAAGCAGCTAAATATTGCTCAGGAAATTGGGGCGAAAGGCAAGAAATCAGCAATATACATAGTGTGACATTTTGGCCGTCATCCTCTTTTTGCTGAGTATTTTTTTTTGTACTTACCGGTAGCAAGTTTCTGTGCTTAATTAACAGGTCCATGAAATTAGTCTTAAAATAATAAATTGTAATGCTTATGTAGCGCTTTCCATCATATTGACAATGTCAAAGCGCTTTACAATTATTCGCTCGTTCATCAGGCCACGAGACTGCACGGCAGCCGACACCAGCGCACATTTGGTCCTTCACCCTCCCACGTACCCATTCACACCCCTGGGTAGAGAGAGGAAATTGTAGTGTCTTGCCCAAGGGCACAGACACCATGTTTCTGGCAGGGTTCGAACCCACGCATCATTGTACATAAGTCAAACACCGTAGCCACAGGACCGGGGCATTCTTAGTGAATTATTTGCTTCAAGTTTTCCACCACCATCATTCTTCAAAAGGGACAAACATTTTCACACTGTATTTTCAAAATTTTCAAAAAAGTATGTTGGATCATTTGTTTTTTATGCCCCCCCCCCCCCCATTTGAAGCAACAAATTTGCTCAAAATCTTAGGTAGGGTGGATAACAACCAACGTGCTAACTCCAACTCTCCAGGGTATTTGGCTACAAACCCTGCCAGACGCAGCAACATGCAGCACTGATTAAAATGACAAGCCTGCCCTTCGCAGCAAAGATCCATCAGGTCAAATGTCTCGGAGTCTGTGTTACCGAATGCAGCAGGATACAACTGTGGCATTGTTCAATAGGATTAGCTGTCATTGTTTCAGAACTGGCCTTTTATGCACTGGTCTTGATAGCTGATTGCATCAACGTACACCAGACTTTTCCACCTGATGCACTGTGTTGCGTCTGGCAGGGTTAGGGTTTTAGTTACAGCTCAGTGGTTACTATAAATTTTTAGAAAACAGAAAATGTATGCACATTTTTTTTTATCTTACAACTTGATTCAGTTGGTAATGCCCGTGTGCACCTTATTTTGAAACCACCTTCAATGTTAGTTTTCTTTCAAGTGTTTAAATTTCAGACGGAATAATTTGACAGTCCTACATGAACCTTCACTTTGAGCTAGGTTTGAGGTATTTTTCTGGGTTATTGCTAATGATTGTAAGTGGCTTTCAACTCACTCTTGTCGGCGGCGTTGTTCTGGGGTCTTCTCAAAGTAAACCAATTCTTCTTGCAAATTGCCTCGGGCTGGGGTGGTCGTCTCTCCTGATATGTCCACCACATCAGCCCCGATCCCTGTAAAGGCAACCAATGTGAAAATATTCAGATTTCCATATACATTTTTACAAACAAGACATGGTACATCCTTTGCCTTTTTATGCGAGTGTAAAAAGATCATCTTATCAGGGGAGTCAGGTTGGCGCAGTGGTTCTTTCCTTGCCTTCCACCGCTGTGGCCCGGGTTCGATTCCTGTCCTGGTCCACATGTGGATTGGGTTTTCAGTCCCAACCTGATTCTATGGTTTTCCCCCAGAATATTCTTCTCGGGTTTTCCTCCCGCCTCTAAAACTGTATATAGGTTTCTGCAGGCTTGCGAGCTACAGTGCCAAGGGCACTTTTGAGGAATCCTTTGTTTCATTACCAGATATGTTTAATTCATTCCTTGCACAAGTTTTGGTCCATCAATCAAGAGGTTTCAAGAAACATGTTTTGAAACCATTAACCATAACCCTCCAAAAATCCTCCTGGCGGTTTTGGAGGAGTCTAGAGGACTGAGGATGAATGGTGATTGAATCAAATGAGGATTCTGGAGGATTGAGGATGAATGGTGATTGAAACACATGAGGATTTTGGAGGATGGAGGATGAATGGTGATTGAAGCACAAGAGGATTTTAGAGGATTGAAGATAAATGGTGATTGAAGCACAAGAGGATTTTGGAGGATTGAGGATGAATGGTGATTGAAGCACATGAGGATTCTGGAGGATTGAGGATGAATGGTGATTGAAGCACATGAGGATTTTGGAGGATGGAGGATGAATGGTGATTGAAGCACAAGAGGATTCTGGAGGATTGAGGATGAATGGTGATTGAATCAAATGAGGATTCTGGAGGATTGAGGATGAATGGTGATTGAATCAAATGAGGATTCTGGAGGATTGAGGATGAATGGTGATTGAAACACATGAGGATTTTGGAGGATTGGAGATGAATGGTGATTGAAACACATGAGGATTTTGGAGGATTGAGGATGAATGCACTTTGAGGCAGGACTGTCTGATGATTTTGAAGGATTGAGGCACTGTTGCAAAATTTTGGAGGATTGAGGATGGTAGCCAGCACATAGGGCCAAGTGCGTTAGGGTCAGATTGAGAAGTTGGGGCTACAAACTTGGCGAGTGAAATGTGCTGATAAATTTATGTAAGTCAGAAGATTTAGCAGATCCTGATTTGAGATTGTACTTACATCCACACTTCATTGCCACAGTGATGTCTACATTGATGCTCAGTTTGCTGTGTATATCCGTGTCTACGTTGTACTCGTACTTCATGCGGGTGTCCGAATAGTAAAGAATCTCGGAAATGATCAGCACAGCGATCAGCAAGAACGTCAGTAGAGCCACTAGGGCAAGATAAAAAAAACCCCACAAATTGATGGTTTTCTTACTAAAATGTGTACTTTCACAAAAAGGCAGGAAATATTGATATTGCAAACGAATGTAATGGATTAGACTTTTTATCGTATTCACAGACAAATTTTCAATTTTTTTTTTTGCAAGCTCAGTGGTGGAGTGGTATTACTTCTGCGCTAGTAAGTGGGAGGTACTGGGTTCGAGTCCCACCTGAGTGATTCTTTCTCACAGACAACCGGGACAACACTGAGTATACAGTGTTTACAAAAATATGTCGGTGAAGGGCAAAACCCAATATTGAATAGTCGTGTTTGGTTTCATTTCTTTACTTTTTTACCTTCAAGCACCATAGTTATAAAAATTGTAATGCAACAAAGTTTTCCCAGCTACTGAATAGTAAGAGAAGGGAAGAATTTGATCAGTTCAACAGCAGGCGTAGAAGGAGTAAGACAAACGTTTTTTTCCCCTCTTTACTCCTCTGCTCCATTTACATGAAATAAAAATCTTTGAGGTTGACGAAATGCTCAAATTGAAATGATGAACTCACATGTTCCGCCGGTTGAGCTGGTTTCTTGGTAGCTTTCAGGAACCTTGGGGAAGGCGTCCAGCTCCTTAACAACCTTCAGGGTCTGCTTTCGATTCAATCGTCTCATCGTAGGTGGGTGCGTGCAGAATGGTTGTGGGGTTAACTTTCACGATGGGATCAATATGATCAGTTGATCTGCAAAAGATAAAGTCGCAGGATACGTTATTAACAATGTAGGCCCTATTGCTAGTCAATTAACCCTAACTCCCTAAGGGGTGTGCAAAATTATATTGCAATTGGAGGATTCAGGACTGTTAATGCTATCACAATTGTAAAAATTGTCATTGCTATCAAAATAAATCATTAAAAAATCTCTACTTTTGTTGAATGCCTACATGTAGGTCATCAAGTGCACACTACTAATTTTGAAAATAATAACTAGTTCAGTATGTTCAAGTACAATGTAGTTGAATTAACATGATTGAAATTTGATTTTAATAATATTTAGGGCCTACTGACTCTCAATATTCATATATCTCTGAACTTTTGAAATTTTTAACGTTTGTGTTGATGTGGGCTGCCTTTTTCTCCCTCAAATGTTCAGTCTTACCGGCCACGGTAATCATGTTTATGGGGCTACACAAGACAAGGTATTAAAATATTGCAAAAAAAAGGTATCATTATTATAGGTTGAACTTGAAAAGGTCATTTTTGATAAAAACACACCCCTGGCTCGAATTTGATCGAAACTAAACAGGGGCCCTAGGGCCTATGCCTACTTACACGATCGTCAACTCAAATGTTTGTGTCCGGAAACTGAACTAGGCCTACTCTGTACTAAAATCTTACAAGTTTTAACCATTTTTTTCGCATTTTCGAAAGATATATCCAATCTAAAATTACCATAGACAACAAATTACTGATACGATACATAATTCAAATTCTTACCATGGAAAAAATCCTCTAAATCATCGTTATTTTTCAACGACCAATGTGAGCACACCGTATACGTACGTGTGGACCCTGGACGCCCTGCAGCTGCCCTGTGCGGCGCGGCGCGCGCGGCTTCGGCAGCACCGCATTAGTGAGCGGGGCCAGTCTATTCCGCAATTGTATCGTAGAGGGCGTCACTAAAAGGAAGGGTTTCGTTGTGTTGTTTATGTCATGTACATACAGCTGTAGTCGGGGTTTTTTTTTGGGGGGGCATAATTATTTTTGAAGCATATTTTGCTCAAAATTAATTAAATAAGTTAAATCGAAATTCGTTCTGGATTTCAAGATGTCTTGTGAGACGTGAGCGGCCAGGGGAATTCGGATATCCCTAATTATTTGGCATGTCCCATGCGCATCCCATGAGATTCCCATGGGGTCATTCCTGTGGGATCCCACGGGGAACCCATGCCATGGGGGTAATTCAAGAACACCATGTGTAAGTTAAAATGATCACCATGGGAGCTTTACGCTCATCATGGCATGGGAATTGTATGGATATGGAACATGAACACCATCACGGGAGATTTTATGGGCACCATGCATGGGAACACCATGGGAATTTATAGACACCATTATGGGAACACTATGGGGATTTAACGGGACACCATATGGGAACATCATGGGAATTCTATATAGACACCATGGGAAGTGACCATAACGATTTTATGGACGCCATGAGAACACCATGGGGATATTATTACAATCCCCATTGGTGTCCCGTGATCATGGGGCCCCTCATAGAAAATCTCTGGCAAAATCCTATGTTTTTCCTATTGAAAATACATTTTTAAGCTATTTTCTCCTAGAAAATAGGAACAAAATATATTTTATTTCTATAACATCAAAATGAGTACATGTTGCCACTCTATTTTATTTCTATTTTCAAAACTGCACCTATTTTATGACTATTTTTGGAGACTTAGACATTTTTGTGTGGTCCACAGTCTATTTTTTGTCTATTTTCTGGACACTTACACATGAAAACCATGGACTATTTATTTGCTATTTTGTAGACATATGCTCAGTACAACACAATCTGAAGGCCAAGCACTTAATTTGCATACCAGATAAACATCCTGTGCAAGGGCGGATCCAGGGGGGGGGGGGGGCAAAGGGGACCATGCCCCCCCCCCCCAAAAAAAAACGAAACCAATTTTTTTTTTGTGACATCGCAATAAAGGCAGGCAATGAGTACACCACCATCTTTTCCTAAAAAAAAATTGGTTAAAGTGGTCAGAAATTGCCTCAGATCGCACCACAGTGCATCTAGAATCCAAAAATTTTTCGGGGCCCTTAAGCGGGCCCCGAACCCCACGCCGTAATTTTTTAGACGGTATTATAAAACAGTTGTTTGGACAGACGCCATTTTGTATTTATAAAAAATAGCATTTTTTTAAATAGAATGCTATTTTAAAAAAATAGCAACCTATTTTACCTCTATTTTTTAAAAAGATATTTTTTCACTATTCTATTTTTTCGCTATTTTTGAGAGGTGGCGAAATACAATGGAAAAAAAATAGATTTTTAAAACATGTATTTTCAATAGGAAATAAATATATTTTTTCTCTATTTTATTTCGACATGGGGCACTGCCTATTCGGTAAACAGAAATCCCACGGAGAAGCTATAGTAGTAGTATCTTTTGAGAAATTTTCGGATAGGAAGTTCATGGGAAAAGCCGCACATGAAAAAGCCCATGTGAAAAAGCCCGTGGAAAAAAAAATCCCGTGGGACCCCATGGGAATTACATGGCGAATTGGCCATCATGCAGCATGGGATTCTTCCCTGGGCTTTTTTTACATGGGAGATTTTCGTAAGGAATCCGATACAGTGAGGTCGCACAATGTTTGGGGGTTGTGTGCGTGAATAATGTACATCAGAGTTCAATGTTGAACCATATAGTTCAGAGCAGTATAATTTTGATACGGTTGACTTGCTCTGAAAGCTGCAGGTAACACAAGCAGCTGTGTGTTGTGGAATATCATGCCTCTAGCTGCCAGCAATTATTGTGAACTCTTGTTCAACCATAATGGAGCATATAGCTCCATGGTTCAACCGTACATCGTTGACGTGTATGTTTGCGCATAGCTCCATGGTTCAACAGAAAAGTCCGACGAGAGTACATGCATATAAAAGCGCTGTGCAGAAACTAATTCCCGGCCATCATCACACATAATTACACACGATCGTTCTCTTATTCGACAATCTATATTTCTCATAAATAATCTCAATACCATACTGAAAGCAGATGTTAAGCTGACAAATTACTCATCTTTTGCAGATAATTGTGGAGTTTCCATGAACGTCTTTATTAACAAACGAAATACATCTACATTATGTCTGCAGCTAACTTACTCAATGCGCGTGTTTGCAAATTTACTAAAAACGTGCATATTTGTTTCATTTTCCAGGTACATTGTATATTGTTTTAATGAAGTTCATGCTATATATACATGTGCACTAGCTGGATCTAGCTATTTTCCCCTTTTCAAAAAATAATGAACAAGTTCATTGATACCATGGAGGATCAGAGAGATGCTTTTGTTCCCATTATCATCTCAACGACAAGGATCAAACTGATGTCCGTATTGATCATGCAGTACACGTGCATCCATATAATTATGGGTGCACCGTGAGTGTACGGTTGAGCAGTGGAATCTTCCACAATTATTTAAAGAGTGTTTTGTATTTAAAACCATTGCAGTAACCTTTACTGTAGGTATTGGATTTTGCGTAATCTCAAAACAAAAGTTCAATATTAATTGTGACCTTTTTCATCTGCCGAATAAATAGGCCGCAGATTTCTGCCATTATTTATACCGCGGTCATCGTAATAACTGCTGTGCTTGTTGCATTAAATTTGCAACAGATATTGCCCCAGATTATTTCATAAATTTACTGGGAAACACCCTCATCATTTCTGTCCGTTAAATAACATTTTACAGTCCCGGTTGCAAGATATGTATCCTGCATAAAAGCAGTTTGTGATTCCCGTGATGGGAAACGTTTGTCACTAAAAAGTTTAAACAATCAATTAAAGGACGGATGAAAATAATATGAAAAAATAATTACAGTGTAACAACGTAAAACATGTAATACAAAGTTCAAAGTGCTTCTATTTGTAACATTATTTGAACAACATTTATATTAATACTAAATTCGCAGTTCCCTTTACTAAATCGTTTTGTAAAAAAATCTCTAACTGAACATTTTTTTATTCCTTTATTTCTCCAGGGTAAACCCAAACAGACCTCCCATATATTTTGTACACATCGCCAAATTGGAGACCTTCGGGAATATGGGGACCCTATTGTCCTCTATTGTTCAACGTCCTCTGTTGAAGGCAGAAACAAACTCACATACACACATTTGTTTCTGGTGTAAAATCGAGAATTTTCTATTGTTCCTCTTCCCTTTTCATTTGTATATACTCAACTTTTTTGCAACAGCTCTCATTGGTTTTGTACACGTTTTCTAATCGAGGTCGTCCTCGATTTGGTTCCTGTCCTCAATTCGTCGATGATGCTGCACGTGTGTGTCCTCGATTTACACCATAAACACACACACAAACACCAAAAACAAAAATGAATAGATTTACATTAAAAGACATAACTATTCCAAACGACAATTTTTGAAATGTGTGAGGGTATCATTATTAGTTAAGGTACTCACTGTATAACTGCTCAAGATAAGTGAAAAAAAGGTGTTATCAGAAAACTCACAAAAAAGGGCGTATTTTAAGACACTAACAAAAATGATGGTTTTTTAAATTGTGGGGATCTTGGTACTGAAGGTAACGCCCACTTTCATCAAAGCCACGCCCCTTCTATATTCAACCCACGGTGTTCCCTTCAGATGTATCCATAGTATTTGCAGAGGAGGATGTGCGTAATGATCGTAGCAATCGTTGCAGTCACGCAAATACTCACGAGAACCCGAAGCACTGTCTTTGCGTACTCAGACTCTGTTAGACACAAACATTAGTATTGTTTTTGCCCAATTCAAAAGTCAGCCATATTGAATCGAAAACTAAGCAAAGTGTCCGCAATGAATATATTAAACTTTATTGCATTGGATTGAACGTAGAGATAATATAAATCACAACTGAACTTTGTGGAGTTTAAGCTCTTATGAACTTTTTTTTTTCTTGATCGTATACATTAAACCTCACCTAAGCAACTGTCGTTTGAAATTCGGAAATGTTCATAATAATCTTGCAACAATATGGAATTAAGGAACATATGTTTCTTTTTTTAAAGGGGCTAAAACCTTCACAAACATTTAAGACAAGGCGAGCATAGTAAAGGTCCCAGAGCGCAGAAAGTTATTACTCAGTTGATTCAACTGTTATGCCATAGAAACACTGCTTCTTGATAGCACTGCCCAAAAGTGGCAGTCTGGGGGTGGGGGTAGTCGGGGAGTCAGTCAGTCAGTGAGTCAGTCAGTGAGAATATAGGGGCAAATACGACAATTGGCATCAGCATCAGCAAAACATAGTTTGCTCACCTGCACAAAATGTTATCAGCACTCTGGTGCTCAGTGACTGATCACTGCTCGTTGCAAGGCACGTTAGGTTACGTTCTCGAGTCTCGTTGCCAGGGTTTGTCACCATGTGCCAGCTGCTCACGTTGACCAGCCCAGCTCCGGTCCGTGCCTCGCTTTCAGTAGCAAACGTCTGATTGCCAAGCATCAACGTGAAGTTCCAGACCCCAGGTTTTGCGTCTTGAATCCTGCACTCGAATTGCCGCGTGATGCCGGACTGGACGCAGACGGGGCCATACTCGGGATCGTCAAGCACAGCTCCGGTGGAGGGATCCAGCAGATGCAGCGTGGCATCTCGTCGATCAAGCGGAGAGTTGTCCAATCGGGGAGGGATCGTCGAAGGGAGATCAAAACAAAACAAAATCATACAAATTCTATCAGTTAACAAATAGAGTATAGGGGATTGAAAAATCCATGACAATTTTTTTTTTTCACTTTCAATGTTATGTTTTTACAAAAAAACTAAAAGAACCCGGATTTTTTCAGGGTCAAATT